CATCGTCCAGGCCTCGAAGTGATGTTTAACTGGGTGTGACGTAGGTCAGCAGGGCCTCTTCTTTCTTGTGTGCGACATGTGCGCAGAAGGAACCACAAACAGCAATCTTCTGCCGTGAGAAGTTCAGCAGGGTAACTCAAGGGCTGCTCAGCTGTACCTTGTTCTGGAACAGGCTCTGGAAATGCTCCTCCCCGATGATGGAGACAGCAGAGCCGGTGTCAATGAGGAACGTGACGACACGCGGCGGCGACGTCGAAACAAGTGGCGTCACTCGAACGTCAACGTAGACTCCTGTACGCTTGTCGGTGTGGACGGAAAGAATGCTGAAGACTTGCTGCATCCTCGTCCGGCGCCACTTCATGAACTTGAGCTGAACTTCTCCCTCGGTTGTGACGGGCGCGTCGAGAGACTTGCTGGAAATGGCCGTGGCGTCCGCATCCGAAGCAGGTACGATCACGTGCAGGGCAGCGAGACGAGTCGCACGTTGATGTGCCGCAGTTTCCACATGCAGCGGGACCGTTGAAGCCAGAGTATGAAACGACACTGCCAGAGTTTCATGATGCTGGCGTGCATGCAGGGCGCGGGCACGGCAAACCCCGTGAGCGGTTGTCAGAATGACGACTCCCTTGACCGTTGCGTCTGGTTGACTTCCGTCCCCGTGGAGCTTGCGACGTGATGCAACGGACAGGGTTTGCGAGGGCCTCGGACTCACGCGCAGCCTGCTCGCGAAGCTGCGCAATTTCCACTGTGCGGTCAAAAATCAGCGTGTCTCCTTCGAGGAGCAGTCTCCCATGCACACGCAGGCATGTGACGCCGGCGACGAACTGGTCACACGTTTTCGTCGGCTTGAGCGGCGAAGTTGAGGGACACAGGCAGTTCGCGGAGCGCAAGGGCAAAGTCCGCTGCTGGTTCACCAGAGAGTTGACGACGCTCGCGGAATCGTTGTCGTTCCACCCGGACTTTGCAGCGGGCAGCGAAGTGATGTGTTAGGGCTACGAGGGCGGCGTTGGTACGGGTCTGGCTTTCTGCTCTTTCCTGCCTCGTCGGCTGCTGCAGCGGCAGCTGGCGGGCTCGGCGTCAGCTGCGGAAGCGCGTCGAAAATGCGCCGTCCTTCAGGTTTCAGGCAGTGCAAAAGCAGGGCTTGCCGACGGGCCGGCGGCAGCTTGTTGGCGCTGGAGGCGACCAGAAAGTTCTCGAAAAGTTGTAACCAGCGGGTCCATGGCACAGCTGGCGTGACGAGGAACGGTGACAAAAGCGCAAGTCCCGTGACGTTCATCCTCGTCGCCAGTTGTTGTGTTCCGGGCCGGACGGCCGCAGAAGGGGAGAAACCCAGACAAAGACCAGAAAGTGCCAACTAGAAAGAGGACTTTACTAGTCCCGTGCAATACTGTACAGAGACAAGGTGATGGTGCCATCTCATGGAAGGCGCAACTACAACTTGCCAAAGGGTGTCGCTTCACGACATTACAGAATCGAAGTCTGGTAGAGGAAACTGGTCCTCGAAAAAAACGTCCTTGAAATACCGACTGAACTGTTCGCATGTCTCAGCAGTGCTTATCTCATTTCCAGATGCATCAGTGAAAGGGAAACATTCTTTACCTTGTTTTGGGTTAACAGCCGTCCAGAACTTTTTGAGGTTAGTTCAAAGTTTACGAAGATCCTCATTGCTAAATTTCTTTAATTTAGTTCCCCGTTTGTCTTGTCTCATGATCGTACTAGGCGATCTTCATTGGCGGGACTGAAAGAGACTGGCACTATGATTCAGTTCTCCAAATGACTCACCTCGCAAAGTCGAAACTTTTCTGACCGATCCGGTGGGCCCACTGTCTTCGCCGCTGAAGATTGTCTTTTCGTGTCGGGACGGCAGAAAGCTTCTTCCCTTCACAGTGCTGTTTGTGCAATCCACAGCGCAGCATGATGGCATCGCATTGCCGCCAAGGTCGTGGTAAAAAATTTAAAGAAAAAAAAACGACGGCCGGGTTGTAAGCAACGGAGGCACCGTTACGCCTCGCCCAGTGATGGCATTGGTTCCTAGTACAGTGACCTAGAGAGTTGTAGTGGGCTCACGATCGGTTCGGCCGGATGCGTTTGATATTGACGTGGCGCTGTACGCATTTCCTCCTGAAACTTTCCAGCGCGCATTGGTTGTACCAGGAGCCCTAAACTCGTCGAACACAAAGTTAGAGCCGAAAGTTCGCGGAGCGCGCCGATTGGACGTCGGCGTAAAAAACGCGAAGTCATCGTCGTGATCAGCCAACCGGTGTGCTCAGTCAACTTCGGCCCAAACTTTGTGTTTGACGAGTTTAGGGCCCCAGGTCGGTTCGGCGGCTCTTACCAATTGCAGGCAGCGGGCGGGAGAAGTTTCAGGAGGAATCTATTGCTGCGCCTCCGGCGTTTTCGACATCGGCCACTTCAGCGCAATACACGGGGGAGATGGGGCGGTGAGCCCACTACCCAACTTTTAGGGCACTATAGTTTCTAGCAGACCACCGAATTGCGCAGGGTCATGGGAAGGCAACGGTCATATGTCGCGCTCGAAAGAACATTTCAGAGGGAAAGGGCATTGGCGAGTTTCGCCGCTTATACGGCTCAAGTTTCGCCGCTCATGTGTAGTGCCACTCCTCCCCCTGGCGATGCGCACCCATACCTGTAAGCAGTACGAGGAGCAGAAAACGCAGGCATCTAATGCGGTTGTCGTGCTGGCCTCGCGCTTGGTAAGGTACTGAATGCAAAAGGGCAGGGCACCAGGTATTGTTGTGCAGTCAAATACCACAGAATCGTATTAAACAGAAAGGTAATAAATAAGCGTCTCCTGAGAAGTTTTATTCGGTTCCTGGGAGGTAATTCAAGATTGCCAGTTGTGCGGAGGACAGGGTTAATTATTGTTTCTCTATCTTGTTGCATGATTCTGTAGTGCAGCTACGCTTACTTTTCCCGTTAATAGGGACTTTTTGTAGATCACACGCAAGAGCATGCGAGAGTTTCGCGTAGCTTGGGGTCACTTTTAATGCGGACTAAGCTCGCGCCCGTACGACCCGCAATCCTAAGCCCACGTTGTATGATAAGTCCTAATGTAGTAGCTACGATGGTTCCCCGTGGCTGTTGACAAAAGAAACTCGAATATGCAGTTACCATTTTTAAACAGCTTTCAATTTCAAAACCAAGTTCCCTTTGCTTACCTGTCAATTTTGTTCCCCGATGCTTACGAGACAGATCGAGCAAGCGGCAAAATACTCGAGATAAAATGAGGCAGATAACTGTAGTTCCTTTCGCATACTGACTTGAAGGCACAACTGACCCTTTTGAAAAGTTCTTGCCAACGACTGACCGCCACTGCTTGCTCACATACTCCAAACATGAGGGTAACGTCAGCGTTTGGCATCAACTCGGCTCAGCTTGTGTTGATAAGGAGCGCTGAAGTCACCGTTCGGCGAGGACTTGGAGCCAATCACACGCTTCGTGGACAAACAATGGTGACCGATCGACTTTTGAAAAGGGTCTATTGAAAAGAAATTGACAGCTGTGCTCTAGTTTTTTTTGTTTTTTTTTGTATTAAAATGATATAGTTAACCCACAACAGGTATAATTACTTTCCAAATAACTCTTAAATATTAGACACTAGAACATTCCTGGGTTGACCAATTAGAGCGTGTTGGCAATGTTAGATGTATCAAATGAAAGCATCATAAAGGGCACCAGGATAGGACACCTCACAAAAGTAAATACCGTATTTACTCGCGTATAGGTCGACCTGTTTTTCAAAAATCGCCTCATCAAAACTGGAGGGTCGACCAATACGCGAATCCCGGTATTATATTTTTCAACTTTTTTTTTTTTTCCGGGGGTCCCGAAGTTAGGGGGTCGACCTATACGACGTATCGACCAATATGCGAGTAAATACGGTAACTGAAAATGCATGTGACTGAAATTCAAAACAAATTACATTTTTCGCCGAGAGAAGTAATATTCACTATCCTTTTTTGGCGCGGAATGTTTTAGATATATAAAGTAACACTACGCCTCAACAGCAACAAAAAATCACAAAAAATCTTATTTAAAGGTACGGGATCCCCAGGTTGTGAAGATTCCGTACCTTTACATTCGGGGACCGGTGCTCAAAAGAAACCCGATGCCCATCCCACCACATGGCCGATGGATACCAGGGAGGATGATCGCTCCGCCAGGTTCGCCAACGCTATGCCAACAAAGATGACCCCGGTGCCCAAGAGTGTTCATTGGGAAACAAGGGTCCCCCACAAAACACAGCAGCCAAGCGAGCCGTGGACACACGCAGCAACCGCCGACCCAAGAGCCAAAAGGGATTTGGAGCGGAGTCAAACGCCACTACCCGTAATCGCAGGGGCCAGAGCTCTTGGCAGACGAACGTCCACTCGGAGGAGGGAACGCCGACTGTCAGAGCTAGCGTCGAGTCATCACCAATCGGACGAGCTCACGCCGCAACTCGACCCAAGGCCGGAGTCACAATCCAGGCCTGGTCGACAGACGGTCGTCCACTTGGAGGAAACGTCCGACTCTTCTGTGCAATCTCGCTAATACCTCGAAAAACGGGAGATACGTGGAGGAGTGCAACAGAGTAGGCCAACAGGGTGGCATACTCTCCTTGACAAGATACAAAACAAGCAGGCTCGAAGCTAGACGGCTACGGCCGGAACCTTGGTGGCTTACACCTTCTGGGGGAGGGAAACAAGTGCATGCCGCAAGCGTTACTTTGCACAGTCAAACGTGTTCTTGTCAGACGACAAGTTGCATTACCCACAGTTTGAGCATCTGAACAAGTATGAATATCATCTGTAGCTCCTGGTGCTTTTTTGTTGCATCAGGGTCCCATGCACATATGCAACAAGCCCCCAGGAGAGACGACGACAAGACAGGCTACTTCTCTCACCCCTGCAATTTACCCCAGCGTGCGATGCTGCGACAGCGCTCGATGAACGCAACACAAACACTTATTTCCTGAAAGCATGTTACACACCATAAACTCAAAGTGGACTCTTTATTTAGATCTGCTCACAAACCAACTTCAGTTGAGTGTATTCAGTACCAAAGTCATTCTAAACGTCTACCAGTGGGCATGCAGCACGTGCAGTCAGCTCTCGTGTAGAAAGGGAGAGAACAGGCTGACCGCCCAACCCCCAGAAGTTGAAACAGTATGACCCATACATTGGCAATATATTATAGCGCACCTCCATTTTTCTCAAACAGTTAACTCACACACACATCCAGTGTAAAAAAAAAAGCAAAACCCCACTTGCACACTATGGCAATATAGTTCCTGTACACAAACATACCAAAGGAAGACCTCCTGATTGCGTTAGTGTTGTCATCACAAATTCCACGAGCCTAACTACGGACCTGGCAACAGTCCAATGAAGCCAGAGCACAGTAAGAACCTTTGTCAGAACAGAAAGCAAGACATCAAATGCCAATGAACCTTTTTCCAGTAACGAACGTCGTCTGCAGAGTTGTCTTTGAACTACAAATTAAGGGCAGTGCAACTTGCCTCCGCCCGTAGGAATATACTGGCAGCATGCCGTTGTTTTGATCAAACAAGTATCAGCCAAGAAGAGAAAATATGTGCAAATGAATATGTTGGACGACCGCAACCTTGCCCTCCGAAAATGATGGCAGCGAGGAGAAAGGCCAGGGGAGGGGGTGTGCATACTTGCAGAAGCTTACTGGAAAAAGGTCTACATACCTACAGTCCCCTCACAAAAGAGCTTGAGAACCTCACTCAAACACTTAGCTGGTAAAATCATTGGAAGCAAGCTCTTCCAACTGGCTTGCTGTTTACTTTGCAAGAAGGAACCCTTAATTTAAGTGGCATTTAATTTTTAATTTAAGTGGCATCCCCTAGAACAACGTTGGAAAGAGTAGTCAGACTGAGTAAGTAATCCATTTGCCACATCCCAATCCCAGAGTGGTGTACAAACCATAGAATGCAAAGCAAGACAACTGCCCGCCAACGGTAATTGAATGCAAAGTGAAAGCAGACCAAACAAGAAAACGCCACTCCTGGAGATACGTGGGACTTTCGTACAGGCTGCGGAAAACTTGTACCACAGCCAAACGAGTTTTGCAGACCAGAAACAAATGTGGCACTGTGGGTCAACAAAGACTCCGCATTCACGCCGACAAAATACATGTCTGAAGAGGAGGCTAGATAGCGCAATGGCTCGTAAGATTAGATTAGTCTCCCTGCCTCCAAGGGCAGCACAATTTATATAAATCAAACCTAACCTGCTTAAAGTGAATGCACACACGCTCGCACGCACACACCAGTAAGGCGACATCGGCCACTGCGCGACGTCTTCGCCGCCCTTACTAACTGCAAGAGTCGCTCGCCCAGTGCTACGACTCGCCAGTCGTACCAACAAAGGCAGGATAGTGACGGCCACCGCGGCAGAACTGCCCAAATCCTCCGGACGAACGGCTAGAGCAATCCAAAAATATTCCCTTCGCAAGATCTGTTACCAACGCCACACGAGGAAGGGACCCCCTTGGCTAAAACGCGTTCCCCGTGGTGGCCGTTTTGTTTCATGCGGCACAGACACTTCCAACAGTTCAAATTGACTCTTTGCACGTGTATAAAAAGATAAACTTAGAAAGAAAAAGAAGTAGCGCACAGAGCGGCACATTTTTCACCCCCAGCAAAGTTTCAGCTTCGAGAGCACCGGGTACCCACCAATGCACAGTTTCAAAAGAGAAGAACAAATTTTGCAGATACACGAAACGCGAGAATACAGACAGAGGCGGTGCCGTGTTTGCAACAACGCCGTTCGGAAGTTGGTGCGGCCGAACTTCGTCCACAGATTCCAGCCGCGGCAAGGACCATCGCGACGGGGCGGGAAACAAGGAGGGGTGCGTTGAAAGTAACTCGTGGGGGGGACGGCCTCTCGGGACGAGTGGGAGGGCGGGGGCAGAGGGGGAGGGCGCAGCTATCACAGATGTGGATGCGTGCGCTGGTAGTGGCGCCGCTGCCGCTGCCCGGCCGGCCGGATCGCTAGCCTCCGCCGGGTCATTGCAGGACCAGGCCAATCTGCGTGGCAGACGCACCCCGAGCACTTGCACACTCGCCCATTCTAAACGCATTTCTTTCTCCGACAGTGTGTGCACTAAAAAACTTAATCGTTGAAGGCTCCGGTCCCACGGCGGTCATCATGAATGGCCGCATACAATTTTTAATTTATAAAAATATATATAGAAATACATCTCAAAAGTGGCTTTGCTAACACATTCCTCGTGTTTCTCTTTTTTTGTGATTCTACAGCAAGCTATTGAAGTCGTAGGTTAATGAGTTTATTAAAAAAATAATGAATAAATATTGCCACATGGGTGTTAGAGAATTACATAAGGACAGGACCGTTGTCACTTACGTCATTCTCCTTTAACAGCGTACTCTAATAGCCTAACTTCAACAGCACACTCCATTTCCACAAGAGTATTGCCCCATGCTTCCCATTTTCTACTGCAATATTAATTTTGAAAGGGTCAATAATTTAACACCACATACTCAGTATTGCAATAAAAAAATATGGGTGAGAGCTTATTCGAAATTTTCATTTTAAAGTGTTTCTAAAACATAAAAAGTTTTGTGGTACAAATTACTAGGGCAGGAGGAGGAGAAACTCTTAACACTGGTAGAGGAAAAAAAACGGGGACAGACAACACCTCTATAGGTAAAGACATTGTATGCCCTTTTTTTCTGCCACTGTAAATTTTTTTTTTTTCTTCTGCCTCAGTTTTGGGTTAAATTCATGATGGCAAACTTTCACTACCTCTTTTGCACACAGTTTGTACTTTGATTCTCTCGTCCAGTTCTTTATCATAATACTCAGGATGTGGTGCAAAATTATAATTCTTAATATTCAAGAAGAAATATCAGAAGCATGTGGCAATATCCACTCATTCATTATTTAATTAATTAATGAACCTACAAGTACAGTAGCTTGCCCTGGAATCCCTTCGAACGCAGGGAATGTTAGCAAAGTTACCAGTATTTTTAAACTTCTTTTAATAAATTGAATACCATTTTGTACCCACTCCAGATGGCTGAAGTGGGATTGCAATTGCACACTAACTGCATTTAAAACTCGTCCTTTCCATGCGTGGCTAAGGTGCGGAATAACTTGGACAGGCCTACAGTCATGCTTGTTTACCCATTATGAAAATTTCCTTTTCTTCGTGCGCTGCGTTTAATCATAATTTTCTCGGGCAATTTTGTTCCTTAGCTCGTTCACCATTGCTGTGTGCACTCCCACTCCAGCTATGACCTCAATTGAGGTATAGCAGTATGTAGAATTTTTTTAAAAATTAAGAATTAAAGAAGTTTAAGTTACAGTTAAATGTAGCGTGGTAGCTTAAAGGGAAAGGGATTTTGTAACTGCCTGATAGCTTCAGAGTAACTTGACCGACAGTAGGAAAAAAAAAAAGCTGTAAAAACTTGAGATTTGGGAAACTGGGTGTTTCAGCTATGAATTTCATTAAATAACCCTTTTCCACAGCGATGACTTTAAAAACTTTCTACCATAGGGTGGTTGAGAAGAAAATGGAAATCCTTTGGGGAACAAACTGCAAGCCACGGTGAACGTCAGGGATCGCAAAAAGCGTAACTTTTTCATTAGTGGAGAAAAACATATGAGAAACCTGCCATCAAAATCCCATAAATCAGCCAATTTTGGGAAGACGCATGGGAAGTGCGGGAGTAAGTTATTGCTTGTGCAGCAGGCATAATGCTGGCAATGTGAAAACACGGATGATAATATTATTCTCATTCTTGCATCACCAGCATTGAGCCCAAAATATATTTTTTTTAAATACCGGTAGAGACATCACGCATCCATAGCAAAGACTGACACAATCAGCTAAGAGCTCCAATCGGTGAACTTTGAAGTATCCACCCTAGATTGGATGATTGGTAACTAGGGTGACTAGGATTAATTGACTGATGATTGGGATGACTGGCATTGAATAATGATTGGTGTTGACTGGGATCGATTGACTTTGATTGCTTGATCATTGGGATGACTGAGATTCAGTAATGATTGGATTTAATAGGATTGACTGATGCATGGTGATTTGAACTGACAGATGACTGGGAGAATAGATGATTGGGAGGAGAGCGAACCTTGTTGGGCGGCATGTCGGAGCACCTCCAGTTGTAGAGGTAGTACTGCAGGTTGCCGTCCCCGATGCCGAACTTGAGCTTCTCCAAGAACTCCTTGTTGTCCATGAGGTCTAGGGCGTTGAACACGTCGTAGCCGTTCTGCACACAAGCGCACCGACCACCTGACCCCCTACGTCCTCACACCACCAGGTGCAGCAACAGACCAAACGACGCGAGAAGCCTGCTTTCACGCAAGCTCCGCAAAACACCCGACCCAGGCACCTTGGAAGAGTTGTTACCATAATGCAGCATTTCCAAAATCGAATCTGGCATGACCCCAAGGAGGGTTGAGACAGATTCAGCGTGGGGTCGTGATACGGCTCAGATAGAAATCCCAACCTGGCTTCTTCGCAGTGACATCGACGAAAACGAAGTACAGGTCGCAGCCCAACATAAAGCTGCAACTGTATACAGACTTCTGAAAACAAGTCAGCGACGGCCCACACCAGGTGTAGGCACCTAAGTGTGCTCAAAGACCATACTCACACGGAGAGGCATCTGCGCTTGCGCCGTACCAACAAGAGCGCCACCGCAGCGGCATGACGTGCGGCGTCCATACTCTACCTTCATTTTCAGAAATTGTGCTCTAACAAACAAGCTTTGTTTAGTCATTACAAACAATCATTCACACTGGCACACATTTTTTTTCTGTAGCTTACTTCATTTATTGGGACTATATTAGCCGGCAATTAAAATTTTGCCATAAATTTGTTTAATTAAGTTCGCAGAATAAAATGAGAAGGATTGTGGTATTGCAAAAAGCTGGGAGGGGGGAGGAGGATCGCAATGCGATATAACCGCAAATGACGAGGTGACGACACAAAGAATAACTGAGAAAACTGGAACATTTAATGGACTTGTGCCCAAAACAAAGTAGGAAAAGGCTACCGTCGCAGGAGTTGATGGCGGCGTAACAGCAGGATCGAGCCCTCGGGCGAGACTGCCTCGTACGGTGCAGCTTCTTTTAAGCCTTCCCTGGGAGCATAGAATTCCTTTCCTTTTGTGCACCATGCTGAAGGCGTCATGCTGTTTGTGGGCACGTATCAAATAAATAAAATAAATAAATATTCTGTCTCGATCCTTCTCAAACTCTTAATATGAATAGGCTAGAGCAGTGGTGCTCAACCATTGAAGTTTTGCAGACCCCCCTTGTGGATTGGCAGAGATGATGGAGGATCGTGGTAAGGGCAAGAGAAACTTTAATTATGACCAAGATTTAATAAATGGACATAACTAAGGATTAGTGTGAAGTAGACTGCTCTGTTTGGCATACACACACGAGATCTCACACAAAAACCTAAAAGTTTCCTCCTAAACTGAAAAAAAAAAAAAAAAAAAAATTTTATTGTTGTGTTTGACTGATCAGGTAGGGCTTTGCGGACCCCCATTTGGGAACCACTGGGCTAGAGGGTTCTCCAACTTTCTCGAATCTTCTACTTTCATAAAGAGAGATAAAACTACAAGCAGTGCCGGGAATCGAGCCCGAGCCACCTGCGTGTGAGCCAAACGCGCTACCGACTTAGCTACGTAAGCGCGTGGCATTACTCCTCCCCCTTTAAAAAGCGCATTGCTCCAGTGCAACACAACTACAGTCCTATAGAGTGTAGAATGGCTTGAGTCGAATGACGTGAACCACCTTGGGTCGCGGTCGGCGTCGTGACGCTGCTTGCGTCCCTTTGGGCGCTGCTTCTTAGTTGAGCTGCCCGAGGCGACAAAGTGCCTTGTATGGTTTAAAGTACCATTTCGTCAGTTTCTCACTGAGGCCACGGCAACCGATGGGCGCCCACACCCACACCCTGTCTCCGGGCTGGAGATGGAGGTCCCAGTGACGACGATTACAGCGGCCAGCGTCGACACATTGCTGGTTTTGAATTCGAAGTCGGGCGAGCTGGCAAACTTTCTTTAGTTCATTCAGCAACCACCAGGGCGTCGTCACTCCCGTTGTCAGCTGGCTTGTGGGGCAGCATCCCGTTAAGCATGCTCGTTACCTTCCGACCATGCACAAGCTGGAAAGGTGCAACTCCAGTGGTCTCTTGAACTGCCATGTTCTAGGCGAACATGACTAGGGCAACATCTTGTCTTACGTCTTGTGCCTTACGTCGACGTACATAGAGATGATGTCGTCTTGTTAAGTCGCTCCGTCAGCCCGTTGGTTTGCGGGTGGTACGCAGTGGTACGACGGTGGCTGGTGTGACCGAGCCGAAGGATTTCTTGGGTCAGCTGTGTCATGAACAATGATCCCCTGTCAGTGATCAAGGCCTCGGGGGCACTGTGCCGAATCACATTGCGCTCCACGAAGAACTTGGCGACTTCCACTTCAGTTCCCGCCAGAAGGGCTTTCATGCCGGCGTATCGTAAGAGGCAATCGGTTATCCACCGGTTGCCCTCTGTTGACGTAGGGAATGGTCCAAGCAAACCCATTCCGATCTGCTAGAACGGTGTGGTCAGAGGTGCAATCGGCTGCATGCAGTACTCCCGCCAGTTTCTTGTGCCGTTGACTTTCGGGACTTAATTGGACATTGAAACGGACAGTCTTCGGGAGCTTGGGCCAGTAGTATACTTCTTGCAATTCTGGCAAGCGTCCTGCAGTACTTAAGGTGCCCTGCCGTCGGGTCGTCGTGGCATCCTTGGAAGATTTCTTCTCGAAGGCTGGAAGGAATAACCAACAGCAACGCTGCGTTGTTGTCGCCAAAGTTCTCCTTTTACAGTTCTCCCTTGTCAAATGGAAAATATAGGCAGGATTCGTAAGGCTTGATAAGCGCCTGCAGTTCAGGGTCGTCTCGTTGGAGTGCTGCCATGTCGCTGACGTACAGAGCGCTGAGGAAACACTCATCGTCGTCGTCTTCAGTGCAGGCAGGACCGGCTTCGACGGGGGCCCTTGACAGGCAATCGGCGTCATTGTGCTTCCGGTCAGACTTGTACACCACGGTCATGTCAAACTCCTGTAGTTGTAGGCTCCACCGGGCAAAACGACCGGAGGGATCCTTCAGATTCGCAAGCTAGCAGAGCGAGTGGTGGTCTGTGACTACATGGAAAAGACTTCCATACAAATACAGGCAGGATTTTGTTATTGCCCAGACGACAGCAAGGCACACCTTTTCAGTCGTTGAGTAGTTATTCCCCGCGTTAGACAGCATCCAACTTGCGTAGGCGATGACTCGCTCTGTGCCCGCCTGCCTTTGGACCAGTACCGTGCTAAGACCGTTGTTACAGGCATTCGTGTGGATCTCTGTTTCAGCGAAATGTTGGAAATGGCCAAGAATCGGGGGCATCTGGAGTCTGAGCTCATTGAATGGCCGCTAGTGTTCTTCTGTCCCTTTAAACTTTGCGGCATCCTTCGTCAGGTGCATCAGCGAAGCGGACAGCTTGGCGAAGTCCCAAACAAGTTGCCTGTAGTAAGCACAAAGCACATCCACAGCGTTCTTGTCGGATGGCGGCGTAAATGCAGCTATGGTGCGAGTCTTCTCGGAGTCAGGGCGAACAGCTTCGTTGCTCACAATGTGGCCAAAGAACCTTAGTTCACTATAGGCGAACCGACACTTTGTAGGCTTGAGTGACAGAATGGCGGTCTTGATGGCTTCAAGCACGGCTCAAAGCCTTCTCGGGTGTTTGTCGAAGTCCCATGAAAATAATATGACATCGTCGAGGTAAATGAGGCAGCTCTGCGATTTCAGACCTGTTAGCAGGGTGTCCATGACAGGCTGGAAGGTGACTGGCGCTGCACAAACTCGTACAGTCCGTCGGGACTGAAGAAGGCAGTTTTCTTGTGGTCGCGTTCGCCGACTTCAATCTGCCAGTAGCCACTCTTCAGTTCCGTCGACACTAAATCTCTGCGATGGCGCAGTCTGTCTAACGTATCGTCGATGCGGGGGAGCGGATAGACGTCCTTAGTCACAGCGTCAGTCCACGATAGTCCATGCAAAACCTCAGGGTTTCGTCCTTCTTTCCAAGGACGACTGGGGATGCCCACAAACTTTTTGAAGGTTGAATGATGTCGTCGTCAAGCATTTCCTGGACTTGATCTTCAATCGCCTCCTGTTCCTTCAAGGAGACTCGGCACGGCGACTGGTGCACAGGGAGCATGTCGTTGCCAGTAACGATGCGCTGTTTCGCTGCCGTTGTTTGTCGCACCCTCAACATTGTGGCGAAACGCTCGACAAATTCACTCAGAAGGTCAAGCAGCCGTCCTCAATCAGTAGCTGGAAGCTTTGGGTAGATGTTAAGTTCCAAGGGCGGCGTTCTCTCGTGCTGTGATGAAGTCGACTCTTCCGAAGGTGCAGCGATTGCGGCCGAGTTCTAAAGTTTGTTGATGGGGTCCACAGCAATACCTTTCATAAGGTATTGCGGTTCTTGTCGAAACTTTCTAACCAGAACAATGGCACGCCTGTTTCAAGTTATGTTACTCCTCTTACTACACCGATTCTTCTTTCTAGATGCAACTGGACGCTTCCCTCGAGCAGAACTTAGCCGCAGGAAGCTTCATCAGTCCCAACAGGTACATAAACACTCGACTGCGGCGGTACGTTATCGTGGTTTGCGAGGACTCGGACCGCGGAGCACATTGCTTTAGTTTCCTTCTGTGGTGGGACAGGTTTTCGTAGCGTCAGGAGGTTTGCTCCGAGATTGATTACGGTGCCGTACTCACATAAAAAGTCCATTCTGAGGTTAACATAGTCTCGCAAAATAACTAACTTCACGGGGCAGGTCTCACCATGGATCTCAACTCGTGCAGTGCACATTCCAGTCGGCATTCGCCTCTGGCGGTTCGTATTTGTGGGCCATCCCACGGCATCGTCACTTCACGAAGACGGCACGAAAGCGTCCCATTCAGGACCAAGTAATCTGCTTCGGCGTCCACCAATGCCGACACGTCGTGGCCGTCGCCGCTTCACTGCAGTGCACCAATGCGCCGTGGAAGCGAACCGACATTAATAATAAACCTGTCAGAAGAAACCACAAACACTAGAAATATTGTGAAACTTGCGAGAACTGTCAGTGTTTGATACAATGAAAAAATCAAACAGAATGCTATTTGAGGCAATAATCAACAATTTTAAAAAATTGTAGAGCCCTTCCCCTTCATGACAAGATGGAGGACCAACGAAGCTGTTATTTTTACGACGTCTAGGTCGATGCCTAGAAGACGTCTAGGACCACAGTATCAAGGACGACTTGAGGAACGACCTTGAGGACGACGCCTAGAGGACAACGTCTAGAACAACTTCAAGGACGACTTCTAGAACGACCTCGAGGACGACGCCTAGAAGACGCCGCCTAGAAGACGACGTCTAGAACGACCTCAAGGATGACTTGTAGGACGCCGCTTAGAGGACGACGTCTAGAACGACATCAAGGACGATTCCTAGGACGACTTTGAGGACGATTCCTAGAGGACAACGTCTACGACCCCAAGGACGACTTCCAGGACGACCTCGAGAACGACATCTGGGACAACTTTTAGGGGACTTCTAGAATGACCTCGAGGATGATGCCTAGATATGATAACAAGAGATCAGGACCTCACTATCTAACAATGCCAAGGAAGGCTGACTCACGCTGGCTGCCCCCTCTATTTTTATTTATTCATACTTGCCACGACCAAAGGGGAGCTTTCTGTCAACATCAGCGGATACATTTTTTCCCGGGTCCTAGAGCATAACAGCTTCGCTGTAAAATTCGCACCGGCCCACATGACGACCCGGACATGTAGCAGGGCGCGAGCTATGGTATTTTAACTATTAATTAAGTGCGATTAGGTTTTGGCGCAAGGCGAGCACAAAATCGTCACATTTTGGCAAAACATAGCAGGGCGTAGCGGGGTACGAGTTTTGGCGCAGTTTGGTACGGCAATCGCGTCACCGCTTACACAGTTACCCTCCCCCTACGGTTGTTTTTCTCCTTGGACATAGTTTCAACAAACATTTAGTGGAATCAAGTTACGGGTTTTAGTTGAGCTAGTTGGTACATACTGTTGGAGTTCAATGCAAGTCCCGTCTCTTGGCGGTACGAACCCCAATCGTCTAAGGGGTTTCTTCCTTACGAGTCAGGTCATTCGAAGACCATCAAAAGAAGTGCTGCCAGTACTGCCCTTGTTGCTGCGCTAAGCGAGTCCTGCCAAGTGCTGTTCCTGGGAGGTGTATGTGAGAGCATCTCCAAGAAACTGAAGCCAAAAACAGCAAGCCGCGAGGAAACGGTGAATTCACCAACACAATGCAAAACCGCAGTTGTGCCCTACATCCATGGAGTGACCCACGCGCTAAAAAAGATCACAGGCGGGCAAGATATTCAGGTTGTTTGTTCGGCACCAAACAAGGCCTATTCCATGTGCTGCAGGGTCAACAAAAGACGTGACCAAGAGGATGTGTGACACGGCCCATAGAACATACTATGCCCGATGTGAAGCAGGGGTCGTTTAGAGTCACTGTATGGGTTCCCAGAGTAACGTATCCCTTTTCTTTTTGCGTTTTGCCGACAACATACGGACTCTAGCCGATCATGTTTTGGCTTGGTGAGCATCATTGGACGGTAGCAATCACATGACACAGGCACTGCTAGACTCACCTCCATCAGCGCTTCAAGCGGCTCTAATCACCACCATCTTGGGTCCAGCAAACAACTGCTCATCAAATGTGCGTTTACGCGCCGTCTTTCCCACGTGGTTACCGACATCAAAAACAAGGAGGTTGTGTACCTAGTGGCACAATGCCTGCTTGTTGCGCTTTTGGGTACAGCAGCAGGTCGGAGATGGAAAGGGACTCTTCTGGATCCCGTTTGGAAAGAACGCAACTGCAAGACGGAGGAAGAAGGCTTGGCTGGCCATAGTAAAACAGAAAGATTTCGAGCCCACTGCAACAAGCAAGCTTTGTGAGGTGAGTGCTGATTACAGCTGGTTTATTCCGCATATCGCGGAATAAACCAGCTCTTTCAACACGCTCAAATGTATGTCACTATTGCTTTCATACCCCCTTCGACGTGTGGACCCAAGATGGCGGCGCCATGGTTTCGGTTCCAGCACTGCGGATCTAGAACGAACCTTCGGAGTTTCGTTACGCTGGGAGCCCATACAGTGACTCTAGGGTTGTTTCTCATGTTCCCCTCTCTTGCGGGAAGAGCTACATCAGCCAAACTGGATGATGTATAAACGATAGAGCAAGGGAGCACGCAGCACCGGTGAATAGTACATCAGCGGGAGGTCTGTCGGCTCATTGCCGGACCTGTGGATGTGATGCAAAGCTCACCAACATAGTCGTCCTACATACAAACCGAACAAGAACTCCTTTGCACGTGAATTGATCGAGGCCTCGGCCATTGAAGAAACAGTAGGAGGTTGCATGAGCACCTCGTCGATTACGGTTCACGAAAAAGAATGACAATATTTGCGGTTTGCCCCATCTCGTTAAGTGACAGGCAAAAAGTTTTTTGAATCATGTTTAATGTGCCGTAGGAGAAAGAAGGAAGTGCCTAGGCTGGGAAGAGGACGAAGTAAGAGTTAGTTGTTTGTCAGCTGTCTTTGTTCAGTCCTTTCTCTCTGTGTTCAGCTGACCCGATTGCCAGCATTTAGTGGAAGTTCGGCACTGGTCTTGTCTACCGCCCATCTCCTCATTTATTGCGCACCGTGTCGACCCTTTGAGGGTCGTCGTACACATACAGTGGCTATCACACATTTCAAAGTGCCCGCCTAAACGCAAAACTGCACACGCTGTGGGAGGTCCTGCCATTTGTTAAGTCCTTGGCAAACTATATATTCGCAAGTCGTTTCGCATTGCTGTGCCATTTACGGTTCCCACTCTAGACGCTCTGCGCACACGATGCTCACTCCGACACAAACTCTGACACTTTTCTGGGAGGACGATAGCGCTGCAGAGAGGCACTCACGTTCTTGGTGACGACGAGGGCATCCCGCATGAGCTCCACCAGGGGCACTGAGGTGGCCACGCTGTAGAAGGCGTAGGCGGCACGCAGCACCTTGTGCACCGCGTGGTGCATCACCGTCGACGGCAGCGAGTAGAAGCTCACAAAGTCCGTCAGCACCTTGGCCCCGTCCTCACCCTCCGCCTGTTCACACATGCGCGGCATCAGTCTGGGATGGGCTCAACTCCAGTCCAATTTACATCTGCCTCGAAATTGGTACACACACCTTGACTGTACTTGTTTTCACCTCGAGAAAAAAGCAAGTTTTGCGCATTGTTCAAGTGCTGAGCCAAGTGTTTGGTTGTCGGAAAAAACTTTTGGCATTTTAAACGTGTACGTCTCAATGAGTTAACATAGATCGGATCCGGTGGTTCTCAAATGGACTTCCGCAAACCCCGATATTGCCCGAATTACCGTATAGTTAACATGCCTGTGCAGCACACCTTCACAAATACCCGCCTCATTAGGTCGCTTACATTTACTAAATCTGTCGCTACTCATTACAATGAACGATCTAGAAAAGGCAAATCCTCGAATAGTCCACACCTGTAAATAGTCCACGTAGCGTGAAATTTTAAACTTTGAAATGCGCATGACTTGCGGCCTACAGTCCCAAAAAAGAAGGTATTCCCGTGAAAGCTACGAACGGATTGCGCAGAAAAACCATCGGTGCCGCGTTGTCGCCGTCGAGGAGCCAATTCAGTGAGCTGTAGGGCGTCTTGGATACTGTATAGCCCTTTAATATTCCCTATTGTCTTATATCTTGCAAATTCTAAAAGCTGAAATTCGCCCCTCTAGACTATGGAAATAGTCGCGTGCCCTAAAAAAATACCCCATTTTCCAGTTCGTGAAATATGCGAAAATTCAAGGTTTTAAAATTGTTAATAAATTTGGCTAATTTACTACCCAACCAGTATGAATAAAGGCGTGGTTCCAATTAGAAACTCATTCAGCATCATCAAAAACCACCAAATGGGCAAACTTTAGACACGCTGGAAGTCCGTGGGAACAAAATGTTCAGCTGGGCTTGTTGGTTCATGACTGGAAATGAGCGCCAAAGGAACGCGGACAGGTGAAGAAGCGGACGACAACACGGGGCGCACTCGCAACAGAAAGTTTATTAGAAAACACACATGCTTAAATACCTCAAATAAACCTTGTCACTTCCAGCGTCCCCCCTCTCTTTCTATTTATAGAAGTTCTTTATCTGATAACACCACTGACTGCTGGCTGATACAGATATCAGCCCCTCTTGTTTTGATGATGAAAGCTTGGTGAATCTCTCTGGTTGTTTTTTTGCTGAGTCGCCCCAGGATGATTGTGTTTGACAACTTCGGGGTGTACGGACATCGATCACAATGCACGGAGTCTGTTTGATAGTTGCCGCGTGCTCCCTCGCACGATTATTACTGCAGCGGTCTGTTTGCCCTACATACGAGCGCCCACAGGATAATGCTATATCGTAGACGACAGGTGTTTTACAATCCACAAACTTCGTATGGTGTTTCTTTTTGCATTCGTCCACTTCTTCACCTGTCCCAGTTCCTTTGGCGCTCATTTCCAGGTTGTGGGAAGTCTGGTGGTGCTAAAAAGTTGCAACTTGCACTAAGGGAGCGAGGCTGGCAGAGCCAGGATGCAGATAAGGAACAGGAATAAAAGCTGGATACATTTTCAGGGCCTAGAAAAATTTAGCAGTCCCGCGTTAATTTACAGCACAGTCACAGGGATCGCTGCCCTGCGAATCTTTCAAGAATCGGTTGTCTATGATACCTACTAAGTTTCTAATTGGAACCCTACACTTATCTTCGCTAACTAGAAAGGTGATTATGTTAAATCAACTAGAACCTTGGCCAACTATATATACCACAATATTTAGTTTTTAGATGCTGATTTTTTATATGAAACCTTGGCCAACATTCGGTAGAACACCTTATATAGCAAGTGGTTTTTAAGCGGCTCGAGACTGGAGCCAACGGCTGAAAGCTCAGCGGTAGAGCGTCCTAAGGCGGGTCTAAGCGCAGGGCCCTTCCGCAAGATCAAGATGCAACGCTATACTTCTGTTAGAGCTTCAGATTGGTCGAGTTGGATGTTCATGATGGTCGACATTACATCGCGCTCGAAAAACTGTCACTCAAGCTTCCAAACACACAAAAAAACTAGCGCTGTACACGTGTTTTGTTTTTTGTGTTTGGAAGCTTGAGCGACAGTTTTTTGAGCGCGCTGCAACGTTGGCTACAATTCTGGCTCAAACTCTTGCCGGAATCCAGGTTGGTGACTTAGGCACTTGCATTCATCCAATGTCTTCCTATCCACGTTCTTTTATGTCATGACTGAGCCATTTGCATGACGGGGCCATTGCACGTTTCTGCAGCCTCTTGCCGGTGGCCAGAGGCTGCAGATGACTTATTGAAGTTAAATGTTGTAAGTTTTCAACGTGCCCCCGGGATTCCCAACTGGAAGTGAAGTCGGGTGCCCCACAGCTCTCGACGGGGGACATGTTCACTCCCGGCCTCACCTCCACGACGTAGCTGTCGACAATGTCCAGGCGCGGCAGGAACCAGTGCCGGAACTCGTCCTCCGAAAACACGGGGGCCAGGTCGAACTTGGTCAGGTACTGCGGGGAGGCGCCAGGGCGTCATGTGGCGGCAATGGCGCAGCTGGCTCCGACACAGCGAGCTCCTTCGTATTAATCGAGTATGGCACAGGTTCTCAAATTGACGTTCATAAGAACCCAGGGTACCCTTTTCGTCACCACGAGAGCGAAAACGAGATCTGATTTGCCTCTGAGGAAGCGAGCGAAGTTGGCGTTCGTAGACGCTTAGTCTGCTAACGCAAGCGAACAACGGAGTTTGTCTGCCACAAAGTGCCTTTCTCAGATGGAAATAAAACAAGAAAAAATTGTAGAGCCTTTCCACTAAACGGGACGATAGAGGATCAGCGAAGCCGTTATCTTTACGACGTCTAGGACGATGCCTAGAGGACGACCTCTTGGACAACCTCCAGGGTGACTTCTTGGGCGACGCCTAGAGGACGTCTAGGACAACCTCAAAGACAACTTCTAGGACGACCTTGAGGACAAAGTCTAGAGGACGACATCTAGGACGAAGCCTAGAGGTTGACGTCTAGGACGACTTCTAGGACGACCTAGAGGACAAAGTCTAGAGGACGACGTCTAGAACGAAGCGTAGAGGACGATGTCTAGGACAAAGCCAAGAGGACGACGTCTAGGACGACTTCTAGGATGACCTTGAGGACGATGCCTAGAGGACGACGTCAAGGACGACCTCGAGGACAAGCTCGAGGGTGACATCTTGTACGACGTCTGGGACAACATCAAGAAAGACTTCAAGGACGACTTCTACGACGACCTCAAGGACGACGTCTAGGACAACCTCAAGGATGACTTCTAGGACAACCTTAAGGACAACCTCAAGGACAACTTCAAGGTCGACCTCGAGGAAAACTTCTAGGACAACCTCAAGGACAATGTTTAGGATGGCCTCAAGGACAACTTCTAGGACAACCTCAAGGACAACGCCTAGGAAGACCTCAAGAACGATGTTTAGGACGACCTCAAGGACGACGTCTAGGATGATCTCAAGGGCGACGCCTAAGATGACCCGTCGGACGACTTCGAGGATGACGTTCAGAGGACGCCTAGGACGACCTCAAGGATGACTTCTAGGGCGATGCCTAGAGATGAAACTTTCAGCCTTTCCACTCTCGTGAAGATGGAAGACCAGCAAAGCTGTACTGGCTCCAGTTTGGTGTCGACACGCTACTTGTCCGCGGACATGATAGTGGGGGAACTAGCCCTTAAAGGGACCATGAAACGATTTTGAAATCGAACTTTATCAACCGCACCTCGTAAAAGGTGTGAAAAGAAACCCAAAAACACAAAAGAGAGCGAAAAAAAAATTCTTCGCTATAGAACTTTTCAAAGGAAACCGGACTCCTTTAAGTGCGAGACACATGAGCATCAAAACTGTCTAATCTGACGTGCGAACCGCCAGGACGACGTTCGGAGGCGAGGGCTTTTATCGCACCGGAGCGTCGGATGGGGGCTCCGTCCGGCACCGGCATGCGACCAACTTGCTAGATATTCGCCGCACTGCTGTCCGATTTTCGGAGGGCCGCAGCCAATGGCAGCACGGATAACACAAAGGTCATGTTAACACGTGACTTTCAGACCGATTGGGCGAGGAGGTGCTTCGTGGCTCGGGGAAGCGGATGTGGCGGTGCGTCACACGACGCGAATCGTCGTTGTGAAGGAAATGAATGCCGTCGGGAGTTTTTCCACGCGCACAAAACGAGCTGCTGATTTCGTGCGCCATAGCAAACCGGCCATTTGGGACCGGTCGAGGCCGTCGAAACCCGAATATACTCCGTTCCACCTTAGGATGGATAGCAGCAGACTTTACGAGCCATTCCAACGTCGTGCGAGTGTCAAGTGGACTTCGGAAGAGACGCAGCAATGCGCGCGGTGCGTAGTCACGTGATTTGTATGCAGTACTCGATTCGCTGGGATGGCTTCTAAGGTCCGCTGTGGTCCATCACGATTAAGTGATGTTGAGCAGAAAAGTAACCTAAAGAAAAGTAACATGCCCACTTCAATAGAATTTAATAAAAATGTTGTGTTTGCTTTCAAGTCAGAAAAACCAAGAAGGGCGAAGAAAGTATTTTAGGTATCTAGGCTAGGTGGCACGAGCTACCGCCCATTATAAATACAGCCATTAGCATCCATTCATACATTCGGCAGAGGGATACCCGAAACTGGGCGGAGCTGAATGAAGCGACGCCACGGCACGCCGGAAGCCATGTGTCTCGAACCGTCTTGTGCGACGATTAGGAGCAGCCATCTTTCCAACAGTTTGCACACCGGACCGGACAGTTTTGACGCGCATATGTTTCGTGCTTTACACCTTCTTTCCTTCGAAAGCTCTTCACTAAGATGCATCCGCGGAACCACAGCACGTCAGTCAAATCCACGTCGCCTATTGGGTAAGAGCCTACCTCACCAGCACCGCAATCATAAACAATAAATAGCCGGCGAATGTTTCCTACAAGTTTTGTTAAATAATATTCAGATCTACATTTTGTAGCGTAATTAGAGATGTGACAAAAATTGCCGAATTTGATAATGCTCAGTGCCAAGCGCCATCTATCGTGTGGTAAACGAAGCAAAAGAAAGACCTGACTGCGCCTGGGCAGTCAACCCACGAGCGTCATCTGCTGAATGGGTTTGCTCCTGGTGGCACTTTCTTCACAGAGCAGACTTTCATTTTCTGGCTGCTCGAGTAGTATTTACATTGTTTGTGATTGAACGCCCGGTCGCTATGCTGAAAGACTGCAGTGCACCAAAGTGCCCGAATTATAATTTCTGCAGTCCGGTGGTTAAAAAAAAACAGTTGCAGTTTCACTGCTTGCCACTCAATGAACCACGTCGAAGCACTTGGTGCAGGCTCATCGGTTTGCAGGACCTCGATTCTAAGGTCATTCATGTATTCTTGAAGCATTTTGGCATTTTGACACAGAGCATAATTACAGCCACATTCAGTGTTCTCTGCGAATGCAGGCAGGTTCCAAAATTCCTCCGCCGATTCCGATGAAGAACTGGAGTTTTCGTCAGAAGACTCGCTGCACTTCCCGAGAGGCATACCGGTGTATGAGACTAGTCCCATGCTGTCGCTGTAGCGCAACATTTCTAATTGAATTTCGCTCATCTGCGATGTGTCCATGGTTATCACGGTGATGAATGAGAGGCGCCGATTCAGAAAATATGTCGGTGGCATCAGCGCCATCAGCGCAGTAAAACCTACTGGCACACCGCCAATCCGCCGCTGCTAGCGTTCCCATTCTCCTACTGCCCAGAGAACTTCCGGTTCCAATGACGGCGGACGTCACCGACCGTCAAAATTACCGTACTTTGCGGCTTGTTTTGTGGTGAGTTGGAGAGGAAGAAAAAGTTGATATTTTATAAATTTTATGTGTAGAAGTTAATAAACCAAAACGAAAACGGATGCCAGTTCGGCATTCAGTGAACATTGAAGGTTTAATGTAAAAGCCATTTGGCAAAAAAAGGTAATTTCATGGTTTCTTTAACAGCTTCGCTGTAAAAACCGAACGTCGTCTGCTAAAAGAACTGAAAAAATGTTGATCGTCAGCTGCGAACTGAGTGCCGTGGTAAAGTGAAATCGGACACAGGCTGAAATTGTGATCGTTTACTATAGTCAAACCTCGATGTAACGGAGTCAGTAAAATTCGGAATTTACTTCGTTGCATTGAAATTTCGCTACATAGAAATTTGAGGCTAATGTTAAAGAAAGTTTCCACAAATGTTTCTCGGGTGCACAAAGCTCATCGAGGACGCCTCTATTTTGGTTAAACGTAGTCCGTCACCTTTTTCTGGGCCACTCTTGGCATTATTATTGGCATCACACGACGTTCGCATAGCCAGACGGCCTGCATTGTGTTTTCGTCTTGCTGTGTTATCGCGAACTGCCTCAAGACATTGATTGCGTCCACCACCTCACAGTTACTGGGCAGATAGCAGGTGACTCGCTCATCAGGCTCGATGTTGTCCCCGTCTTGCGAGTTCCCACGAACATCGCTAGCTATCGCCTCATCGGTCATCTACTCTGTTGCAATGACAGCAGAATTGGCATATAGAAGGTCGTCGAGGTCGACGTTGTCAGGGGCGGCTCCATCGTCTTCGAGGCTCTATCGCCCAGGAGAATGAGAAACGCATGCTTTTAGTTAGGCCACGAAATGAACTGCACAGCACGAACGAAGCCGATGGATGAAACAGCAGCGGCTCTAGTACCCTCTAGTACAGTGATGCGAATGGCCTAAGCTATTTCGGAGCACCTTTTGGAGCAGCCAAAACAGTGCTTTGGAGCAGCAAAAGTGACTTTTGGAGCAGCCAAGACAGTGTTTCGGAGCAGCAAAAATGGGCTTTTAGAGCAGATATTCTTTAAAAAAATAAAAACATTTGTTTTAAGTGCTGTATAAACGAAGGGTACTTTGTGTTGTGTTGTGATGTGACATGTGACGGAACTTGCTGCTTGTTTTTTTACTGCTGAGACATCCCACAAGTGTACAGTGCTGGAGACACTGCCCAGCAATTCCGAAAAACCGCTTGCCACCATTGTTCTGGTTTCTGACGTGCCAGATTTTCATCAAAAGTAAGCAAACGCAAAACAATGGATTGCCAACATCCCGGCTGGTGTTACTGTCGTGCAATCATGTTCGTAAGCATGTGAGGGTAACTTCGGGAGGCTTGCAGTTGCGCGTGCTTCATCGTGCGAGCGGAGACAACGGCTGTTCGATCAAAACCGAAACCATGCCACTCCACTCCGTCGCCAACTGATTCCCAAAATTGTATGCAAAATGTAACTGTCGAGCATACAACAAAAAACAGTCCAGCGGCGCGTGCTTGCCAGGCCGGCAAACAAGGTACAAGGCCCCCCCACCCCCCCTCCGATGGCTCCGATAACGACACCTCGCCACCCCCTTTGCGCATTCATTGTATCGTTATCGGGTGTCGGAACGCTCTACTAAAACTCTTTGATTCGAGTTATAGTATGTCATCAAAACAGTTTGAGCAAGGCACAAACTTTCTCGGATAAGCCAGTCACACTTCTAGCATTACTTATTGCTGGAGACACGACGGGGAACTTGTTTTCCCTCGGGCTACGAGAGGAAGTGAGGCAGGAAAGAAAGAGAAATCCTCACGTTGGCAAGAAGGGCATGGGCCTGCGTGGTGTCCGACTTGCGGAACTGCCGGAACCCGGGCGTCTTGGGCTTCTGCATTGCAAAGGGAAGACGGGTCAACGACGATGCAAAGAAACGGCCCCATAGTTGTCGGCACAAAGTCACCGCTGCACCTACGGCGTTTTTTACGAGAACGTCATTATGCACGAAGCGTCGTAGCAAGCGTCATGAACGAGTGACACGCTTGAAACATTGCAGACGTTAAGGATGCGTGTAAAGTTGGAATGTAAGCTTGAGCCCCGGCAGGGCTCAAACCTGGGTCGGACACCGTAGTCACCGAGTTACTACCACAACTGGTCTGGAGGGGTTCAAGTTTTTATTAATGCATTCGTACCCACATGACAGATGCTGTCCATGACGGCATTCGTCTGTCGACAGAACGGTGGGAAGTGCGCTGCACACAGAGGGGGAGAGTAGCAAAGGACAAAGGCGAGACGGGGGAAGCCAACGCGCGTGCTGGAGCGAGTTAGAACTTGCAGGTGCGCCTCTGTTTGTGCTACAAAGTGGAGTGCGAACCAAGCACTAGCGCTGGTCCAGGTAGACGGCATAAAGGTAAGATCCATTGGTGGATTCTTTGGGAATGCCACGACCCTCAGGAAACGCCATGTATGTCTCCCTTTGGGATACGCTAACACTGACCCCGTAACAAAGCCAAAAAGAGAAGTTGTCAGCGTTTCAAAAAGAGGGACGTGTTTCCCAGGGGTCACGCTAACTCATTTCCTAAGGATCAATGGAAAGGTGCTGGCGAGAGCAGCAGATGTTCGATAAAAATAATAAAATAAAATAAATGAATTATTTAACATTTAAGAGCAAGAATTAAAATATGAATATGGTAAAAACAAAAATAAAATAAAAATAAGATAAAACAAAACTGATGGAAAGATAGAAAAAATTCTGAGGACACCTAAGCACTTCTTGCGAGTTGTGAATGTGAAAGCATGAATGTCGTTCTCCCGCTCCCTTAGTTTGTCCGCGGTGTACTGGCATAGACGGCCACGTTTCGCCACCGCCCAGGCTGTGGCCGGCGGCCCAGCCTTGTGAAGCGGCCGCCATTGACTATCTAGGAGCCGTTTTGCTCAAGCCAATGGGAGAATGGGCATTTCTTTCACGTTTTTTGGGGGTTACAGACGGCTCCACTCCGTGGGGATAGTTAATGCTTTCGCATTAAAACTACCCGGCACAAACGACACACAGTGGGATTTGTGTGGGACACATTCCGCGCTCCCTAGCCAGTACGTCGCCGACCGATTTCTCGGATGCCAACGTTTTGAACGCCGATTTTTCGGACACGTTTCATTACCGTATTTACTCGATTCTAGGCCGGCATCATTTTGGGGGCCGGCAAACCCCCAATACAGCCAGGACGAAAAAAAAAAAATCCTCGATTCTAGGTTGGTCAGAAAGGAAGGGTAAAACACCATAAATTAAACGCAGAACGTCATTTATTTCCCATATACAATACTAGATCGGCCACAAAGTCGATGGCGGTGTTTGTGGTTTATGTCCACTTTTTCGCTGCTCACTCGTTTTCCTCACTGGTATCCTTTTCGCTGTCAACTTGCCACAACGCATGGTCATCCGTCCCGTCCAGAGCATTCGAGATGCAACATTTTTGGAAGCTTACTATCCGTTCCGCCGGGGTGTCGTCCCATGCGGCCGCGATCCAGCGCGCCACCTGACTTAACGAGGCATGCTTGATTTGACCGGCCGGGGTCAGCTGGTGGTCTTTCTGGGTAAGCCAATCTCTAATACTTCCGGAGTCTACCCTTAAAGGAGCCCTGCAATGACTTTTTTACTAATTTTTTATTTGCACCGAACCTGAGCGCACTGAACGTAGTAACTTAGTGAAACTTTTCTTTTCTCAAAATTCCCTTTATTTTAAAAGTTATAAGCAAATAAAATTACAAAAACAAGCAAAAAATAACCTCCCTCATGACGTCCTTGGTTGCTTGAGAGTGGCCGTGAACTAGAGAAGTAGTGAGCTCATCGAGCACTCACGGCTGCCGCACTCCGAGTCGACGGCGCGAGAGGGCGCCATTGATGCGTGTTCTGGATAGGCTGTATGCAGCGGGTAGCCACAGAGGCTCTCATTGCATTTGCTGCGGGATTAAATACTAATTCGGCATGACACTTCATTGGCCACAAACGACAGCAAACACGGGGTAAAGATCAGTTCAGAACGGGAGCCACTTTGCGCTGCCATACCGCCAAAGGGCTAAATCGGCAGCCAAGCCCGCGCCGAGAGCCTTGGGAACGCTCGGAACCGGTCGGATCCTTGAACCGGCATACGACTGCAGCGCTGCCGCGTACATCCGGGACCTTTTTGTGTTGGCGCCTGATCCCACTATTCCTTTCTAGTATGTGCCGCTTTTTCCACCGCTTGGTGGCAGGTATGTCGACGGGTCATTTCTTGTTTCCCTACTTTATGAACTGCATTCGTATCTTTTTTTATCTAAAATACTGAACAAAAACTACTTCTATAAATAATTGAAACGGTTCGCGCCATTTATCTTTTGTATTTCGACTCAAAAGAAGCTTTTAGCGGCTCTGACCAGTAGTAAGCCCAGGACCAAAGACGTCACATTTTGCGCGCTTTCGATACCGCGGGTCGCCCTCGTCGGTGGAGGAGTTTTCCGCGTCGTCCAGTTAAAATATGACGCACTTATATTTAGTTACTCTGTCCGTGCCCGCTGGCTTGCCCGAACTCAAAGAGACGTGGAAACCGCAAAAAAGGTGGACGCTTAAATATGATTGCAGGGCCCCTTTAAACGGCTTGTTGATTGCGACATCCAACGGCTGCAGGTGGCTCGTCATGCCTCCAGGAATGATGGCCAAATCCGCTGCGCCTTCGGAAAATACGGCTTTCAGCGTCCGTCAGATGTCCGCGATAAAAGTCCGAAACGAGAATCAAGTTCTTGCACAGCGCAGCACCTGGACGGCGTTGCCAAATCAACTTCACCCATTTCTCGACCAAAGCACCGTTCCTCCACCCTTTCTCGTTTGCCTGCACAACAATTTTTGGGAACTCCTCTTTAGCAGGGCTCGTTTAAAACTAATAATGTATGCTGGCAGTTTGTGACCATCGACTGTGCAGCACAGCATCACCGTTGGGCGCTGTTTTCATACCCTGCCGACCGAATTTTGACCTCCTTCGTGCCCTTTTCATTTACTGTGTAAGCGAGGGGCATATCGAAGTAAACCGGTGTCTGGTCGACGTTGCCCATTTGCCCTACAAGGTAGTTCTTTTCTTCTCCCTTCCTTTTCACATACCGTTGGAATCGGATCAACTTCTCCAAGTCCGCCGGCAGTTTTTGGCACGCAGACGTTCGCCGTCAAAGACTGCATCCAAATCTCTTCATGAATCTTTGCAGCCAGCCCGTCTTTTTAAGGGAGCACATGGGGATCGACAAATATTTTTTAAAATTATTTTAGAAGGATTCTGATTAAATTTTGCATGCATGTTTGCAATGCCTGTATGGTGATACATACAAAATATCACTGTTATATTTCAATTACTTTTTTTTTTATTTTCTTCTTCAAACCTTGTGGAGTGCCTGCAGAATTTAAAAAATGTGATAGAAGACTGATTGGGCTTCGAGTATGTTCCCTAATGAATACTATAAAGCGTGACATTCTGGGATTTTTTAATATTCTGCACAATTATTTATAGTCGGAATTTTCCATCGCCTTGCATGAATGGATATATATTGCATGCACACGAAGAACCACATTATAAATACAAAAAAGGTATACTCTGAGAAAACAAGAATGCCACTATGTGTAGTGTAGTTCTAAGTGCATAATAAGACAAATAGAGCAACAATAATCAAAACAGTTGCCAAGATATCAGCTCCACAAGTAGAACAAAAAGCAAAAATGTTTCTGTGTAAGTGTAACAGCGTGTATGAGGAAGTGATGAAAACAGCCTTATCTTGTGGTATCACTTTTTGAAAGCACATATTCTTTTTTACGCGATTTTTGTTTCGGTGCATGCACCTTCATAGTTGTGCAATGACGAATCTACATCGTTCAATCTCGCGATTCATGGCAAACACAGAGATCTAAAAATTACTAATAAACGATATTCGTCGACTGTGAAAACAACCAAGTTAATTCCAAATAAACAAAGGCCAAGTAAAGCCGCACAGAAATGGGACCTGAGGGTTGACATGGAAGCGTCGCTGCACAGCACGGTGCCTCGAAAAGTACAATACTGTCGAGACCGGTTAGAATGAAGTCAACAGGAATCAGAAATCACTTGGCTATATCTGCTATCTCGTTATAACCGAAGTCGGTGTAACGAAATGCAAACGGGAAAGGGACATCGTAATCGCTTCGCTGTAGCCACAATTTCGTTATAACCGACTTGGTTATAACCGTTTTCGACTGTATGAGAAGTATGTCATAGGTTGAAGGCATGCAGACACCAACTACCTCCTTGCCTATAAAACAGGGCATCTTTTATAAATGCGCATTCTCCACAGAACATGCTACAGTGTAATGGTATATTTGCACGAGATATCTTCACCTCCAAAGAAAACAGAGTATGTCGCATAGCTGCAAGAAGAAAAAGACAAGAGATGGAAGAGGCGGTGCAGAAAATTTAAGTCACGTGTAGCTGAGTTGCCGGAGTCTTTCTTTTTGTAAACCCGTTGGCGACCTCCGGGGGCTCATCAAACAAAAAGAGAAAAAATTTCTACAAAAGGCACCCCACATTTTGAAGTTGATGTTCATAACTCTTTCCAAAAGGCAGGGGGACAAAGGAGGGGGCCAGGTCGCTCTGACGGATATTCTGTAGGCCGGTCGCAGATACCTTTCGGCTCCCCGCAAGCTCGGGGGACTTTTTGAACATCCGCGATGCACGTGGCCTCGCTGCTCGACGACGTTTAATCCTCTCTTCAGGGAGAAACTCCGTCGTGCAAATACACCGTTACCGAGACCAAAATTTGTTTTCGGCATGCGGGAAAGTTCGAAGGGTTAAAAATAGCCGGAGTCTCTAAAAACTGCGGCAATCGTGCCACCCACCCTCTATTTAGCGTAACTGATAGCAAAATGTCGGAATCTCTAGATAAGATGACACGAAACTTTGGACACTACTCCATGTTACACCTAAATCGACCGAAACTTTCCGAATGTAGGGGGCCCTCAGTGAAACTGACCTGTTCAAGGTGCGTGTCCCTCGTTTGGTGGGTAACGAGAGGGACTGTAAACCACACCAATAATCCCCTCTCGTGCACTGCCATCTTTCCCTACTGGACTGTGTCAAACGTCTCGAGTACACACGGTAGCGCACTTCCACGAAATAGCAGGAACAGTGCAGTGACTGGGCATTTTTTGCCAGGGTAATAAGCGCCAGAAAGGTGCATACTTGGGGACCGACGCACGTCACAGTGCCTAAAACGAGGCCAGGCGACATTTGGCTCGGATGGCCACCCACCTCTGGCAGCTTGTAGAGTTTCAAGGTGCGCTGCATGGTCATGTTCCGACTCAGGTGAGAGAAACGCACGTCGATCAGCTTGCGCGGATTTAGGGACCGATGCCAGTACCTGCAAACAAGCACGCCTCGTTAGGCTCAGAGTCACGAGACGGTGCCCAAAAAGAGGCGGCAGAATCCTTAGGCCGATGCCTAGCGCGTGGCTGTTGTCTCGCTCTCGAAAGAAGCTGTGGACTTTGCACGCTAAGGTCGGGGTCGCTTCCTGCCCGCCGACCCTTACGGAGAGTTGTGGCGGCGACTGTAAAGCTGCCGCTCGGCCCGCTTTCCCGCCGACCAATCTCTGCGCACGAAAACGGTCTAAGGGCAAAGGTTGCATTACCACGACGGTATTACATTCATACCGTCGCGGCCTGAACTCGCCTCCTGTTTACAATTTATATGCAAATACGGCACTTTACGGCAACAGCTGTTACGAGGCTTCCCAGCTTTATTCTACCACTGGTGATGGCGTTTGGCAGGGAAAGGTCTCGTCTTCTAGGCGGCATCGGCTCAGGTGGCGTAATGCGATGTCGCGTGTGGCACGTGACATGACAAGTGGCACGATGCGACGATAGACGGAGGGACGGACATATACAGTCGAACCCTTTCTGTCAAGTGGCGGCTTACGCCACCGGACCAAAGCTTATGATTTCAACTATTCACTCCGATTAAATTTTAATTTAATTAAGAATAATCAAAATTTTCAATGTAACGTCGCAGCAACTGTGGCCATCTAGCGGGCATTACGCGAGATTCGTACACGCCATGCTTATCGAATGCCTATAAAGCAGATTCTCAAAGCAGTGCCGTAGCTCTGTGGTAATGCACTCGCTTTGCACACGGTGGACCCGGCGTCGCATGTTGAGAATGCCACAAGGTTGGGCGATCTGTTTCGAGCATTTGACGGTGTCGACGGTGGACGCCCAATGCCCTACTACGACAACTGCAACTACGACGGATGTCATTTGCAGTGCTGGAAAGAGCTTAAGGGCTATTGCTGTAATAAAGGGAGGATACACATAAAAGTGGGTGTCAGTATGTGCAATAACTGTCACCGTCACTTTTTCGTACACCAAAGTGAAAAGCTGCAGACTTTTTTTCTAGAGCGCAAGCTCACCTATATTACGCATCTCGTTCTATTAAATTTACTACCTGGCAGTCTAAAATGTATCTAGTGGTCAAAAGCTAGCGGCCTTTGTCTACACCCCCTGTCCGAACACGAACACCAACATCTGGCGTCCGCGTTCCAGCAGCGAGCAGACGGGTTGTTTCTTCTTCACAAGTCCCCCCTTCGGCGCAGCGGCAGAGTGTCAGGCTCATAATCGTGGGGTCGTGGGTTCCATCCTTGTCGAGTGCCATTCAGAAGTTGGTTCCAATCTTCTCAACCCCTTACTATATTTTCTCACTTACGCATACAGATGGCCCCTCAGGGGTATGTGTTGCACATTGTGTCACACTTTTCTCAAGGCTCCTGGCCCACATTCTGCATTAAGGGGGGACACTGGCTAGAGGTTGAACTTCTGAACTACTCAAGTGATTGGAATTAGATTTGCAGGGGAGATTTAACTTCAGATGTAGGCGTACTGTGCAAACTTTCATCTCTCTAGGACAACTTTACATACCTGCATAAGAAGATATGTCACTCTTCGTTAATAAATCTATGATATGCAAATGAAGCTATTAAGCATCATTTTAACTGCTTGAGTATAAAGAGGGGGATGTGGGACTTCGGGCTATCTAGTTTTTACAACTCAAATGTAAATATTTCAGGAAAAGTAATATCCTCAAAATATGAGATGTATATCTGTCCTATGTCAATTTTTGAAAACAGTTTTTTCTTACTGAAGACTTTGATGTAAAACAAAATAAAGTAGATAGCCCAATTCCCCAGTAAATTTCGGTTCAGAAACATCTTGACTGTGGTATCAGAATATTTTTACCTTCGAACCAAAGATTCCTTCGTGTGAAATTTGCAGCAAAAAGTGGAACTGAGAAAAATGCATTCAAACATTGAACTCCTTTACTTTGTTAGTGCATCACAGTGTGTTGAAAATATTTTATATCAACGTAACTATTTGGTGCATGATTATGAAATTTGGTGTAAGGGTGTATAATTAGCTTCTAAAACCAAAAGCCTAAAAATTTCAAAAAATTTTGAAACTCAGGCCCATGTCGCCCTTTAAAAGGGAGGGAGCGAGGGAAGGAGAGGGTAACCCTGACCTGCAGGTTCCGATGGGTTTAGGCAGCACCACGCCGGCGGTGTAGACTGCCTGGAAGATGCCCTGGCGGTTGACACGGCGCGTGATCTCCCGGATCAGCACGGGGGCCACCCGCTTTGACCGCAGCTTCTTGTGCACACACAGGAAGTTCACCTCAGCCATCCGCTGCACGCTGCACGGTTTGAGAGTAGCCCTCAGTGGTTCGCAAACACTTCCATTGTAGAGGAACCCGTTTGCCGAAAACAATGGCCGAATATAACCACTCCCGGTCTATACATTGACATAGTATGAAAGCCTGCAGACCTTGTAAATGGCAATGCATACAGTATTAGGAAGCATTTGGCTCATAGTTACGACTCAAAGGGTAGCTTAGACTTGCTGGAATAGTGCTTAAACCGGAAGAATACTTTACTTGGGGACGGTCGAGGAAATTGGGCAGCTGAAAGAACCCACGAGGGTACTCTGAAGAACTTATATTTCTTGGAACCTAGTTTGAGAAGCTTCTTGACCACCGACGTTAAGGTGACCCCTTCTGGATTGGCAGAAATGATAGTGTACCCCATCCACCAGACCGGATGGGGGTGTGTTAGAGGATTACGTCAACAAAGAGTTAAAGAAAGGAAACAATGCGTGCAAACCAACTCCAAGGCTCTGAAACAGAGTAATCGACCCCACCTGCTTGCCATACATGGACTGGTCTATTTAGACTTCTGAACAGCCAATATCAACAAAGGAAAAAAAATTGTACAGCCCTTCCACTTCACGTGAAGATAGAGGACCAGCAAAGCTGTTACTTTTACAACGTCTAGGACGATGCATAGAGGACGACTTCAATGACGAAGCCAAGAGGACGACCTCGAGGACGATGCCTAGAGGAAGCCGTCTAGGACGACCTCAAGAAAGACTTCTAGGACGACGCCTAGGACGACTCCTAGGACAACCTCAAGGACAACCTCAAAGACGCCGCCTAGAGGAAGTCGTCTGGGACGACCTCAAGGATGACTTTTAGGACGACGCCTAGAAGTCATCTAGGACAAGCTCAAGGATGACACCTAGAGGACAAGGCTTAGGACAACCTCAAGGACGACTCACAGGACGACCTCGACGACAACACCTAAAGAAGTCATCTAGGACTTCTAGGACAACCTCGAGGACGACGCCTATAGGAAGCCGTCTAGGACAACCTCAAGGACGACGCCTAGAGGACGATGTCAAGGACGACTTCTAAGACGACTTTAAGGACATTGCCTAGAGGACAACGCCTAGGACGACCTCAAGGACGACTTCTAGGACAACCTGTCAAACGACCTCAACGACATTTAGGACGACCTCAAGGACGACGTCTAACAACTACAAAGACTTCTAGGACGACCTCGAGAACGATGCCTCGAGGATGACGCCTAGAGGACGACGCCTAGGACGACCTTAAGGACAACTTCTAGGACGACCTCGAGGACGATGCCTAGAGATGATAACAAGGGATCAGGACTTCACTATGTAATGCCAAGGAAGGCTGACTCACGCTGGTTGCCCCCTCACTTTATTTTTATTTATTCATACTTGCCACAACCAATGGGAAGTTTCCCGTCAACATCCGCGGACACATTTTTTCCCAGATCCTAGCGCATAACAGCTTCGCTGTAAAAACCTTTTTGCACGGTTTGACTGGCAGTTGACAGGTTCAGGAACCCAAAAAGGCCTTCAGGGACCCCAAATGCTCCGCAGACCTCCATTTGAAAACCACTGCTTTAGGCCTTGGGTTCTGAAACTAGTTTCCTAGATGCATACGGGTTCCCCAGTGAGCCCCAAATTTCTTCAGCTGTGTTTGCTCCACACTAAACCACTCTTCCAGCTTGAGCGCTCTCGTGGCACATCTGAGCCGCCTACTGCTCATAGCGTAACTATAAGCCGACCAGTTTCTAATGTACATATCATTGTTCTCAAGGCCGGAGCCGCTTCATCGCATCAATGCGAAGACCGGGAGGGATTTCTCAACTATCGACCGCGACAGACAAACAAGGGGAACCGCAGAGTCCAGAGTCATTTTGTCGAGGCTCTCCAGAGAGCGACAAAACACATGCACGCTTTTTGTGGATGTCGTATCTGTCTTGCGCCAACACTCACGAGGACCCTGGATCGCAGGACCAGAGTGCCAGATTTTCAAGGTTGCCCGTCGGAGGCCAGCAAGAGGGACAGGTTGGAACAAGGGCTGCATCAACGTTTGGACTGGCGCTCAGCCATCGAGGAAGCGAGTCCTGGCCAAACATTGATGTGGCGCTTGCTTCTAAATGTACTCTGCACCGGCTTCAGCAACACTGGAAATCCTGAATACGGCTTCGTCACCCAGGAAGCGTTAATTGAGCATGCGTACCATAGATGTTTCTGGACGTTACGTCAAGGCTTTTGCTGGAAAGCGCCAGTGCACCAGGCACAAAAGGACGACGACGACTTCCGTCATCGTCATTTTTCCGACGCAATGTTCTAGTTAACTGTAATTGTTTTTTTTTTGTTTTGTTTTTTCTTTCTAATGCTGACTTGCAGTAACGCAAAAGGGCCCTTCACTTCGACTCTTCCGCACACCGTTCTTTCACAATGTTTGCAGGAGGCAGACTCTTCAAAGGCAATATTTCAAGAAAGGACGATGTCTAAAAATACACGATGTGCAACGTAGATGGAAACCCGTCCCTTTTGTCTTCTTTGGCTCGGAGAGAAGCCGAGCACAATTTGCTCTCGCCGGACGAGCACCGACGGAGGAAAGTTCCTCCGGGGCTACCGGCTAAAGTTTTGCCAATGTGCTCAACAAAAAAGGACGACTTCCATGGCGGTCGACGGGCCGAAGAGAATGGCAGGAGCAACGCACTGGTTATAGATGCGGATGGTGGCGGGCACGGCACTGATGAATCCCACCAGCTTGTGGCTCTTGACGACCCGCACGCCACAGTGCCAGTCCTTGGTCCAGCCGGGAGGCTGAAGGGCCCTGCACGGATATGTACGGGAAGTCACAGTCAGACGGAGGAGCTGATGCCCGGGCTCACAAAGCTGCGAGTCATCGAAATCCTTCTGCCACAGCAAATCGAAGTGCAGTCCTCTAGGTCATCGCCGAGGACCCGCAGAAGCGTGCAGCGAGGGCCAAGTCTAACTCACGGCGACAATTGGTGACGGGAGGCCGGGACCAAGTCTGTGTAGCTTTTCCAACAGACAAGAAAAGGCTGCCGACGAAAGTGGCTTCCGAGGCAATACCGCTGGAGTTTAAGAAAAGCGGAGCAAAAGCTCCTCCTTTGAAACTCTCCCCTCGTTCCACTTTACTGGAGGAAGGGCCCTGGAGGAGGCAAGACGAGGCGAGGAGGGACTTGCCTTATCTCCGGCGTTTGCTCTGCAAAGTGGAAAGGCTGGAGGGCTCCGAAGGAGGAGCTTGTCCCACTTTTCTTAACCCGCAACAGAGTACAAAGAGGCCAGATTAAAGAAAGGGAGAAATCTACTGGCAGATATGCCTCCTGCCTGGAATGGTCTTGTTTCATTGAACTTGGCCAAGAAATGTGGAAGACATTTCCAAGACCAGCATTCCACCCTAATTTCAAAGTCGCCGCATCCGAGAAAAGCAGCATCGTAAGAGCTAGTACGGAGGACACCGTGCAGGCTGAGCGGGGACAGTGGGGAAACCTCAAGGATGGCGCAGAGGCTCCATAGTTCATGCGGCCGCCGAGAGATGGTGCTGATAATGAATAACGCCTATAAGGAAAGAGTTAAAGAGGTAATTCTCTTTCTCGTGTTCGCCCATTTGCACAACAATGAACACAACTGAACAAGCAATGTAGACTGACGTGCGTGTTGGTCGAGTTGAGGAACACCAAAAGAACAAGCCGCAGGTGGGACGAGGGATGACGTACGCTTTCTTTCAGCTAGCAACAGTGCAATAAAGCCACAGCATTCTTTTTTCCGAATCATGCCCTCATTCCACCCGTGTCTTAAAGGACACATGCAAAGGAAAAAAACATTTTTTTTTAACAGCCTGGTTGGGAAAAGGAAGTCATAAAATGAATTTATAACGAAAAAGAACAATTGTTAGAGCTATATTTACGGCGCGATACAAATTTGTAGTTGGCGCCCGCAGGCACCGCGCAAAAGTGGCCACTACTTATCCCGTGACTGACCACTATGTGTCACGGGGGTCCTTCCGCTCTTTCGGAAGCTTCCTACGGTTATGGTGCCTGGATCGCGTCTTCGACTGGTGTGTTTAGCGTCCTATCCCGCCCATAAATCAAAAGTGGTCCCAATGTGGCAACAAATGACGCGTGTCATGTTGTTACTTGTCGTGATCCTGGCGGTTGGCCGTAGAAATGCTGGCGAAAAGCAAGAGCGAACGCGAGTGTCGCTGTCGTCACGGCATCCCTTTAGGCGTCCCAACTTCCGGCTGCTCTAGCTTCCATGAACTGTCACAGTGGAAAGCGACCTGCAGCAAAACAGGCGTCTGCCACTTATACCACAACTTTTGGGACGCCACCAGGGTCGCGAACGGCGACACCATGACACTTTTATGACGTCATCAGGCGGAAATCGAGGGACCACTTTTTTGGCCGCGGTAAACACCAGTCGGAGAAGCGTTCCAGGCACCATACTACGGTCTCTAAAAGTTATTTATTTATCTTCGTCTAAAGTGCAACGAAAAACGAAGATTAATTAGTAACTTTTAGAGCCCAAAGGAAGCTCCTGAAAAAGCGCAAGCAGACGTGATAGACCTTCGCGGCAGTCCGGTGACGGCGCCGGCGCCCCGGAGTAGACGAACTTGCGCGCCGGCGGCAACGCACCACGCTCGGAGTGCGGCGTGAATTTGAGGTGGCAGCGGCACAGCGCAACGGTGCACGGGTCTATCACGTGACGCGCAGCAGCTCCCGCGGGCAACAACTACAAATTCGTTTCGCGGCGTAAATATAGCTAACCTTTTTTCTCCTCGTTGTAAATTTGTTTTATAACATTCTTTTTCCATCTAGGCTGTTAAAAAAAATGTTTTTTTCCTTTGCACGTGTCTTTTAAAGGGGCCCTGCAATGACTTTTTGACTGGTTTATAATTTGCACCGAACCTGAGCGTACTGAACGTAGTAACTTAATCAAAATTTTCTTTTCTCAAATTTCGCTTTATTTTAAAAGTTATAGGCAAATTAGAATTACAAAAACAAGCAAAAAATAACCTCCTTCATGACGTCGTAGGTCCTGGCTTTAGTGGCCGTGAACTAGAGGAGGAATAGTGAGCTCATCGAGCGCTCATGGCTGCCGCACTCCGTGTCGACGGCTTGAGAGGGCGGCACTAAAGCATGTGTTGGATAGGCTGTATGAAGCGGGCCGCCAGGGCAGCTCGCATTGGATTTGCAGCGCGACTAAACACTAATTCGGCGTAACACTTCATTGGCCATAAACGACAGCAAACACGGGGTAAAGATCAGTTAGAACGGGAGCCACTTCGGAAGCTGACACACCGACAAATGGCCAAATCGCCAGCAGGGCCCGCGCCGAAGGCCTTCGGAACGCTCGGAACCGGTCGGATTCTCGAGCCGGTATACGACCGCAGCACCGCCGTGTACATCCGGGACCTTTCTACGCTCCTCGTTCGTCGTAGCCTCATCCCACTAGTTCTTTCTAGTATGCGCCGTTTTTTCCGCCGCTTGGTGGCGGGTATGTCGACGGGTCATTTCTTGTTTCCGTACTTTCTAAACTGCATTTGTTTCTTTTCTGATCTAAAATAGTGAACAAAAAGTACTTTCATATATAATTGAAACGGTTCGCGACACTTATGTTTTGTATCTCGACTAAAAAACAAGCTTTTAGCGGCTTTGACCAGTGGCAAGCCCAGGACCAAAGACGTCACATTTTGCGCGCTTTCGGTATTGCGGGTCGCCCCCGTCGGTGGAGGAGGTTTCCGCGTTGTCCGGTTAAAATATGACGCACTGATATTTAGTTACTCTCTCCGTGCCCGCCGGCTTGGCCGAACCCCAAGAGACGTGGAAACCGCGAAAAAGGTAGACGCTTAAATATGATTGCAGGGCCCCTTTAAGGCTTATTCACACTATGCACCTTTTCAACGCGCCACAGTTTAGCGAAACCAAGATTTCACAAAATCGGCTCTTGACACGTGGAGTTTGACGCGCAAAACCTGCGACGTATTGACTCAGTAGAGTTTCGCCAAACTTTGTAACCTGCACTGGGAAGATTGAGCGTTTTGCATTAAAATGATGCAAAGTATGCAGTGTGAGAAGACAATCTGCTTTATAAACTGTCAGATTCGGCTCACTGAGTTTACTAGGCCTGGCAAACCCGCAAAGACTGCCAACATCAAAGAACAGGCGGATGATCTCGAAGCATTTCAGACATTTTGCACCGCTAAAAAAAAGCTATCCCAAGCCACCATTTTTATATGCGGTGTTTGCACTCGTCGCAACTGTTGATGAATCTGCAATGCATCACCAACCCATACTGCTAACACATATCGCCGTGCTGGTGACCAGAGAGACATAAGCGTAACGCGTATATTAACGTAATATGGCCCTCGATAACTGCATTTGCTTTTCAGAAGCTAATATATCCTAGCACACTGGATGGGCGCATTACCCCCATATGCACGACGGAGGTAGGAATATAACAGATGCATGCCACCCGCTTGGTGGATCACAAACTGAGCGACAAACTTGAAGTAGGTGGCACTCGTAGATACTTTAGCGTTCGAAAAAAAAAAAATGAAAAGAGCGCTGTCTCACCACTTCAGAAACTCCGGGGCATAGTCGAAGCGAAACATGTTGTCATCGTCCTCGACGTAGTTCTCGTTCAGCAGCTGGTACAGCTCCTTCAGCTGCACAAGGAAGCGAGGCTCAAAAACACACAAGCTCGCCTGCACTCCCCTCTCACACAGAAATGAAAGACATGTTCCGAGCGAGACCACAAGGTTAAAAATTTTCGTACTCGCGTCGCTTCCCTTTGCAAATATTAAAAAATATATATATATCTATATATAATTCCGCAACATCGCGGGTAAACACTGGAGCAGTCAAAGGAAAAGGTTCGCCCATTGAGCATGAGTTACTCAACACCCCACCACTCTTGAAGAGCTTCGCAACGGGGTCCGAAAAAATAAATACTCCCAATGCAAGAGACGAGGCGCTATTCATATTCCCTAAAACAGTGTCAGGTTTTTGTAGACAGAAGCACCCGACTGGAAACCCCAGTTCACATCGGAATGCTACTTGACTCAAAAATAAACATATGGTAGAGGACTTCATCTTTGCGACTTTTTAGACACTATAAATATTGCAAAAACTTTATCTAGAAAAAATAAACCCACCGAAATTTTGTGTTTGCGGAATATTTCCAAGACGCAAAATATTGAGCTTAAAAGAATAAAGTCATTTACAGGAACGGGCGTAGGTAATATTTCCAGCGTCAAATGAAGTGAAGGCACCTTTCTTTCGTAACGAAACCTCATCCGCAGTAGGATGCAGCTCCCTCGAGTAGGTGAACTCCTGAGGCCCATACTTCGTCCCACCCTACGATGTACTACAGATAAACCTGTCGGCCACCCCAAGTTCCTTCTCACAAATTTCGCGCTATCTTTAGTCTGTCGAAAGTAAAGAAGAGCAGCAGCAGCTCATCCTACAAAGCCTTCCAGGTGCAGCGCACACCAGCTCGGAGCACGTGGAGCAAAAGCTCGCGCTGCAGAACCTAGGGATCCTGGGTTCAATCCCCACCCCTGCCCGTTTCGATCTAGATGAGCATCGTTCCGGCGTGCAGTCGTGCATCACTACTGCGGGGTGCACGTTAAAGACCCCAGGCTTGCGGTTGTACTGCACTAACTAGATTGCTCGTCTACAGCTGAGAGACAAGTCGCCCGTTGAGGCCCACAATCCGAACCCACAACCCAATTTTTTTTTTTTTACAAAGCTTTTTTTTTTTTTTTATTTTAACACAGCCAATGCTGAAGGAAGTGGAGGGAGCACAGTAGCAATCGTGGCCTGTCCTGGCTTTCCTAGCCTGCAACAGAGAATAGCAGAGGCCTTTCAAAACTATGCGTGAAAGTTTTGGCAACACTCCGTCAACAACCGTTGAAGTCACTCGCAAGGTGAGAACAGCAGGGAGGAGCTTTCGAGGGGCCATGCAACGATATTGAGAAGGACACTTTCTCACTTTACACAAGCTTATTGGCACTAGTGGGACTCAAGTATACTCACAGTCAATGCCACAGACCGTGAAGCTTCTTTGTCCTTGCGTAATTTCGGGTACGGAAGCAAACATTCTCTTTCATTCTCTCCTTCGCAACAATGTGATCCCCACGAGCTGTGGGGATCACATTGTTGACGAGCTGTGGGGATCACGTTGCCAACAATGCGACCTGAAGAATTTCGATATCAAGCTTCGTTATCCTCGCGGCGACGACACTTAGATGCGCCTCGTACGCTGGGCGCGAGCACCGCGTGAACATTTGATCTAGCAATCTCGACGGGCATTCGGGTAGTGGCTCGCGCCTAATGGCCGCGACAACGGGAACAACCGAACCTTAACGATGAGTGGAACTTGGCGCATGCTCCGTGCTTTCCCAACCCCGGCATGTGGCTAGGAGAAACATGGGTAGCATACGATAACGTGGCCACTTGTGTTCTCGCTGCGAGTTGAAGTGGCAAACGATGCTCACTTCTCTCAAATTTTTTTGCAACTGCCATTGTGTAAAAAGAAAAGAAAAGAAAAAACTAACGCGTGTTTCATAGGTTACGAATTTTGAGGTATAATTCTAAGCGGTACTTACTGAAAGTACAAAAATTGTTTCATCGCCCCTTTCAGTTGCCCCGCCTCTGACATGAGCTTGCTACCCTTGAACGTCTCATGCACCTCAAGCACGCAGACAAAGTAGTGCGGAAAGCATGGAGTGCATGCTGGAGGTCGGGCGTTTCAGACGCACCCTGCCATTCTCATTCTGCGAGTGACTACAGTATGTCAACAATGTCGGCAGACCCTCAACAACTTGGGTTCCTGCCGCTGCTCCGACAATTCCCGCAAGCAGTTCCGACGGAAGAGTGCCGAAGGAAGTCGCAGAGCAGACGACTCACGATGGCCGGGTCGTTGATGTCCAGCGTGTCCCAGGCAAAGTCCCCGGGCAGCGAGTACGGCTGCTCCCGGATCTCGTCGGCCGTCTTGTCCGACTCGATCGGCTCGTTCACGTCGTTGGTGCTCAGCTTCTCGTCTGCACACGGCACTCGAGTGGGTAGGCGCCGATGGCCCCCAAGACGTGCTCGACAATCGCTTTCGCTCAACGAAGCGCGACCCAACCGAGAAAATCTTTGTTCCACCAATCGCGGGAAAAAGGACGTCCCGTATGGGAAAAAGGAGGCTTACGACGTTCCGTCAATGTGTAGGCGTTGCTACGTGAGACAAGCGGTTTGACGCGTCGACGATCGAACACGCGGCTAACCTAAAAAATCTGACAGAAGCAGGACACCTAGCTGTCCATTGTCGAGAATGCCAGTGCAAGGCCGACCTCGAGAATGTTGGCGTCCCAGGACACCGCAGAAACCAGCTCACGCGTGAGATGTTGGAGGCTCTTGCAGAGAAAGTGGGGACAACCGTGTTAGTTCCCCTTCAGCTACCTCGCACGACGGGAAAAGAAGATGTTCCTGCCGGGAACCAACCTTCTTGTTGATTAGGAGTACTAGGAGGAAGTAATGAAAATAGTAGATGCCATCAATTGATCAAGCAGAAAAGAAAGAGGAACAAGTTCTTCATTAAAATAGTTGCTGGTTAAGCGGCAATTTGGCTTTTCCTTCTTTATCCTTCCTGCTTACGTTCAGCTGGTCCCACCCAATATGGCGGGAGGTTAATTGATCTGTTGCTCAATGAAATTCTCAATTTAATATAAAATTGCCACCATTCAGGAATCATCTTGCTTCAGAGCTGCACTTGCTACTTTCCTAAACACATTGCAACCTCTAGTTACTATTTTTTCTCTCGTAATTTTAATGGTTCGAATTTCTTCTAATGCATTTGCCTCTCCCTACATAAAGCCCTACAGGTACTTTAAAATGAAAAGACTGGAAAAATCTTGCAGGTCTGCGAAGAAATTCAAAAACCCGAAAACTATAGGACAACCAGAAACATTTTAAGAGCAACATTAATTTTGAGGATACTTTAAAACAATAGCTTTAAAGAGCTCGTCTCGCAGAAAAGTTGGTGTCAACGTCGGTGGGACCGGAAAATCTAGGATTGGTTGATGGGCTCATGGCGTCGCAGCCACATGACCTCGCGCAAGAATTCCGAACAGCCCACAACGTTCACGTGACGTTACGCGTGGAATGAAAGTGCTTAAAAGACGACATGTGATGCGAATTAAAAGTCGCCTCTTGTCTCCAATGATTTCACTTTATAATATAATTCATTTGCCTTAAAGAAACAATTTGAAGAATTTTAAGCGGGATTCCAACCCCTTTGGTTGCGAGTCAGACACGCTCTAGGCCACGCAGACATGCTTGCACAGCTAGGGAACGAGTGGTGGCTCATATGTTTAGCTATTGCGTTCTACGCTTAAAGGCGCAGCTGAAGCGTCCTCCTGACATTTTTATTGTGCGACATTGACCGTTCCAAAGTGGAACCTGGTTAGCAGTTTAAAACAACCTCGGAACCATTTCAGAATGAAAATAACGGTCCCATTATTATTTAGTCTATCGTGCCCAGGTAAGCAGAAAAAGGAAGGACGAATTTAATACGTTCTACCGAAGGCTACGGTACTCTGCAAACTTGAAAGGCTGCGCGGCTTTTAACGAATCAATAACGGGCCCATCCCAGGGTCAACATCAGAGTCATCTTTTAGCCCTACCTCGAACCTCAAGCTCGACAGTGGGTCCAACAGTCTTTCTAACCACGAGTTCAACGGAGCCTTTTTCCAGTGAGCTTCTGCGCACATGTACACTTTCTCCCAGGGCCTTGCCTCCTAATGCAAACTTGAAAACAGTGCAAAAAAGACAAGGGACAAGAACAAGAAGTGAACAAATACAATGCTATTTCCGCATTGTGTTCTTTCATTTCTCGTTCTTGTCCCTTGTCTTTTTTGCGCTGTTTCCAAGTTTGCATTAAACCAACTAGCCCAACTTCACGCCTTGTTGCCTTGCTCCCTGTTGTTGCCATTTCGAGGGTTTGAATTTTGTACCTCGAAAGCTAATGCATATTTTATCCTAAAACTTTATGTATTCAATGGTTACACTTTTGGGATTAAATTTCAGTGTCCTTTTTGCTAAAGCATTTTTTTATATATTTTTAATAACTGAGTGTCAAATTTAGGTTGAGTTTCAGTCTTTAATGTACCTTTTCTAAGCAACAAAAAATAGGATGCCCATTTAATTTGATACATCTTCTACATGTTACTGGCTTTAAACTGAACCTTAAAAAAAAAAAAGTTTGAACATGCAGCATGCAACAAAGAGATATTGTTCTTACGTGTCATAAGCCATAAGAGGGGAACTTTTTATTTTAGTTTTTTTTAACTTCATAATGTAGAATTTGAGAAACTTTTAGGTTCAAAGTGTTGGCAAGATGTTTTACTATAAGAAGTAGAAGTTTTAGTGTAATCTGACAAGTAGTTTCTTAGTCAAAGATCAAAAAATTGCAAAACTGCCATTTTGAGAGAAACACCCAGTTTATGTCTCTACATTCGTCGCAAAGGTTCAAAAGGATCCAGCAGGATATGCGTCCTTTCTTGCTTTCTTTCCCACTTTGGTTCCTCAGACTGCATATAATTTTCTGGCATTAGATCCACAAAATTGATTTTCTGGTTGGTTGTCATTGTCCCGCACGACCAACATATGCAGCACCTATCTCTGCATGAATTTCATCTTTTTTGATGATTCTTTTTTGAGTGTCGTTAGTATGGGGCACTAATCCCTATGTCTATTTGCTGGATCATGTTTGACCAGCTCCGCCTATGGACAGGAATGCGGCCACAATCGGCCATCTTTTTGGTAGAGTTATATTATCTCTACCCATCATAATATTATGGCGGACAGCGCAATGACGGCAGGCTGCCATAAAATAGCCGTGGATCTAGTACACTGTATCGTGGGTGATATTTCGTGCTTGATTGAAGTTGTTCGACGAAGCAGATTCTTGGAACCCGGAGTGAACGGTAGCCTCATCTTTGAGGGCCCCGCGAAAATTCTATGAAAGCACAGCACCGGGGGAAAGCAGCGCAGCTCGCATCAAAAGCAGACTTCATACCGGCATCTGCTTTCAATGTTTCTTTTGATGCGACTTTCTATGTGTGCTGTGCTGCTTTTCCCCGGTGCTGTGATTTCATGAAACTGTCACCGGGTCCTCAAAAATATGGCTACCGTTCCCACCGGGTTTCAAAGATATGTTTCGTCAAACAATTTCAATCAAGAACGAAATATCACCCACGCTATTTTGATGGCTGCCTGCCACCACAACTGCCACAATGCTGTGTGCCATGGACGGATGATAGTGGCTGCAGCAGCTTTACCTTGGCTAGAGGTGATATAACCTACCAAAAAGATGGCCGCCAGTGGCCGCATTCGCAGAGCGGGCACGATACAGCAATTGTCATAGAGATCAGTGGTATGGGGCATCAAAAGCAAAAAAAAACCATTCAACAGGACGATGCTAATGTGTCCCAACCAGAGGTCGGCATTTTAGGTCGCCCTCACTCACCCTCACAGCCACACTCACCTAAGCCCCTCACTCACCCTCACCCTCACAGCTACACTCACCTTCAGCCCCTCACTCTCCCTCACCCTCACAGTCACACTCACCTTCAGCCCTTCACTCACCCGCACTGAACCTAACCGCCCTCACGCCTCTCACTCACTCACCGCCCTCACGCCACTCACCGCCCTCACGCCCCTCACCGCCCGTGCGGCTCACACCCCTCACGCCCCTCGCGCACTCATGGCCCTCACGCCACTCGGGCCAGCTTCAGATGGGGAAATTTCGCCCAGAAACTTTACGTCGCAACACCAGCAACACAAGCCGCCCGCAATCACACGCAGCAACCAATTGCTGCAATTTGCCATCGTCATCATAAAATTTTATTTTTCTTGCACTATTCAGACACAATTACGCGTTATAAACGTGTTTTTATGCATTTAAACCTCGTTAAGAATACTAATGCACCTTTCTGAAACAGTTTAATTCCAAAAAAACGATCGATTTCAAACCAGAACCAAGTCATTCGGTGTCATCATCACCGGCACGAGGTATCACGTGAAAATTTTGCGTCCCTGATTGGATGCAGCCGCTTGAAACGCATTCGAATTGCTCCGAGTTGCTTGCTTATTTCGAGCCGGACCCGATCTCAACAATTCGTGTCGATCTAGGGAAAGCTAGAGAACAACCCGCCATTAACACCAAAATTGCTGAGAAAGATGCTCGATCTGAAGGGGGCCTCACGCACTCACCGCCCTCACGGCCCTCACGCCTCTCACGCCTCTCACACCCCTCACACCACTCACGCACTCATGGCCCTCACGCCCTTACGCACCCATGGCCCTCACCGCCCTCACGGCCCTCACGGCCCTCACGGCCCTCACGGCCCTCACCGCCCTCACCTCACCTGTGAAGATGAGGGTGAGTGAGGGTGAGTGAGGGCCCTCATGAGTGAGGTTTGCCGAGGTATGGTCCCAACGGCTGGAGGCATGTTAGGCTGTTCTCCATTCGTAGTTCGCAGACAACTCCCCAGACGGGGCCCGTTATTCGTAAGAGGCTCACTTTGAGTGTGTTCAAGTACTTCGACACGTGGCATATGTGCACTTGAAAACATAAACCTGGCAATTTTCCGAAATCTTCTAACCCACTCCCCCCCCCCCCTGGTAACATGACCTCCCTATTAACCAATCACTGTCGAGCCCCGCAGCCACACTTTAGGGCTTCACAAAATGCCAAACGCCTAGCCAAGGAAAGTTTCAAAGGGCTTATGCACCGATGCGTGGCACTGGCTGGGTGTTCCAGAACTGGTAGTGCTTGAGCATGGCCTCCTCGGGCGTCTTGGCAGGCCCGTCGTGCATCACATTCAGGTTCAGGATCTCCATGGCCTTCTTGATGTCCTGCAGCTTCGACATCGGCATCCCCTGAAATGCAGCCAGGGAAGGTTTGCTCACGCGTTGGAAATGTGTGCACTGCAAATGTGCATACTGGAAACAATTGTGTTGGAATTGTGCATTTCGGGACCTTCGTATATACCCGAAATGGGCATTTACCTGCTGGAAATGTGCACACTGAAAACACGCATGTCGGAAATGCACCCGCTGGAAACGCACATTTTGGAAACGTGTGTATTGGAAATGTGAATATTGGGAACCTCACACAATGGAAACATGTACATGCATGCATTGCTAACGAATCTGCCAAAAACACACATGCTGGAAATGTGCGAGATACAAGCCACGAGCAAGTTTCAAGACGGAATAAAACGTGGAGGTTGCAAGCTGAATCTTCTTGCCAAAGTGTCTTAGTGGTCATTTTTACGTGGTCAAATATAAAGTCTCTGTAAAGATCAGAGCAATAGTCGGCCACTTTGGTATAGCCATGTTGCCATTGAAAAAAGTGGAGAGCTTTTAGAACAGAAATAGAAGCTCAGAAATTCTGCTAGGGGAATACAACCCCAGAATACTACAGATGTAGAGCAGACCCTATAGTAAGGCACTGTTTCATGACATATGGGCCAGCAATGCTTAGGACACGAATCCAAATCCTAACTGGCCTCCCTCATTAATGTGGTGTTGAACCTTAAAAGGATTGGGAGAGGACGTTCAGACTGACTCCTCTGGGGATTAGCAACAGTCACTTAAAAAGACAGGAAAGAAAGAGAGGGGTCAACAAAGGTTCCAGATCAAGGACAACGTAAACCTTTTATTTTCATGTCAACAGTGAAAAGAAAATGAATGCCCCCAATTCTAGGTTTTCTGGCTGCCTTTAACCCAAGCGTGCTATTTCTAAAAGAGTTCAGTTAGTAGTTCAGCAGTACTACTGCTATTTCACTCTTTACATGTAAAAAATGTGTAGCTGGGGTGACTACATGCTACCTGCGGCCCCTGTGAGAACCAAAATTTCACATTAGTTTAGTCAGCACAAAGGAAGAGCCCTTGTGACAATTCACTTCACATTTAAATAATGCTTCTATTTTGGTTAAAAAAAAAAAAAAAAATTGTCCTTTAGACTCATGAAAAGGAGCTTTTCTTCTAATTTGGGGGTGTTCTTTCGAGGTTTACTTTCTCCCCTCAGATTCAATGCCTGTCGGTGTCAATTTGTGGTGCTAGACAATAAATTGGCGTTTGCCGGGGCCTAGCTGCGAAAAACAGGACACAGGCATAGGACTCTCCAGCATCCAGGGTTCAGTGAGGGCTGTGTTTTGGATCAATACAAAATAAAGCCGTAGGTGAAGATTTCTTCCTGTGAGACTAGGGTTTTTCTTATTGAAAAACCGCACCAATTTGAATAGGTTTTTTTGGCTTCCCCCGATTTTGAAAAAACTGGCTCAGGGGTTAGTTTTGGGGTTTATATACAGGAAACCCTAGTTATCAGATGAAACATGAATTCACACAGTGTGGTTAGAAAGCACCAGTACCCCTCTACCACTTGCCTCTCACTGCAGAGGCCCCTCTTCCTCACTCAGGAAAATGATGCCATGGTAAAAATGCTTACGAGGTGCAACCAGCGAGTATTTCTGGTTTTAATGTCATTTGTGAAAACACCTTCACCTAGAATAATACGATGCATGGTACATAGTGAAAGAAACTCGTTTATCATGGGCTCAACATTTCACTATTTTCATCCAAGCTAGAGTTTGGAACATTTTTAGGGTACTAAATTTCTCCAGACGGAAGATAGAAAAAGTGGCACAGCTCTTTCACCAAGTGCAAGCATTTGTTCAACCATCTTAGTATCGTTCTTCGGAAGGATGAAACATGTATTAGAACTCGCATTGCCTTTGCCCACTAAGGTTTACTTTCCAGGGGAAGAATGAATGGCTTGCAGTGACAGGCTCCTACTATTTAGTAGTCCAGTCCAAGCGCTTTTAGAGCACAACTGCTCGTGACTGTCATCACCAATGTTACAAGAAAAACAAAATGTAGAGCCCTTCCACTTCACGTGAAGATGGAGGACCAGCAAAGCTGTTATCTTTACGTCTAGGACGATTCTAGAGGATGACGTCTAGGACGACCTCAAGGACGACTTCTTGGACGACTCCTAGGACGACCTCGAGGACGACCTCAAGGACAACTTCGAAGACAACTTCGAGGACAACCTCTCAGACGACGTCTAGGACGACCTCAGGGACGCCGCCGAGCGAAAAGGCTGGAAAAGTTGCCGCTATCACTTATAAATGGCGGTAGCTGTCCGGAGTTTCGTGTCAACATTTGTTTGCCCGTGGACAGGATACTGGAGAAACTAGACCTTAACAGCTCTGTTGTAAAAAAAAAGAGAAGTGAAGTGGCAAAGCTTTGCGAGTGGCACGGTTTCTCCCGAAAACCTCTTCTCAATACAAGAGGTGTTGACATCAAGCCCGGTCTTTTCTTTATTCTGTGACTTGAAAGCACTGGCACGTACAAAGACAAGCTCCATCATGTCCCTCGGCCTGCCTGAAGCTCAGTAATGCAAGGTCGCAGATGACAGCAGTCGGTTTTTGCGTCAGGAAATTCAACTGTGATTTTAGCCGTTACTATTAAGGAATCGCAGATACATCCGGGTAAAATATGAATCAACTACAGTTTAACAGGAAATGTCAGTGAAGTAATTAAAAGGAAGTTCTCTGCCAGGCATGCATTCTGGCTCATGCCTTTTTTATTTCAAATATGGTAATGATAGAACCTACACATATAATCACATATGTTTTTACGTGTTTACATTAATTCTGAAGTGAGTGGAGAGTCTCAATACTACTTCTGAAGTGTCAACATTTTGCCCAATTTGTCTGCATGGCCAAAAAAATGGCAGTGGTTCGTAAAAATTAAGTTGTAAACAGTATATCCACTATATTTACCATTACAGCTGCCGACTTTGACTCAAGTTTTCAGTTCTATGATATACCTCAGTGAGATGGAAAAAAGATTAGTGCAGTGCCACCTAGGTTTTGACCTGACTTACATGAAGGAAGGACATAAAGTAAATCAAGTATTGCCAGGGTTAATGTATGCAGACGACATTGTACTCGTATCAGAAAGTCGCAAAACATTACAGGAACCGATTAGGATTCGCTGCAGGGAAGAGGACAGTTTAGGCCTAAAATTCAGAAGGGACAAGTCGAGTATATTTGTTTCCAACCACGAGAAGGGGGAACCCCTGGAGATACAGGACACAGTGGTAGAACACATAGAAAAGTATAAATATGCGGGAGTATGGCTAAGCGAGGAAAAAAAGTATCTGAAAGAACATGAAGATATTGTAATAAAGAAGGGGAAACAAGATTCAGCTATCATGAAACACAGGGCACTCTGGAACTATAATAGATAGGAGGTCGTTAATGGTGTATGGAAGGGAGTCATGGAGCCAGGACTGTCATTTGGAAATTCGGTATTGTGTATGAGGTCAGAAATCCAGGCAGGTTTAGAGATTCAGCAAAGGAGTGTGGGTAGGTTGGCATTGGGGGCACATGGGAATACACCAAATGAGGGAGTACAGGGGGATATGGGTTGGGCATCTTTCGAGGGTAGAGAAGCGATCAGTAAAGTAAAATTTGAACAAAGACTGGCTGAAATTGAGGATACACGGTGGGCAGCGGAAGTCTACAAGTATCTATATATGAAAAGTCTAAACACTAAGTGGACAAACCAGACCCGCAAGCTGAGATCTAAATACATTCAAAGAGATGGGGCCGATCAGAGCATATCAGTAGAAAAGGGAGTAAAGGAACAGTTCTATGATACTTCATTGGGGAGCTCATTGCTGTTTGAAGTTAGAACGGAGGTGCTAAGAACGAAAACATATGCGACTAAATACCAAGGTATAGACACTATATGCGACATATGCAACCGCGAAAGGGAAACCACGGAACATGTAATTTTAAGATGCACGAAACTTCGTTCCACCCCCCCCCCCCGGGGGGGGGGGACGGGGGGATGACTACGGATTTGGAGGGGGCACTGGGATTTGCAGACATGGATGGACGAATGGATAGGGAAAGAGTTGCGGCAACCAAGAGGAGATTGGAAGGTTGGTGGAAAAGATCTAGGGGGGCGTAAAAATACAGGTAAAAATAAGCAATGGAAATGCTTTAAAAGCGGGGGGGGGGGGGGGGGGGGAGAGGTTTAGCACGGCTCGCCCAATTGTGATAGCCTTAGAGGGTTGCGTTAGAACAAATTTTATACAAATTTTATACAAATTTTAAATAGTAGGGATGACGAAATGTTAGGCTAGGTGGCGCAAGCTGCCGCCCGTTACAAAGGGTATAGACATTACCATCAATCCATCTATGTAAATATAATTTAAGGAAAATCCCTAAGGTGAAGTAGATTAAGACTTTCAGTTCAGTATCCTTCGAGATAATAATTCCAATGATTTCTAAGGACAAGGGGGAGAAGTAGCACCTTCAGGTCAATCTCTCCATCTTCATCTCTGCGACCTTTCCTGTTCTCGTCGTCCAAGGCCCTGAAAGAAACAAAAGGAACACATGCTCAGGACCAATCCCAAGCTAACGACTTCCAAGACCTGCCGTTAATCACAAGACTCACAGGCATAACACAGTTCATAATCATGCCGACTGAGAACCCTACTTTCTGCAACATTTTATTTCGACAATGCAACTTCGCAATCCAAGTGAGCGTGGTAAAGACCAGGAGAGATCTTAATGCAGAGCATTCAGACAGGGGGCCAAACATGAACATGTCAGTGGGAGAAAGAAAACAAACTGGTAAAGGATGACGACTACGAGTTCAACAGTGCAAAAGTTAAAGGTCATACTGTGCCAGATGTTGGTGAAGGAAGCAGAAAACAGAAGTGTGAAGACACACAAAATATTCCAGTACTTCAGTGACCTTCGTTCTTCATATCACACCGACCCTTGGCCATTCTATTGGGCATGTGCAAACAGCCCAAAAATAACAGCAGGAGAATCTGTGTGCACCCCAATCTTTGCTACACCTTGTGGGTCAGTCTTTTCCTTGCCTTCAAACAGGTTAATTTACACATTCTTTTTCCCCTTCAGTGGGGGACACTCTGGAATTTGACAATTGTAACAACGGGAAGTAACAGACAGTAACCGTGCCTTCCAGAAACACAACCCTGGGCTTGCTGATTTATGCCGTGAGGGCGTTTGCGCTTGATCCTGGACGGTTCGAGGTCGTTCCTTACATGGCCAATGACACGCTGGCCTATCCTGCCGGCGGCACAGCGTGGCTAGAAACTCGAGAAGGCTTTTTCCCGCGACGCTACGCACTACGCGAGGGATATACAACCGAGAGCTTCGAATGTTCCTTCCTTACTACACCGCCGGTGGATTCCACTTTGGGTTTCGTAGCTTCCGTCTAAACCGCGTCCATGACGCAGTTCAGCCGGCTTGTGTACTCGTTCAATGAGCTAAGGTATAGTTTAAGCAACGTTCCCGAAAAAGATACCACAATGCCGCCGGATTTTGGACGGGTAGTTTACGCCGATGGCGTGCCTCCTACTAGACTAATTGCAGACCACGAAGCTGAAAACCCCAAGCGCAGCGGGCTGGCATCGGGTGCGTTCGTCTGTACGCGAAGCTGGAGGTAACAGCACGGATCTTCTACACGCAGCTTCGTAGATTATAATCCAATTTGTTCAACTGTTTGACGGAGCCCTGATGGCCCCAACTGTCGAAGGCAGCGGCGGCGTGCGCCGCGTCCAGCCATGTAGGCGAAACGAAAAACCTGTCGGCCCGCCCCGCCAAAGCACCCACCTGTCTACGTCGTCGTGGTCGTTGCCGGAGTCGTCTTTGTCGACTTCGCCGTTGGAAGGGCTGTGAACGCCTTCGTCGCATGACTCAACGTCTTTGGCGTTCTCCATTGCTCGTTCCGGCGCGTCGGCCGCTCCGCACGGCGACTAGGGCGCACGAATCCGGACCAGGTTCACAACGCAGCCTCGACCGCACACCGTCCGCTCGACGAAGGGGCTCACCACATTTCGACGCCAATTATTTCGAGCATTAAAATGTGCTAGCACGAAAGAAAAGCGCACACTGTAATCGCGGCCGCAAGGAAAAAGGGTAGCGATAGCGATTGTAGAGCCAACTGATCACTACCCAAATCCACCACATGCAAGACATGCGCTGGGTGCGCTGGGGGAGCTGGAGAGCCATAGAGCTAGCGCTAGGGGGGCTGGAGTCGCTAGAGGACGTTCAGCACGTTTTCATCGTTTTCATCAATGTTGTGTTGGCCGCCATGATGCAATACCCAATCTGGTGGCACTGTAGATCAATAAAATCTGAACATTTCCAACTAAATATATTTTTGGGAGAGCTAAAAAAGAGCTGCAAGTAAAGTTTCCTAACTTTACTTTTAAATACTTTTTAATTGTAGAACTACAGTAAAAAGGAAACTGAAACTAAACGTGGAAGGTAATGGACTCCGCTTCATTAATTGAGTCTACCTCGTTGATTTGAGTTAAGAAATCACCAGCAATTGTTATAACATAAGATTTTTAGCACAAGATTTGGCAAGATTCCCCGTTTGTATTTGATCTGCCGGCATCGCCTCCGAGGGAACCACCCGTGGTGCCGCGCTCACTGTCTTGCATCTAAAAAAAAATTGCGCTCCTGGAGCGTTGCGGAGGCTGGCGGCAGCGTGCTGAAAACGCATTTTCTATTCGTTCGGCGTCATTCGCCGAAGAAGTTCTTTAAAACCCCATGTAAGCGTTGAGACTTGCTGTTGAGAACACGTGGACAATTTTACGAGAGTGTAGTGCCGCAGTTAAAGTGCAGAACTTGTCGAAAGCAAGTTTCGCCGGTATCGCGGCGTGAGCTTCCTTGGCATGCCGAAGTGCCGCGTCTCTGTGCTTTCTCACGCTTGGATGCCGATCAAGATTCGACGCCGTGTGGATGTGTTTTGCGAGTGCAATGTGCGTGAAACCGTATGTGCCTCTGGAGCAGCGTTTTAGTTTACTCATGACGACTGATTTGTAACTTGCGGCTCTCGCAGTCCAGAAACAAGCTCGATTCAGCGTCCAGTGGCGGCGGAGGAGAAGGGGGGGAGGGAGGGAGTACAAGCGGAATGCAACGCCAGACGAATCTTTACGCTATGCTATGCCACCGCTTAGAAAACTCGTTGTAACCCTTCGTTTTACACGATCTTCACGTAGTGCGTATATCCATTTGCGACCGAAGTGCACTACAGAGCGCGTATAGCTTTATTCTTATTTCGTGTTTTTCAACTATTTACCAACCCGCGTCTGATCGAATGCCCCGATCACAACAAATAGTTGGTCGCTTTCGTTTCTATATTTTGACCCAAGTAACATCATATTCTTCAAGCTATGAAATTCTATCACCACCTCTAGTTTCACATTCTGGTGCACCTGCAACATAGCACCCCTGCCCCTGCGAGGTTTCCTGCGATCGTACCCTGTATATCATGAATTTCTCGCCGTACGAGAGTGCTCTCGAAGGCGTGCTATACACTCTTGACAGTGAAAAGCGCCCTTTTTGCAGAAACAAGCACCCGTGCCTTTGCTGCACACAACTATATTAATAGCCGAGCCGTTCTTGTTTCTTTTGCATATTACTGTGAAAGAAGCGTTATTGTTGTTTTCTTCTCAAACAAAACTCAGATGCGAGACAAAAGCAAACAGATAGGAGACTGCACATTCACACCTTTTTCTCCCGTGTACGACAGGTTATAGCTGGTCGCGATTCATCAGCGTTTCTTTTGAAGTTGATGGGTACCACAAGGCGTGAAAGAGGTGACTTACAGCTTTTCCAAGGCAGCAGCAAGACACTACAAGCCTTCGCAGCAACTGGCTAGCCAGTGCCGCTCTGTTCTGAATAGCACTGCGTGCCATGCAGAGGGTTTGTGCAAGCTCTCTGGGTGGCAACTCTAGCCACGGTAAGTGCATCCTATGCAGCTTTCTTTTAGGGATATATGTGGCTTGCAGGCCATGTCGTGCAGGCGAAATATGTACCACCCGAGGGACAGCAGTGCCAGTGGCAAGGCTGTGCTGATATGGTAATCACCGCTGCACTGTTTTCATTCAATAACTACTGACAAGGAAGGAACCAAATACTTCTAAGAGATTCTTGGTTGTGCTTTGATGAACTCCAGCTCGCTTACGAACAGGTGGATGGCACAGGTGGCCTTTCGTAATGGACTTGATGTCTGTGTTAAAAATGCAGCCAGACTTCCTTTTAATTTGGGGCGTTTTTTTGTTGCAGGTGACTAGCATTGCAGTAGAGAAATATGCAAAATAGTATAATGTTTGCATTAGTTACCTAAATTAATGGCGGGAATAACTGACCTACATTTCCACCGACTGAATTTCTCAAAGGGTAACTAGCCTTTGAGAAATGCAGTCGGTGGAAATGTAGGCCAGTTATTCCCGCCATTAATTTAGGTAACTAATGCAAACATTATACTATTTTGCATATTTCTCTACTGCAATGCTAGTCACCTGCAACAAAAAAACGCCCCAAATTAGATAGCTCGCTGCACTATGTCCTTTTTCCGTAGCCTGTACAACTTGGCGTCCTCCCCCGATTGTCTTATATGGCTGCTTCTGTGTTTGCCTAGGCACTCGGTTGAAATTGTGAAAGATGTCTGCATTGCACATAACCGTCATGAAAGCCAGTGTGGACGTAGCTGGAGTAGCCCCCAATATGGCTTCTCTAGCTCGACACAAGCAACATTCCTACCACTGTCGTGTTCGCAGAAAAGAGACCAGCGATTTTTTGAGCAACCCCACCTAACTATATTTTCGAAATCGCCATCTTTTACTCTTTCCGGTATGCTATTTACCATCGCAAAATTCAAAAAAGTTATTGTGAAATCGACAATTGAAAATGACGCCAAAACCAAGATTCAAATATACTTGCGCTTTTCATTGCCATGACGTCACGGGATGGCAGGCTTGCGGTTCAAGCGGGCTGTCTAAAAATGAACTTTTTTTTTTTTGCACACAGCAGTTGACATGTTTGGCAGCGAATCATTTGCCGTGTGATTCCTTTGTAGCTATGTGTGTTCCGCTCGCTGTAGTGCACTTTAAGATGAGTTGTTTAAGATGAGTTGTTTTGTGCATTCAAGAGTTGGAGATGAGTAGTGAGTGCCCGTGGTGAACTTCCGTTATCGGCTCCGAAAAGAATACCCCCAGATGTTGCGTGAAGAGCTGCCTCAGATGTCCTGCGTCCAAAAAAAGTGGTATTGTGTGGCAGAGTCTGCACAAGTTTCCGAAAGATCAACAGGATCGGGACCAATGGCTGGCTGCAATTCCTGTAGAACATTTAAGGGCACCTCGGAAAGCAGATGCTATCCGATTTATATGTTCCTTGCATTTTGTGGAAAGTGATTACATTGAGTTCGCAAGTGCCAAAAAGGAAATCCCATGCCGTTTAGTTCAGCAACGTTTCGTTCACAACATGTTTTCTTTTTCAGTGATAATTGTAAAAAAAGCAATGTAAGTATCGCAAAATGTTTCAAAATAACAAACAAAAAATGCACGCTCACATTTGGGATGGTACCCGGTTCTGCCGCGTGTGAAGCGGAGATCTTTCCACTGAGCTACTGGGGAAACACTTTCGTTAGTAATAATGCAGCCGGTCAATGTGTTTCGTTTGCTGGGTATCAAAGCGGATTCTTTTCAATCAAAGTGGGTGTCCCCCAGGGCTCGGTCTGAAGTGCACTGTTATATAATCTTTATGTTAATGACCTCTCCATGGTGGTACCGATTTCACTATTTCAATATGCTGACGACACCGTTATTCTATCTAGAGTGTCCAATTATTCAGATGCCTTTTCGTCTTTACAAACTGTGGCAATTAAAACTATGGACTAGTTTGAGGCTAATTTAATTAAAGTTAATGCATCCAAAACGCAGTTAATATGTTTCCACAATCCTTTCAAAAAAGTTATGACCTCCTCTTTACGGTTACATACGTCTAAATGTCCATCATGTGCATGTGAGCCTATACAGCATACATCGATCTTCTATAAAATATCTTGGCATATTCTTTGACAGTGACCTAACCTGGAACACTCATCTTGCTCATGTGTGTAAGAAAATTCGAGCAGTGTTGTGTTTGCTATACAACACGAGATATTTTATGCCACTCTCCGTTCAAAAAATTGTTGTACATCTTCTTGTCTACAGTGTGCTCCGTTACGGTATTATCGTGTATGGTCATTGTGCTCAGCTGCGTTGGCAAATGAGAATTAATTCGATTCTGCGTTTTTTGTTAAAGAACATTTCCTATGATTTATGCCTTGGTAAGGACATTTACATGTTTAAAGTACTACATTTGCCTGATTTTAACTCGCTATTGATGGAAACTGTTGTTCATAGGCATTTTCGGGATAGTCAATTTAAAGTTCCGTATGTATACCTTCTTGTATTCTTAGGCCTAAAGAGCTCTACCGGATACCTCAATGTTCGACAAGATTTGGAAAAAGAGCTCGGAGTTACTATGAACAAGCATTTATGAACAAACTACCTTCTAGTATTCTAAATTTAAGAACAAAATACAAGCTCAAGAAAGTTCTTAGAAATTTTAATTCGAAAGAGCTCACTAGTTTGCTTTCGTTATTCTAATTTCTTTGTGTGGATTTTACTTTACATGATTCATTTTGCAAACGGCTTGTTTCACTGATAGTCAGAAGCTGCCAGTCAAGCCCAATGTGGCTTAGGCAGGTCTGACCTAACATATGTTTTGTTCATTTGCCATAAATTATTAATATTATTATTATTATTATAATAATAATAATAACTGTAGGTTGGAAAGTTTGCTGCCGATTTTCCTCCAGCAAAGGCACTCCCAGGTCGAAGTCTGGCAGCACCACGCATTGGTCAGATTCGCACCTAGTGAAGAAATCGTACGCGTGCATATTCAACTCGAGGTACGCACTTCATGCTCGACGTTTGCACGAGCGACGTCTTCAGGCACGAGAAGGGGGCGACGGGTCGGCGACGTATTTGTGCAAATCGGCTTGGTGGTCGGGCGTGCTGTACGGGATGAATACCAATTCTTTTGATCGGTCCAAAATTTCTCTTTCAAACGAAGACAGAATTCGCCGGTACTGCGAACGACAGTTCTGAAGTAGAGGTTCCACGCCCATTGTCCGTTGCCATCACCATCCCCGCAAAACGACGCCATGTTGAGAATTACACAGTGAACGCACAGAATGCTTCCGGTTCTCGGAGCAACTTTTTTTTTCTTTTCAATCAACGTATTTGCAGCTTTTCAAAAGCCACAAAAAATGGGTTTCATATTTTTTTTTTCTGTTTTTAATATTGTATGTGTGCCTTCAATGACAAACGAGTTTGATTAAATTTGGTAGTTGTGTCTAAACCTTAGAAAATGGCTTGTGACCACGGAAAAGAGAGTGAGCGCGACTCAAACCGGCCAGTTTTTGATCGGCAATTTTCGGACGGAAAGAAACCGAATTTCGAGCCGCAATTTCTGTTCTGGGTAGTTGGGCTCTCATATGTCACAAAAAAACTAAAAAAGCTCGGCGCACATAAATACCCTGTCAGTGTCCCTTCAAGTTAAGTTAATATATTTTTGTATACCAAATTATTGATATATCAAACTATTTTACGATCCCCATTGAATTCTATACATCCGAGTTCGACTGTACACACGGATGAAGAGCGAGACTGGTTGACACAAACGCTAACAACTGATTCTTCCAGCAGTTAATTACCCATCCAAAAAATTGCAAAAAAAGAAAAAGTGCAGGACAGTAACAGTTTTATTAATGAAAAGTGAACCATTTGCAAACTTTTACTTTCAGTAAGGCACAATTATTTTGAATATCTGACGTCCAAAAGCATTTCTCTTTTCATTCTTAGAAATGAAAACACACATGCACACGTGCAGCAAAAATAACTGGAATGCTTGAGCTGACTAGAAGGATGGAATGCAGTTTTTTGAAAGTTCAACCAGAAAAACGAAAGAAACAAGTGCTACACAGTAAAACAGCTTCCTTCACCTCAGAACAAAAGGTTTAACCACATCGCACGACAGTGCACCCGGTACCGCCCCCCCCCCCCCCCCCCCCAAACGACACAAAACGAAACAAAAGCCCCACAAAACTGTAAGACCTTCCTGGAAAGGAGAGTATCAGATGCACACCACACCACCCCAAACTTGAAACCAAATACATGTGTAGCGCGAGAAAAAAAAAAATATGGAACAGCTCAACAGCATTAGCATAACTTAGATGGTTCACAATACAAAAATGATGTTTGTGCACTGTTTCTCATCCTTTGTCGCAGCCCAGAAGCTCCCAACTCCTGTGGTTCCTAGGGGCTGCAATTTGTTACAAGGTCCATACAACGTTGCCTGGCAAGGGCACACGCTCAACAAACGCAACAATAAAACAAACAATTAAAAACGATGCAGGTCCGAAAGAGGCACTGTTGGCAAAGCACACTGTTCCGGGGCAGTCTTGGTTTGTGCAGCTCTTGGGTCCAAGTTTTGTGCTGTTCGCTGTGGATTTGATTTGCCCGCAATGCCTCGGGGAACGGTTCTTGGCACTTGCTCTTCTCGTGGAAATCCCTCTTCTTCCGTCCTCTTCCGCCTTCGAGTCTCCCACCCCCGGACGGTTTCGCGGTGCACCCAGCGACACCCCCACACCCATGTGCACTCAAAGTTTTCGATAGTCCACATCCAGAGCTTCCAAAAGTTCAGAGGAAGGACTGTGGTTACCGGAACGACCACTGGCGCTTCCCGGTGCTTCTTCTCGACGTCCGGCTTTTGCTTCTGGCCTTCTCCGGCTTCCAAATGACGCGGAGACTGCCGAGCCGAAGAGAGGACGTGAACGAAGCGGTGGCGGACGAAGCGAAGAGATGCCTTCGGGAACATGTGCTCTCAGTGCCGACCGCCAGAACGCCACGAGGCAGGCGAAATGTGAATAGACTCGGAGGAAAGGCGGCCCCATACCTCTATGCTTCCACAAGGCACGTGGAGCGCCAGTTGCCACAAACACCGAGACGAACATGATCTGCGCTTAGATGCCTTAATCTGTTGAAGGTTAAGAGTAAAGGGACCAAGCTCCTCCCAGAAAACCCTTCCACTCTTTCAAATGTAGCACAGTGAATGCTGGAGAGGAGGAAGCTACCAACCATGGCGAGCAGAGAGCTTCGTGGGAGGGGTGTATGCCGCTATTCTTAACCTGTAACAGACTATAGGCTCAGCAGTGCCGACTGTTGTACGGAGTTGGTGCTGGGTTTGAGAGTAGTTAAGGTATTGCTCGAAGACGAGGACAAAAGGAGGAGAACTGGGCAACACTGTCCACTAACTTTCAACTGTTTACTCGTAGGAATAAATAGATCTGCGAATAGATGGTTGAAAGTTAGCATGCAGTGTTATCCAGTTCTCCCCCTTTTGTTCTTGTCTTCAAGCGCTGCCACGTATTCTCGAATATATATGCTCAATGTTTTGCGCGCTGTGAACCTAAGCGCAGATTACGTCCTTCGGCCAAAACTTTGATTGCCCGCAACTTGCGGCAACTGGTTCTCTCCCCGTGCGCTTCGCGTGGGAGCAGACGGAGGGGTCTCCTTCCCACGAGGAGGGTCCACTCACGGTCGAGCAAATGCGGCACCCGGCCCGTGACGTCCCGCCGCCCGGCGCGGAGGCCGCGTCGAGAGGGGCGGGGCTGCCTCAGAGGCCCTTCCCCTGGTCGGCGGCCTTTGTGGCATTGTAGTTCTGGAAGATCCAGTGCTGCCTGAGGTTCCCGTTGCACGTCTCCATGGACACCTTCTCTCGGTCCTGCTTCATCTCCAGGCACTTGTGGCTGCTGCCGTGCTGGATCGTGTGGCTCTGCGGGAGAGCCCAGAGATTGCCCTGAGCCTCAAGCATGGTGTGAGGTACTCCTCAGGGGAAAACAGGCGGCACGGCAAACGCACCGACGCGATCGACCCAAAGTCCTATCTGCATGCGCCCATACGCCGACAGCGTCTCCGCCAGTCAGACAACGCAACCAAGAAAAAAAAGACAAGAAAAATGCACGCTTTCTGCTCGACGCATCTGACCTCGTTGGATGCCATTTTAGGTAACGCCACTTGCAACTGATTCAAGGAGAAGATATATCTGGCAGCTGCAATGCGCGTGGGGTCCAAACCAAAATATTTCTTGCACCGTGGCCTCGAGTCAATATGCCATTCAAGCACCAAGTCGTTTCAGCCATTCAAACAGTGGGGCTTTCACTAAATCTACCGCAAAATCCAGAACGAATGCCCGCCACCAAAGGATCGCCTACATCATATTTTATCTCATTACCTCTCCACTGTGGGTGGGCTTTCACGCGGGATTTCATGGTAGTTTCAGAATGGATGTTTTCAAGTACAGTAGACTCATTATTTCGAACTCCAGGAAGCCACGCATTTTGTTTGAATTATCAGGAGTTTGAATTATCAGAAATTCATCTAAATATGACGCAAGATAAATTTATGATTTACCATATAAACGGCTACATATAGAAAACAGATATTTGATGATTTCCTCTACATAGGCCTACTGATCATAAGCAGGTATGCCACACATGAAACATTTGTGAAATGTATGACATAAGTTTATTTATCTCTCAAAAATGTTGTTTATCGTGGAATGTCTAGACAGCACATGACAACTAAAAAAAATTTAGTCTTTCTCATCAGGCCAAGAAGTTATCAAATATGAACTATTAAGCATGAGCACATGAGCGATGAAAACGGGCACCGCACGGCAGTTTTCATAACAACTTGCACGGATGCTGTGATGTGGACCTGAGCCATGCCACCACGTCGCAGTGTCGACTGCCATGTCGCAGCGTCCACTAAGCTGCCATGAAAATTGCCACGTGGTGCCCACTTATAGCTCATGTGTGCCCCGCTTAAGCTTCTCTGGGTGCACTTTTCAGTGAGCACCGGTACACGGTGAAGAAGCTCCGCGGGTGTTGCCTCTCTGCAGTGCACCGGTGCTCGGAAAGAAGCACATTCAACGAGGCCGCGAAAACAAAAAGTATGAATTACACGAAAACGCTGCTCGAATTAAGCGGCTTATGAATACATTCAAGACATAGCGGGAAAACCAAAATTTTGAAATTTGTTTGAATTAACGAAAAGTATGAAATATCCGAGTTTGAATTATAGTGAGCCTACAGTATTCCCATTTTCCAAAACGGTTAGCAAACGGAACACACTGCCGCAAGAAATAGTTAAATCCTGTAACTCGTCAGATTTTGGCATTTTCCTCAAAATAACTCTTAATTTAGTCTTTGTCAAATTGTTTCGTAACAATTCCTGGAGGTCCCTTGGAGATTGAAGGTAGTAGATTGTTTGCCCTTTTCATACTTGTTCTTCACATCAAACTTATGTTGCTTTCGTGTTTCGTATGTGTGCTGCTGTATTTCGCACCAACCGTTAAATCTCGTATGAACCCCCCAACAAGAAATTACAGGAGGACGCTTCAGCTTCTTCTTTAAAAGTGGAACGTGATAGCTAAACATCGGTAGCGTGTCTAGCTCGCAACCAAAGGGTGTGTGTTCGAATACCGCCTCCACCTAAAATTTTTTTTCCTTTAAGGCAAGTGAATTACTTTATAAAGTGAAATCGTTTGAGACAAGAGGAAACTTTTAATACGCATGACACGTCATGTTTTAATCACTTTCATTCCACGCGTGACGTCACGTTTCACGCGAGCGTTGTGGGTCGTTTGAAATCCCTGCGCGAGGTCATGTGGCTGCGACGTCATGACCCTGTTGGCCCATCGGGATTTTCCCGTGCCACATCACCGACGCTGTCTTTTTTGCGACATGAGCTCCTTAATGCCGTTGCTTTAGAACTTCGAAACATCGCCCACCCCTTGATTCTTGTCAAAGATTACAAGATGTCCGACAGGAATCTCATCAACCACGTGATCTGCGGCACCGGTAAGTGAGTTTGCAGCAGGTTTCCGCGTGTTTATCCCACCGTAACACGCGAATCTGCTGCACCTGTGATCTGCACTATCCGTTCCCGTGGTACGCGAATTCGTAGGGGGTTCCCGCGTGCGTATCTTGTACGCGATGTGTGCGTGTGATGTACATTCCAGTGATGAGCAAGTTTCCAGAGGTTTCCCTGAGTGTTTAACATACTGTGAACCGCGAACTGCCTGCATCCGCGATTTGCGGTATCTGATTCCGTGACACGACAGTTTGTAGTGAATTCCCGCATGTTTATTGCACCATGGAATGCGAATTTGCAGTGTCTGCTATCTACGGAATCAGTGATGTTTATCGCCAATGTTTTATAAAGTTTTGCTGTCGCATCCCTAAAGATCACCCACCCAATATTTTGCAACATTTATCTCTTCATTTTGGGTGGGCGCTTTTACGAGATTTCACAGTAGGCTTTTTAATTGTAGAAAAACTGGAGCCCTTTGTTCAGCATCTAAAAGGCACTGCTGTCTCTTAAATAACTGTCTGAATTTTGAATTTTTTGTTTCCACCCTTACGACATTTCTAGACTGGAAAATGTAGCGTTTGTAGAAGGGTATGCAATTGGGCTAGTTGGCGATTCATTGTATAGATGTTTATCGTCCTTCAACTAGTCCGTCGCCCTTTTAGCATTTCTATATCTTACACAATAGTTTGCAATTAAATAAAATAAAAGATCTGGCAATAGTGACAAGTGGCCACCAACCAAATCCCAGCAGAACTGATACTACGAGAAATGCTGCAGCAAAAGATGGGCAACATTGACCACTCAAAGGTTTTTAAAACATGCGCCGTTACATCAGTTTGAATAGAATTAGACTATGGTCGCTTTGACAGGGATTTTTCTCTTTTGCAACATGGGCTGCTTGCTCTTTTGAACCATATGACTGCCCGAAGCCCTTCACGCAGCGTGCTCTTTATGATCTCTCATTAATCAAAGGTGTTCTTCAGGTGGTTTTGGAGCATTGTTGTTCCTGTTAAAATTTGAGAACACTTTTCTATGACTTGCACTGAGCTGTCAACATCCGACGGTTTTGTGTGGTACTGCCATACAAGACATTTTCCGGCTTTTGCTCCTTGCTTGCTCAGTGGCTCATTAATTTCAGCTGAGGCCATACTCAGAGAGCACGTTCGAAAAGGGGCAGTACCCTCATTATCTCGAGCAGCTAGCACGGCTGAGGAATAGCCAAACAAAGCACACAAAGCAGTGATAGCCATCTTGTTCAGTAGCTGAGCTGTTATCTATGGCGATTCTTATAACCATTTTGTCTTTCATTTCCAAACATTTATAAATACTTTGAAAAAACATTCTAGAGATATGCTCATTGTTTTGCCTATTTTTATTATGCAAGGAATACATAATGTATATAGCTAAAGAAGTAGTACACAACTTGCCTGATAAAGAAACAAAAAAAGAGAAACCAAAACTACTTTTGTTTTGTGGGGCAGATAAGCGTTACATGAAAAACGGAAACAGAACAGATAGTTAATGCATCGTGTGTAGATTTCAGTGAATAAACATCCCGAGATACTTCAGAACGTTCAGGGCACGAGCGGCACGGATATTATTTTTTATTTACCCAAATATCTGGAGCTCTGTCCGACTATCTGTAGACTTTACAAATATTTCGGCCGTGGCCGAATGTTCAGGACATTCTGAATATGCAATTCTTGAATCGAATACATATTGAATAAGGAAAATATTCTATTCATATTCAAATTTTGAATATTTACACAACCTACTGAAAAGGCATTCATGCACACCTAGATTTTTGACAAAACATGGGCCACAATTAATGAGGCATCTGAGGTACGCGCTCATTAATAAAAATACTGATCTCAAAAAGAGTTTTTACGACAAAAATTGGGTTGTGTGTGTGTTTATACAGCCTAGAACTTGGTCTGCCTCACAGGGGCGACGAGTCTCCCAGCTGTAGATGAGAAATTTAGCCAGTGCGGTACAGCCGCTAGCCTGGGGTCTTTAACGTGCATCACGCAGTAGTGATACACGACCGCACGCCGGTACGATTCTCATCCAGATCGAAACGGGCAGGGGTGGGGCTCGAACCCAGGATCCCTGGGCTCTGCAGCGCGAGCTTTCGCTTCACGTGCTCCGAGCTGGTGTGCACTAGACCACTTGGCCACCGATCCCCCCAGTTTTTACGACAATTGAAAACATGTTGGTTTGAAGGTTCAAATTTTGAATGGCGTAATTGCAGGCGGTGAAAAAAAACAACAAAAAAGTGAATCCTGCAGTCTGAAATGTAACAATCCTCCATGCTAATCCTCTGGTTTCGGCTAAAATTTGCAGTTTTTCTCGTTGAGCCTAGACTCTGCGGCAAAAAGATGGGGGATGTTTTGACACTAAACCGGCATTTTGCGCTACAGACACTTGGTACTTCATTTTCCGCGGTGCCGGAGGACATTCAAAGCGTGAAAGTTAAAGCACCAGCAGCTGCCACAAAACCCTGTCCTCTGAAAGGGATATACTGACCACGTCGTCGTAGAGCCACAGCTGGTTGCCCTTGGAGCCGTGGCAAGGGTAGAGGATGACCTCGTCCCCGGCATAGTCCAGGCACGCTTCGTCCCGGCGGATCTCCCCTTCCTTGCTCAGCATCCAGTACTGTGGCAGACACAACATTGAGTCAGCAATGTCTCGAGAGAAAAGGTGATGGCCCACGCAAACCTACCATATTTACTTGCACAATGAACACACTTTTTATCCCGAAAAGTTGACACATATTTGGGGTGCGCATTCATCACGCGGGGTAAAATTTTTGCATTTACACACTTCGTGCAAATGTCATATTAGGTGCCAATGACATGGCAGGGTACCGTGGCACATCTCCACTGATGGAGGCGCACCCATGGCTGGTCGGGAGCACGCCACAGTAACCATGCTTCATAAATTGAGGATCTTTTTAGGGTGCTTTCGGCGTGCCTTTTGCCGAAGGAAAAGCGCCCTATGAAGCTCACTCAGAACGGAGAGCGACGCGACCATTCTTAGACCTAACCACTTTCACGATTTCACTGTCCGAAAGCGGACCACAGACGACGGCGTGTTCACTGACGTCAATGCATCTAATAGGTGACGAATGTCCGGGAATGGGCAATTCCTCGACCCAAGCTTCGTCAAGTCCACGTGCCGCTCTGTCTCACAGTTGATTACTTCCGCAGCTACGCACTTGCGGTCATTACCGGAGCGACTTGGCTTGGCTTGACTTGGCCTGACCGCTTGGCAGCAAAAGAAAATTGGCTTGGTGGGCCTGGTGGCTAGCTAAGTTGGATACAATTCTCGCAGAGCCGAAAATTGGAGGCGCGTTCATTACACGAGGAAAACAAAAAAAAAGACGTTTACAACTCCCTGTACTGCCGAATTAGAGCGCAGCTCTTGAGGAGGAGCAGAGCAGGGTATGCCCCTCCTCCTCTTCCTCTCCTCATCCTCCTCCTCTCAATCTGCTCCCCTCCTCTTCCCCCACTTCTCTCTTTACCGCTCCTTCCCTCCTCTCTCGTGACGTTACATGCGAAGGCCTTGTGACCTTCACGAGTGAAGGTCACGTGAAAGTCGTGACCTTCACGAGTGACCTTTGCGACGTCACTTGTGGCTCTAGTGACCCTCGTGACGTCATATGTGACGTCATTATAGGAAACGTCCCACAATGCAACGTGCGGTTACGCCGATGGTGACGCCGCTCAAACCAGAAACAAGCGCCTAAGAGCTACGCTCTAAGAAGTCCAAATATTGGTACCCGTTGTGGGGGGAGCGTTCATTATGCGAGTAACTATGGTACATTTCATCCTCCTATTAATGCGAAAGCATTAACTGTGCCATGGAGCAAGCCGACGTCATCAGTTTGAAGCGCGAAAACAGCATCTAGTTTCCCTGATCCCAAAGGTCCCATTGGCACGCACGCGGCGACGAGGCTCCCATTGGCTGCTGCACGCGTCAGTTTAACTACCGCCGCCAAATGGTGCTGCGTGGCCGTGCCGCCAGCACATCGATAAATCTAACCGCCGCAACCCCACGCTACTACAGACCCCGTGCCGGTTAAAACGAACACGTTGGCGCGTGCTCGAAAGCTGCTGCTCATCTCGCCGCTGAACAACATGTCGTCGCCTCCATCATCCACATCGTCGGTGGTGCTCCTGCTCATCTCGCCGCCGATGAATATGGCGCCGCCTCTAGCATCCACAATGTCACCGGTGCGTCTGCCACAACTCAAAAACAATACTTGCGCCACAAAACTTCGCGGGTCACTCCGCGGCATTCCATTGGACATTCATGCTTTCGTATTCACAACACACAAGAAGTGCTTAGGTGTCTTCACTCTTTTTAAGCCTTAGGTTACTATAGTCGGTGACAAGTAAAAAGTTCAGGGGAAGCTCCTCCCACCCCTTTCCAGTTTAGCAGAGCGAACACTGGTGAGAAAGTCGCCTCCTCTCCAGTGTTCGCTCTGCTAAAACGGACAGAGAAGTTTCCCCTAGCTGAACTCTGCCACCGACTATAGCTTGTAGAGAAAAGCAGAACAAACTCCTCTCACACAGCCTTCCACCCTTTCCACTTTAGCAGGGCAAATGCTGGAGAGGACTGAGCCTCCAATCGTGGCAAGCAGAGCGTTCTGCGGACGGAGCTCGTCCCGCCACTCTGCCTGCAACACGCTACAACTAATCACGTCAAACTCGCACCCCTCACGACCACCGATGTATGGCAGTCCCTGGCCGTCTTATCGTCCGAAAACCCATCCAAAATCCACATCGACCACCCCCTCTTCTCCAACAGCTGCAAAGCCCTCCTCTGGGCGGTGACAGCTCGGGCTAGTTTGGGCACCTTGCAAGAATGTTGCGAAAAAGGCTGCAGTGGAAGGGGTTTTACTCATCTTGACTTTGTCGTTTTATGGTTTTATAATGATCTACCTGCTTCACGGAGTGCCATTGTACACCAGTGCTGAGGCAACCCCTTGCACCGTACTCTGCTAGAGGTCACACTCTGGAGTGAGGATAGTCTGTTATGTGCCGATCAAACTGGTTCCTTGAATTTCCTCTCCTCGGTGCAAATGATGAAAGGGTAAGAGACTTGGATTGTGCATTTTATATAAAAGTGGGACACATACGCAGACAATCTGTGCCATTTTACAGAATAGCTGTTAACCCATTTGCCGCCAAAGCCGGTGAATCGCCAGGCGTGCCGTCAGGGGCCATACTGCCAAAGCCGGCGATTCGCCAGTCTGCATGAATTTCTGTTTTAAAGAGCCATTCAGAGATGGCGCGCTATGTAGACTTGGGGTAGGGTAGTTAGATACACTGCCAACAGATGGCGAGGGTCATTTTGTTCACTCTGTTTGTTTGAGCTTGTTCTTTTGTGTGTCGTTTTTCCCGCTCGACCGCTGCGTGCTTGGAGAAGATGACAGCGTCCAGTGTACGGTGTGGCCTTTTCGGCAATGACGACGGGACCTGAGTCTGGTGAGGATAATGAGTTTTCTGAGCCTTCTGTCGACGACGGGAGCGATTCCGACAGCACTTCCAAGTCCGAATCACAACAAGAGCGCACTGGTTGTGCGACGCCTAAGCGACTGAAGATGGAGTGCTTCAAGATCTTTCATACGAGGAAGAATTGGAAAGGGCCTATTTATTTAAAGACTTGAACAAACAACTTAAGCATGTAAATAAGCATGTATCCTTGTTTTCTGCACTGAGTTTTACTGTAAAAGCTTATTATACAAGCAGAATAGTCACGCCTAGTGTGGTTCTGTTTTTGGGGGAAAAACATGCAATACAAAAGACCCGGCAGCGCGCGACGCGCACGGTATCGAATAGGTTAATAGGTTAAGGGTTAGCTTCCCCAGTATCTTGTCCTTCAGCAAACAAATGACAGAAAACTTTGGACAGCTACCACCACCTATGAGCGACGGCAGCAAACAGACAACCAGCTTGCCAACTGCCTGGTTGCCACGTCGCTCATAGATGGCGGTAGCTGTCTAGCCTTTCCACTCTGGCTTGCCGACTTGCGGCCGGCCATTACTTCATTACCACCATAGTACAGCTTCGCTGGTCTTCCTTCTTCACCAGAGTGGAAAGGCTGAAAGATTGCTCAGCTCTTAATTAGGCGCCCGTTTTCAGCTTGAGCGGCGTCGGCATCGCCGTAACCGTGAAGTCACGTGACCCCCGTGAGGTCACAAGGCTCACGTGACCTCACAGTTACGCCGACACCACACGGAGGGAGGAGTAGCGAGGAGGAGGGAGGAGGGGTATACGCTCCCCTCGGTGCCCTTCCTTCTTCCTCCTCAAGAGCTGCGTTCTAATTCGGCGTTACAGGGAGTTGTAAGCAGCTTTCATTTTTAGTCTTCGCAAAGCAGGTAGGCCTAGAGAGCTACAAAAAAGATTGTAGAGCCCCTCCACTTTATGTCAAGATGGAAAACCAGCGAAGCTGTTATTGGTGCTACGTCTAGGACAATGCCTAGAGGACGACATCTAGAATGACCTCAAGGACGACTTCTAGGATGTACCTTTAGGTGATGCCTAGCCTAGAGGACGACGAACGACCTTGAGGACGACGTCTAGGACGACCTCAAGGACGACTTCTAGGATGACCTAGAGGATGACGTCCAGGATGACTTCTAGGACAACCTCCAGGACGACGTCTAAAGGACGACGGCTAGCGTGACCTCTCAGACGGCCTCCAGGACGACCTCGAGGACGATGTCTAGGACGACCTCGAGGACGACACCTAAGACGACCTCAAGGACGACTTCTAGAACGACCTCAAGGACAACGCCTAGAGGACGACCTCAAGGATGACTGCTAGTACGACATCGAGGACAATGTCTAGGAAGACCTCAAGGACGACCTCAAGGACGACTTCTAGGGCGACCTCGAGGATGATTACAGATGATAACAAGGGATCAGGATCTCACTATCTAATAATGCCAAGGAAGGCTGACTCACGCTCTTTGCCCCTCTTTTTATTTTTATTTATTCATACTTGCCATGACCAATGAGGAGTTTTTTGTCAACATCCGCGGATGCATTTTTTCCCACATCCTAGCACGTAATGGCTTTGCTGCAAAAAATTCACAGGGTCTCTTACGCTATCCCTAAGACGACTTGAAGGCGAAAGCCCAAACGCCGATGTAAACGTGATAGCGAACCCCCGAAGACTGACGAAACTCTTTTGGGTCGTTTCATTTGTACCTTTCGTTTTGGTACCTTTTGTGTCGCCGACGTGTTTTCATACTTTTCGTATCGCCGACGTGTTTTCGCTCGAGGACCTTGAAGGTCGATTGAATGATGAGACATATAAGGCTCCCGCCTTAATAAAGCAAAAAACCTCCAGAACGTATGACCGGTACGTACCATCACAATACCTATCAAAAGCCAGCAGCATGCCAACCCATTCACCGTAAAAAGCCTGGTTTGCTGGAAGAGGTTTAAACGAGCATCCGAAGATTGGAAAAAAGAGGGAATCACCTGGTTTCCTCCCTGTCCGTGGCACGGGTACATGCCCACAGCCTTGTGCATGTTGTCCCGGCTGGCAGGGCTGTCCAAGCAGGTGTGGCCCCCCTCGCCCTTGTTGCGTACCTGGACAGAGGCAACGCTCGCGCTATCCTCCACTGCACCATGTGTGGTGGAGTTCGAACCACGTTTTCTGCTGCCGAGCGGAAGAACGCGATTCGAATCCCGCTTCGTTCCTTCTTTTACCAATGTCTGCTCTTCCGAAAGCTCCAGACTATTCTCACACATTCTGGTTCGGAACATTCCCAGACATGCCGTGCATACCGTTGCCTACACGGGACGCGCGGTACCATCCCTGTTTTAAGTTTGTAGGCGCAAGTTTGTCTCGTTGAACATTTATTTGCATCCCCAAAATTGGCCTTGTGACACTATTTATTAACCTTTCAACGGGCTATTTTTTCCCCCGAGACACGTTTCCCGGCAATTCGATTTTGTTTGCAGAGGAGCAGGAAAGAAAGGGTCAATGTGAAGGTTTTCTTCTCAATTATGTAGCCGGAGCACGTAGAGCATGTTTGCAAGCTGTTTGGGCTAAGAAGCGTTGGATGAAAATATTGAAGGCGAAAAGTTGTCACTTTTTCATTCGGTTTCGCTTTGGTGCATCCGTTTCCGCGACGTTCCAGCGGCTTCGGATTCCTAACCGGAGGTACTTTACGGAACTTCTCCGTCAGGCCAATGAGCTCCCGTCCTCTAAATTTAATTTCAAAAAGCGTCGGAAGTCTGAATTTGAACAGCCAGTGCTCCCATTGGCTGTACCGCCAGAGCTGCCGGTATGCGAAGTGAGCATCACGTGCGTGGCGCGTCTAATTTAAAAACTATAAATGGCCCAGAAATGTGAAACAATGTGCGAAGTAGCGCTTATCGTTCACCAAAGACGTAACAAATAGTCTGCCGTGGTGCATGCAGTTTGGCGTTAAGGCGGGCATTTAAAAACCTGTAATCACCGCCGTACATGTACGGTGACGACCGTCAAAGGGTTGAAGGGAGAAGCAGGCACAGCTAGGAAAAATACCTATCGGCGGCTGAATTTCCGTATCGCCGACAAGAGGAAAACGCTTTTGAGAGCCCGGCCTTCGGCATGCGCTCCTCGTCTTCTCCCATGCCGTGCGCAGTCGAGGCTCGTAAATCGCCCAAGCATTGTTGAGGGCGGGAAACCCACGCCGAAGGCGGGATGACAGAGAAACAACTCCCTGCCACTCACGTCGCGTCAGTGGCATAGTCAAGACCGTAGCGCGCAAAATTGCACAGAGCGAGAAATTTTGGATTTCCGCGACATCTTTTCACTGGCACGCGGATTAATCGCCCGATGTCACGCAATGCCGCGAGTAGTGTACCGTTTCTGTGCAAGCGGAATGAAAGGGGATTCGGTGCTGCCAGAAGAAGCCTTCCTGCGCGGTACGGAAACGCGTCAATGTGCAGGCCGCATTTTCTTTTTCACTTTTGCTTTCGGGAGAGGGGACGCCCATAGCCGTGCCCCGCCGAAAGGCGGGGTCTTGAGTACTTCTGTAGGATGTGGGTGCACGACAAATTTGTCGCTGACGGGATGGATTAATGGTCGGGTGGAGCTTTTGCAGGGTTTGCCTGTTCACCCGTGGCCCTCTTACAACTCCGGATGGGGCACTATTTAGTCCGCCAAGGGGAGAGCCTTGTCTTGATACTTTTTCTGTCATTTCTCCTTCAACTGTTATTACATTATTGCAAGCTCATTATTTTTCTATCTATAATAGTTTCCAAGAAATCCTCAACTTCATCACATATGTTTCTACCCAGCTTTTCCAAAATACCCCTATCAAAATCTATGGCACAAAGTATGTCTGCACATTCTACTCTACAAACAGTAGGCAGTGTAACAAAATTTTACATACATTTTTAGCTCCCAATCCAAAAAAAGTTACTGCAACTTGAATTTACTACTTTGATGATGATTAGCAACAAATCATTGAAGTCTTTGCCAATTTAAAAAAATTTGCAGTTAAAATTCTTCAGAACTATTAGTTTTGTTGCATTCTCTGATTTATGAAGCACGTGTTTAACCCTAAACTATACATTTAGATCCAAACTCCAGATACAAGGGTGATATCATGGTGAAAGCATTTTGTTGCAACAAAAAGATAAACTCTGAAAAGAGAGGGAAAAGCTTTCCAGAACATGCTTGTAAACAGCCCAGTAAGAAACTCTGAATCGATGAATCTAATAAATGTGTACCACCTTAGTGTAATAATTAGAAAATATGTCATAAATGACCTATAAAAAAAACATTTTCTTTTGAAAAATAAATATATTTTTTTAAAGATTAGTGTGTTTTTTTTAAATATGTCTCATAAAATTTACCATGATGTGGAGAGTGAAATCATAAAAAAATAAGAAAACATGGCATTCAGGCGGTTTTTGAATGATGCCAGTAGCGCACACTATTGTCTCGTGATGCAACATTGAATTAATGAAAACGCAACATTTGAGCGAACACAAACAAAGTGTCAGTGTTGTCTGCCGTTAAGCTATGTGAAGAATGAAAGGTGGTGGACCATGTTCCTGTCCCTTCCGCATTGTTTGCATCAATTTAATAAAAATAAAACATGCTCATATACAGTGGACTCCCATTAAACGAAACTCGCTTAAACGGAAAATTCGGATAAACGGAACTCTAAAGGTTGTTTCGGTTGGTTTCCTATGTATTTAATGATAAGTTCTTCGGGTAATCGGAACCCCCCTTTTTGCTTACTTCGGTTAAACGGGACCGAAACCGAAACTACCCATGGCGACCGCGGACATCGGAAATAGCTACAGCAGTCTCACAACCATGGAGTACGCAATAGCCAAGACTGAGGACACTTTAAAGGGAAAGGGGTTGTGTTAGAACAAAATTTATACAAATATTAATATATAAAAAAAAAAAGTTGACGAAATGTTAGGCTAGGTGACGCGAGGTGCCGCTCGTTACAAAGGGTACGGTACAGCCATTCATCCATCCATCCAAGCCATTATATTAAGGCAATCCAATCCAGTCTTTCTACCGCCATTAGGGTTAGCGCCTCGTCTGTTGCGCGTCACGTTTACCATCGAGTACGCAAACCAGCGTCCGCTTGCCGTGTTGTGATGGAAGCGGTAAAAAAGCGGCCGCACCAAGCGATCTCGCTTGCTACGAAAATGAAGATCCTTCAAGAGCTGGATCGTGGTGACCTCTCGAAGACGGAGATCGCAAGGAAGTTCGATATCCCGAAGTCTACACTCTCAAGGATATCAAAGGACAAAGAAAAGATTCAAGACGCTGTAAAGCGCGGAAGCTTTGCCACCGACCGAAGGAGGATGCGAAAGACGCCTTTTGAGGAAATAGAGAACGTCCTTTTTCTCTGGTTTAAGCGCGCGCGAAGTGCTAATTTCCCGATCAGCGGCCCCATCCTCGAAGAAAAGGCTGGAGAGATTGCGTCTCAGTTGGGAATAGATAACTTCAAAATGAGCGACGGTTGGCTCAGCCGTTTTAAAAAGCGCCACGGCCTAGTCTTTAAGACTATTTCTGGGGAAGGTGCAGCAGTCAACAGAAACCTTTGTAGCAACTGGCAGCAGGGGCGGTTGCAGGAAATTCTGCAAACCTTTGAAGCACGAGATGTGTACAACGCCGACGAGCTGGGACTGTTCTACAAGGCGCTCCCGACCAAGACTCTCACCTTCAAAGGGGAAACTTGTACTGGGGGTAAGCGGAGTAAAGAGCGCATCACAGTGCTGGTTGGTGCCAATATGGACGGCAGTGATAAGTTGAGGCTGGTGGTAGTGGGAAAAGCGCAAAACCCTCGTTGTTTCAAGGGTGTGGTACTGCAAAGTCGAAGAAAGCAGCAAAGAAAAGCAGAGCGTGGAAAACTACGAGGACAAAAGAAGCAGCAGGACAACGTATCCAGTGGGCGCCACTCCTCTGTGTGTAGTAAAGGCATCCGGGAGCTGCCCGTCACTTATTATGCAAACAGAAAAGCGTGGATGACGCAAACGATTTTCGAAACCTGGCTGCGAGAACAGGATGCGAGATTTACCCGTGAGGGCAGGAAAGTTGTCTTTATTGTAGACAACTGCCCCGCCCATGGTGAAGTGGATGGGCTTAAGTCCATCATCCTTGAGTTCATGCCACCGAACGCAACTGCAGTAATCCAGCCAATGAACCAAGGCGTTATTCAGAACCTGAAAGTCTACTACCGCCGCCAGCTACTCCACCGAATGCTTCTTTGTGCAGACAGCGGGAAAGATTATAGTGTGAACTTGCTTTCGGCACTTCACATGCTGACCTATGCCTGGGAGCAAGTTAAAGTCTCAACCGTGCACAGATGCTTTCACCACGCTGGCTTCGCAAGACAAGAAGTCATTCCAGAGGAGGAAGGGGATACTGCTGATGCTGATGCGGCTGATGCTGACATCCTTTTCGGTCAGCTGGTATCTTCCACTTCTTTCACACGACAAGATTATGAAACGTTAGATGCAAACGTCACCACGTGTCGTGAAGAGAGCATTGAAGAGCTGGTAGCTGAAGTTCAAGGTGAGGAGGCCTCAAGCTCCAGTGAAGATGACGTGGAATGCAATGACCCCGGTCCTGCTGCAGTGCCAGACTGCACAGCGAGGGAGGCTGTTGCTCTCTTGCAGCGCTACTTTGAATCTGAAGGCTGTGCGGAATTTCTGCGCAACCTCCAAGGCATGCACACCTACTTCGTCAAAAAGCGATTACAAAATGCAAAACAAACTACCATTACCTCTTTTTTCTAGTCAGCTACATTAGCTGGACATCATGCTTGTGAAATAAAGTCATATTTCACTCATTTTATGTGCTTTGCTTTAATGAAACTTCTGATAAACGGAACAAATTTTTCTGTCCCTTCGAGTTCCGTTTAAGAGGAGTCCACTGTACTTGTCGCTGTGCTTTTTTTCTCCAAATGTAGCGCTATCAATTCTTTGCTGCGCATTTTATACTACTTTAGGCGACAACAACGTGGGGCCCAGTTCTACCAGTGTAATCGAAACGGAGCGCCGTCAAGCGTTCTGGGCGAAGCATCCAGTCGTATTTTTAGTGTTGTTTTCCATGGGAGACCATGGGCTTCTATGCGGAGCGCAAGTTCGTCTGCTTCTTTTGTAAGGGTCGTGGTGGCATCAGAACGCCGAGCTCCGATAGGCTCCGAATGAAGGATAGTGGGTAGATCTCAATGCAGCTTGCTTTGAGATCTACCCACTATCCTTCAATCGGAGCCAATTGGAGCTCGGCGTTCTGACATCACCACAACCCCTGCAAAAGAGCAGACGAGTTTGCGCTCTGCGTTGGTTGCACAGTGAGGCCATCGAGCCAGACGGACTGCACTGGTATGCGTATCGGACCAGGCCCCGTTCCCACCTTGTCGGTGGGTACACCGCCGTGACTTGCACGTCTCAAAGACTGCCGAGTGGAATACAGACACTGGGAAGCTTGCAGCGTCGAAAAAGTAAATTACGAGCGTTCGGGTAGGCAATCTTTTCGTCGCAGGGCAGTAAGATGTGGGAGACTCACCTCTCCCGAAGCGACGGCATCTCCTGGCACGAAGAGCTCCGGGTAGATGGTGCGCACGTACCAGTCGAAGGAACGGCACTTGAGCTGCTTCCTCAGCGCCTTGCGAGGACTCACGTCCCCAAAGTCTCCCTGCAGAAGGCGCCGGACCCAAGCTAGAGTACCCTCGGCGGCTCAAGAACCAACTGGCACGAGAAGGCCACTTCCCCCACATTGTCAGAAAATTCACGCTCCTTTCTCGGAAACTCTGGTGGTGCTGATGATACTGATTTTATCGTTCATAGGTAATACTGATGGTGCTGATTTTTTTTTTATTGCTCATAGGTAGTGCTGAGTTTTGGGTTGCGTTTCGACTTCATTATTACTGCTTTATGGACGGTGAAATGCAGAGCCAGTGTTTGTGAGGGTAAAAGCGCTAAAAACAATGGAGGAGTAAAAAAAACGAACAACACAGAGTGCTTACCCTCACAAACATGTATCACCAACTAGCCCAAGTGCATACCCTTCTACAGAGCCAGTGGTTCTTCTAGCGGATTAGCTTGGATCCGCTAGAAGCCGTGGGAATGCATCTCCTCCGCTTAAGTCAACGGTCCATGTCAGAAAGAGAATGTGTGGTATGGAACTTCGTTATATACGCATTTGAGCATTTGACCGCAGCGCCCTCTCGTCTATAAACGCTGAGCCAATGCATTTAACGCGATTATATACGCATTTGACCGCAACGCCCTGTCCTGTATAGACGTTGAGCGGCTCCATGCAACGTTTCAACCATTACAGAAACCCCAGCTTTTGAGTTACTACCACATCTCAGAGCCCCCTACTCGTCCCGCACTCGTAGCCGAGTGGTTAAGGGGATGGACTAGAAATCCATTGGAGTCTCCCCGCACAGGTTCGAATCCTGTCGACTGCGCAAACATTTTTTCTTTTCATGTGAACACGGACGCAGGACGGACGGACGGTTGGACAAGGCTAAACCTTGAGGAGCTTTGCCCCTAAAAACTTTGGTTGTCCCGTTATGTTCTCGATGCATTTATAAACTGCTTAATTCAAACAGCGTTTTCGCTAAATTCATACTGTTTGTTCGCAGCGGGTTAGCCCCGTTGAGTGCGCTTCTCGCCGAACACCCGTGTACTGCGGGAAAGCAATGCCCACAAAGCTTGTGGTCGTTGCTTTTTCGCATTCGCGAGTGCTCAGTGAGAAGTGCACTCGATGGGACTAACCCGCTGCGATTATGCAAGCAGAACTGTCCTGACAATCTGCTTTCATTATTTATGACTGTTTTTCTTTCTTTTTTTTAGGGGGTTTAATTTGAGATTAAAGGAAGAATATTTTCTATATAGCAAGCAGATCTATAAATTCCCTCGATTAGGATAGCTGGATGTCTCTTTAGGTTTCATTTTATGCCAAATCTGTCATTTACATGCCACCCCAACATAGGCGTTGTACTTTCAGAGGCCACAGTTAATAGATATAGTTATATTAAAACTAACTGAGCTTAGAAGTAAACAAACAGAAGGTTGGGAACAATCGTTACGAGTTCAGCTGAATTTTCGTTTCAGCACGGTACAATGGTTTTCGATATTGGATTAGAAAATATTCTGCCAAAACTACTATTTGCTTTGAACTTCACCAATGTTTTATGTGTGGGCCTGCTTTTAAATAGGCCTGTGTAGAGGAAAGTGAAAAAATCTGCTTCTCAAGCAGAGATATTCCTATAGCGAATCGCTACTATGCCTCACATCATATTTAGATGAATTTCTGATAATTCACACTTCTGATATTTCAAACTAAAGTGTGTCACTTCCTGGAACCTGTATTGAAAATCGACTGTATCTTGAAAAAAAAAAAGCGGCCCGAAAAATTCAAACTATATTAAATGCTTCTCATTTTTGCAACAAAAAGCTTCTCAAAAACAAGAGTTTTAGCTCCAACAAATTGCGAGCTAAAAAGAATCGAGTCAACCCTCGTGACTGAAATGTAACAATCTGGCTTCATCATCAAACCCACCGCTGGTGCCCCAGTTAAGAAAATCGACGAAGGATTTGCAAAAAAAGTTGCGCTTGCGAGCGCACGTCCGACCCATAAATGGCTGTCAGACAACAATGATGTGTTGCTGGTTTCACGCTCGACTTAAAAATTGCTTCCACGCAAAAAAAAAAGAAAGAAAAACGCAGAAACCAAGACAGTAGACTTCAAAGTGCCTATGAGACGGTGCAGCGAGCGCGGGAGCTCTGAGAAAATTTCGAAACGGGTTTTCCGCACCCATCGATCACGGAAGATCGACACTCTACGAGCGTGGTCAGAAAACAATTAACGGGAAAACGTGCCGACGAAGAGACGAACGGACCGACGAATATCTGGGATTCGGAGTTTCGTTAGAAAGCCTTCCGTTCCCCAAAGATGGTGGGTGTTCTTCGGTGGCAGCACTTACCAAGTCTTGTCCGATGCGTTGGTAGTAGTACTTGGCGTACTCGTCGAGCCACACCTCGGCCAGGCGCACAGAGTTGCGGCGCAGGACGTTGACACCGGACCGCCACTTGTACGGGCTTCGCTTGCGGAAGATGTGCCCCACGTGCGAGCAGGGAACAATCTCTAGGGTGCCACCGCACATCCACGTCTGCACAGAGCGAGATAGGGGAAAGGCCAATCAAGTGTCGTAAACATCCGAGTCCTTTGGAACATCCAGTGCAGTGGTGTAGCCAGGGTGAAGGCTTATGGGGCTTCAGCCCTCGCCGAAATCCAGCCAATCCTAGAGTGTACACATGCATTTTGACCCCCCCCCCCCCAAGTCATGGACAGCCCAGCCACCCCTTCCCTCCAAAAAAAAATTTCCTGTCTACACCACTGACCCAGTGAGCCCAAAAAGCACAGTGATCTTGTGCAGCTAACCATTCAACCACTTAATCAGTTCAATGATTGATTGATTTGCATGGTTAGTAGGGAACGGCGAATGAAAAGTCAGTTCGAAAATAAACTGTCGGATGTATAAAATTTGAAGTTTGAGAACTAAAGAGGAGCTTCGGCAGTTTTGGAGCGACCCAAATAAAACACATTTTTGAAATACCCAGGTTTTACTTTTCCCCGCATGCTATTTATTATCTCTAAATTCAAGATAGTCATAGAGCGTACCATTACTATGGCAAAGACATAACCAAAAAAATTGCGGTGGCTTAGCTCGGCTATGCCAGGATATACGTAGCGTGAGCTTATGCGCACAAAATGAGAGGCGCTATCAAGCGGCACCGGTGCAGCGTCAGACTTGGCTACTGCGCAACGGAGGCGCAGAGCTGGGCACGCGGCAGCGCAAGTGCGTCTGCCGCAGCTATGACGTCACTCCTCTGGAATGCGCATACCAGCGAGGCGTGCGCGGCCTCTCCGGCACACCAGCTGCGAGCCGTGTGACGTCACTGCTCCTCGCACTTGCGCAGCACAGCTCTTTGCTAGCCACACGAAACTACCCAACCTCGGCCAGTGTAGCTCACGCTACAAAAGGGGGAAAACTTCCTTCTTGTTTCCTCCATGCTTTCCATGAATAAGGAAACATTGCTGGATCCACTCCATGTGGATGGGGAGGGTAGGAGGGTGCGACGAACAAGAGAGAACATAAAACTGGAGAGATGTTTTCAGCCTGGCTGCGAAAACAATTGTGCCAGACTTCAAAGAGAACTTCTCCGACAATTCCACAATGACCAGCACCTCGCCAGCCCATTTACAACGAAAGCTTTCTCTTTCTACCCTCTTCGCAATGTCGAGATATGTTCCTCTGAAAACAAAGGGACCAGGACGTGCCATATAGTAGGCTCTGCATCCAAGGATAACAGTTTCTGGAGTGCAACGGTAGCAGCAGAGCATGCAGAAGTGGGTTTGCTCACCTTGAAGGACAGCTCGAGGTTCTCTCCCCCCCCAGATGTCAAAGCCACTGTCGTAGGTGCCCAGCTTCTCAAAGAAGGCCTTGTCGATGGAGAACAGGCCACCGGCCATGGTGGGAGACCTGGAGTGGACGGAGGTTAGCCACCCCTCACACGGCTCTGCTGAGCAGCATAGCTACGGCAACCGAACGTGCTGCTCCGGGGCCGGCTAAGTAAAATATTTTCAACCTCGATCCACACTACACACTGCATCTCCGACAGCACACATAGTTCTGCGGACACTTTCGGGACATCCCGACGCTCCCCCTGATCTCCCGTGGACGTTTGTGGGACACAGCCCACCGGACTCACCAGACGGGGTCCCATGAGTGCAGCCTCCGCTTGCGCTCCCTCTCGGGGACGGCGTGCCAGCTGAACTGGAGGTTCCAGTCGAAGCCCCCCACGTTCACTCCCCCGGAGTCCCGGTAGTGGTACTCAAAGGTGCTGTCGCTGATCACGTCGATCACGGGGCACACCACCGTTGTGGAGTTGCGCGCTATCCGGTCCAGTAGTGGCTCCAACCACCCTGCAAGGACGGAGAACCGTCAAAGAGGGGAATGCGCGGCCATGCACGTTTAGCTCGAGCGCATGGGCGGGGTGGTCTGGTTGGCCCCCCCCCCCCCCCCCCCCCCCCCCCCTTCCCACTCAAAAACAAGTAGGTACGCCACTGCTCGAGTGGCATCGCCTGCAGCCCAAGTGACGCCACTTGTAGTTCGAGTGGTGTCACTTATCACGGCGGAACTACTTGAAAGTGATGCCTGTTGCAAGATTACTTGGGGAAGCACTTGCGGTTAAGAGGTACAACTTGAAAGTTAGTGGTACTACTTATAAAACCACTTTGCATTTTTATCGCAGACAGCTTTGTTACATTTCAAAGTGAGAGGGGAGCTATGAAAGTTATGCCTACTAATATGTTCCTCCCGAAGTATACCGTATATTGTTAATGACATTTGAGCAGAGTACTGCTACGCTCTTCACAAACATTTAACCATCTTTAAAAAAAAAGTCTCCACTATAATCTATACTTTTTTGCCATTGCTGAGTAAGACACCACAATCCTGTCCCGTAGACGTCTTAGCTTCAATTATGGAGATTGTCGAATACAGCTGCAGCTTGTCTTCATTCAAAAGATGGCCTTTCATTCATTCTTCGACATCTACCACAATGCAGGTGGTAGATTGTCGAAGGACACATACTCAGAGAATGCCATGTTTTGGACAACAAGCCGAAACAGTGTGCCCCAGTCTCTAAAATCGAAGCATTTACGGGGCAGAAGTTTAGCGTTTTAATCAGCAATAGCATAAAAGTGTAAATAATAGCAGAGGTTTATTTAAAGGTTATTGTAAATGTTTGTGAAGACTATATTGCATTTCACCTTACGACGGACCGCAACAAAAGCCATTCTGGCCATTCAAGCACAGTGAATGTATCACTCGACTTGCGCATAACCTGACACTCATGCATAAACTTTCGTACCTCTCCTCCCCCCATCAGCATATAAGATAAACTAAGCCTATGTGGTACCCTGGTGAGTCCTGACACAAGCTCAAGGTAAGCTCCAAGGACACCCATGTACGGGAATGCCTGCTACTAGCATCAATACGTGCTTATTTCAAGTAAACTTCCGTCTTTTTAGTTGCGATGGCAGTGCCCTCCTTGAGAACCATCCAGCATCTCAAATTGCATTTCAACCAGAGATGTTGCAGTCCCATGGTTCAGGAGTGCTAACTGAGAAAGCCAAAAAGTACATTTAAAAAAATCTGGTTTTTCATCCACAAATTGCTTTCCAAAAGCGTGAGCCATCAAGCAATGGCTGCACCAATTATGTATGTGTCCGCCACAAATAATCTGACCACAAAGTGCGAGCATGTTTTGCATGTTTGGCAAGGACTCTGACCGCTTTGTGCCCGAAAAGTTGTGCCCGAAAAACCTTAATCAGTCCACTACCATGGACTGATAAGGTTTCTAAATCGCAGCTCAACTTGCACGCATTGCCTTCCTCTCCAGAAAGAGTGAGAGAAGGTTGCTCACCCTCAGTGCACTCGCAGTGCGAGTCGAGGTAGGTGAGCACGGGGGCTGTGGCCGCAGCGGCCCCCAGCAGCCTCGCCCGAATCAGGCCCTCCCTCTTCTGGGCACGGACTATCTTCACCTTGGACAGGTGGGCCACGTAGTCCTCCAGCTGGCTCTTCAGGTGCGCTGCGCACAAAAATGGGTAACTTATTGGATGCTACACTTTTCTGCTATCAATGTGACAGGCTTTAATCCCTAAAACTGTAAAATCGGGGCTCGACAGCAGTTTCTACTGCCTGCACAGATTTACGTCGTTAGAGGATATCCGAGGATTGGTCCACAAACGGCTACGCAATAGCCGTTCCCATCTTGCGTCTTCGTTCTCACCACTGTGCGAGCACACCTCTTGAACTGAGGTTCAGGAGGAGCAGCACTCTTCGAGCACCAAATACTGGTGCTTGGCGCAGATCGGGCACCATTGCCGACTGTTAGGATTGTAAAATGCAACTTTCTGAGCTTTAGATACAGTGTTGCGAAGCTCGGGCAATATAGTTTTACTCTGTTGCAGACCGTTTCAAAATTTCAAGCCCGGAAAAGTGTTTCCTGTAAATTCAGACAACGGTCGAGAAAACTTCGAACCACGATTTTAGGCACCTAAATGGCCAAAGTGTTGGTACTCTGAAGTGTAGCCCCTTTAGTGCTCTCGTCCAGACGACGCAAACAGGGACGGTGCGCTCAACGACGGCCACTCACGCATGTCGGAGAAATCGTCGACGAGGATGATCTCTCGGAGCAGGGGATCGGGCGACCGGTCCAGGATGCTGTGCACCGTTCGCAGGAGCACGCTCCACGCTTCATTGTGGAAGCACACAATCACGCTCGTGGGGGGAAGCTTCTTCAGGTACTTCTCCTCTTTACACCTGCAAGCAAACAACCACGCATGAGATGGGCTCCCCCAAAGAGAAACACAAAAATTTCAAAATTTACGTTTATGGCGAGAAGGATGAACTCCCGGCGAAAAAATGAGCGCTCCGGCAAATTTGCAACTTTTGATTTGAAAGCGTGGTTTTCCAATCGGCAAATTCTGCCCTCATTTAAACTCATACCCAGAAAAAGATCACTTCGCTGAAGCTCGATTATGAAACTAACTGTACCAATTAGGTCCTTTGCACTTGGATCCAGCTGGATCAAACAGCAAATATGCAGATCCATGCAGTTCCACAATCCAGTTCCAGCTAGGCTAATTTCCACCTGGGTAGAAAGCGGCAGACTATATCCTACCCCCAAATATTGCGGGAATCTAAACGGTGCAAACAAAATACCCCCCAGGTATGAATGGACAAACGAAGGAAGCGAAATCGAGCATCGGTCTGCCCCTCTACTATGAGGAGATGTGCCCGAGCAAGGCCTTCTAGACAGCAAGGCTCCGCTGGTGTATTTTCTGTTTCTGTCACCTACTGAAGGCCAGCACGAAGCACAGATTAAAAACGAGTGCTGCATTCGGCCTCTGCTCAATCAGTGCAGAGTCCCGGCGGAACGCTCAAGTAGCGCTCGTGTCCACAGTGCCCCGTGTTTGCCTCCAATAAGTGACACAAAAAATCAGGAACTATGCATAAGCATTGTTATCTGCATGTCCTCAGTTTCCCTTTAAGTGCAAGCACATCCGAGCAGTCAGCATCCGTGTAGGGACGCTGACTGCGTCGTTCGGGGCAGCACGCTTGTAACTTTGGCTTCGCTAGCATATAAAGCGAGACTTCTACACGGAGTATTCACCGGACGCCCATATTGGAGTGTGCTGCTCATGGCACAGTGCTCAGAACGAGCCGATCCATCTATTGGCTGCCAAGATTGGCGGCCTTGACGATGTGGAATGCACGTTGCAAAAGCACCGTGAAAACACAACGTCGAGTCACGCTCGTCGGCTCCAGCCCATCGGCTGCGAACTTGGCTGTGACCATCTGCAAATACCTCCTACGGGAAGTGTTGGCCCAACCACAGCCGGGATAGAAAGCGGATTTTCTTACGGCCTCTGTTCTCGCTTAGGAGCAATTGGATCTTCTCTAGTCGCATGGGGGTGCGACCATGCTGCTCTTCCCAATACTGCCTGAACTGCCCTGGTCGTCTGTTATGTCCACAGGGATTGAAAATGTGTGCCAATGTACTCCTTTTAAAAGTGTGATAATTCAAGTATTTTTCGCTTACGATAAATAAACATTTGTTCTTGGAAAATTGTTTTTTTAAGAAGACGAAGAGAAAGAGTTGTCCTACAAAGCTCCCTGCAGGCAAGCGGCCTCATTGGCCTGTAGGTCTAATTAAGTTCCTCGATAAAATTCACGCTTTCAAGTACCGCCAACCATTGCTGTGGAAATGCACAAGCAGTGGAATACAGAGGAGAGGTTTGGATGTCCTAACCGCCCTCTTGAATTTTGTATGTGTAAAAATTTAGGGTGGGGAAACAGGGGGGGGGGAAGTGTTTTTAAACATATACGCTGACCCTCCCCTCTGGAAATACCTGCGTCCGCCCCTGCACACAAGACAGCTGCCACAAGCGGATGCTCCGCCGCCATTCATTTCCAAGGGCTGCTCATTTCAGTGTTGCGCCGCCATTTGCTTCCAAGGGTCGCTCAAGACACAGGCCTCGTGCACTGGTGCATTAGACGCTACTTACACAGCAAACACAAAAACGTTGAGGGGCTCTAGATCTGACCAGTCGGAAAGTTCCTCCAATTCGACCATGGAGCGAGGAGGAGGCCTACACAGCGAGGTTGGGGAGCCTCCTTAGAAAAAGTTAAACCGCCGTAGGGGGCCTGAGTTCGCAGCGATTCTGCCAAGCTGCCGTGCCAGGGAGAAGCTACAGCCCACATGAAGGGCATAAGACAGCGCGCCTCTTCAATCTAGCCCAGCCGTGGTCTGACGCAAGGCGAAGGGGGAAAGTGGCTCACTCGCTGTCCCGGACGTCCGGCAGGGAGCGGTGCAGGGAGATCATGTCGCTGATGTACTGGTTGAAGGCGTTCTGGTCCCAGCCCTTCTTGACCCGCTTCTCCTGCTCCTCCGTGAGCCCACTGAGCACCACGGGGCGCCCGAGCTCCCCGGGGCCGTCCGGGTTGCGGGGGGGCACCAGCACCGCCTGCATGGCGGGCCCCTTGGCCTCCTTGTCATCCTCCTTCGAGGGCGGCCTCTCCCGCTCGGCACGCTTGCGCGCCAGGGGAGGCAGCTGCTCGTCCACCCTCCGGTCGGCCGGCTTCGAGTCCTTGATGGCATTGCTGTCCAAGTGGTCGCCATCCTGCGGGAACATAACAGAGCTTAGCAATGATTCGACGCTTTATGGCTAACACACCGCCAAGACAGCACTGCGTCGGCAAGGTCAGCTCTATTTCCAGAGCTGTCTCGTGCTATTTCCAGCGCTGTCACATGCTGAGGCAGCGCTATATATTAGACAGGCCTTCACTAGGGTCTACCAAATAGCTCAAGCATCAACAATATAGTATTTATTCATTTATTTTACCCTCAGGGCAAGAGCATTATAGAGGGGACAAAACAATTTATATAAATAAAGACAAGCACACTATAATCAACATAAAATATTATAGATGAAAGGAACATTGGACTTTCATATGAAAAATATTATACCACATAGAAATGCTTCCAGTCCAGGCTGTGTTATGGAACGGGAAATCGACTACGGCTGGAGCTGGAAATCTATTTTACCAGCCAAATTCCAGGCTGTTTCCACCCAGAAATGGACAAATTTCTTGCTGGAAATTAGACTTTTCCTCATCTAGCCAAGAAACTTTCAGGTGGATCATGTACTTTCAAGCTGGAATTTCTGATTTCCAGCATGAGCAGCATCCATTTCCATCTGTAAACAGGATTTCCAGCTGCTGCTGTATAATTTAACCAAAAATGCGGCTGGAAATCTTCATTTCCAGCTGGAAGCTGCAGCTTAATTTCATGTGATTACTAAGAGCATCGCAAAAGCGATCACCATCCTTGATATGCTTACTAAAAAGGGAGGCAAGCGTTTCCATTCATGGCTGGTGGAATAAAAAATATCAGTAGGTTACTGTGTTTTGATCAGATATGTCTACTTTATGACAATGGTCAAGACACTGTGAAGTAAAGAAAGCAGGTTTTATCAAGCATGATCTAAGCAATTGATTATGATGATAAATCTCATGAAAAAGACAGAAGCGAGATAGTTTTCTGCGAGTGGAGAGGGAGGGGGGATTAAGAGATGATTTCATGTTAGTTATGCTGGCAATGCACTGATAATCTGAAAGAAAAAAGCCGACGGATCCGATTCTGCACAGCTTCCAAGTTACTGATTAGCATGATGTGGCCAGGATCCCAAATGGATGAAGCATATTCAAAGTTCAAGCAAACAGTTGTATGTAACATACAACTGTTTTTTTAGTGATGACGACAGAAGAAAGAAGTTTTTCTTTTAGCGCAGCTCTTAGGGGCCCGTTCCCGGCTTGAGCGGCGTCGCTGTCGGGGTAACCGCGAGGTCACTTGACCCCCCAAGGTCACCCCAAAGTCACGTGACCCCCCCCTCCCGCCCCCCCCCCTCCCCCCCGAAGTCACGTGACACCCCCTCCCTCCAGGGGCCCTAAGCTGGACGCTCGGCGAAAACGATGGCGAGAAATTTGGCGGCCGCGATTGGCCAACGCCACACTTGAACTTGGCGCCGGCCAATCATAGCCGCCGAATTTCTCGCCGACTTTTCCGCCAAGTGTCCAGATTAGGGCCCCAGGTCAGGTGACCCTTCCCCCCCCCCCCGGAGCATATTAAAGAATGAGGGGAGGAGGATGAGAAGGAGGAGGGGTCTACCTTCCCCTCAATAACCTTCCCTCCTCCTCCCCCCACAGTACCCTTCCCTACTCAATCCTCCTCAAGAGCTGCGCTCTAATTTGGCGTTACAGGGAGTTGTAAACGGCTTTCATCTTTATATACCCGAGCATTCAATTGGCTTTAACTGTTGCATAGTTAATGTGATGCTGCCACGAGAGGTTATAGGTTATATGAATGCCAAGGTATTTATATCTGTCTGTTGCAATTTAAGAGAAATGGGACAAACCCCACCCACAAAGCTCTCTTGTCTTGATTGGTAGTTTCCTCCTCTACATTAACCCTACTCTACGGCATTCACTCTTTCCTGAACAATGCTGACTGTGTAATTTGAGCGTGCGCGATTTATCTACAGGAAAAATGACCTTTTCCGAAACCTAGGTGGTGACCAACCACACCCCCTTTACACTAAGCACAATTTGTATCTCCCCTATGTTGTAAAAAAAAAAAAAAAACGTAAAAAAACGCAGATTTTTACTAGGTTTAGCGGAATGTTTATTGCTCATCCAGCAACAGCAAAAAGCTGTCTAGCTTTTATTTTTTTTAGCCCCATAAATCCTCAGACACTGCCGGTGTCAGTCGCGACGCGCATACTTTTGCTTCTGCTTCGGCATGCTTCCACGGCAAGGTAATTTATTGTTTACTTTAACACTAGATTTGGAATGTTAAAAATGACGAAGACGAAGAAGATATTTTAAAAGCGTCGCTTCCAGAGTAGTCGGCATAGGTCAATTTCTTATGCCGCCGAGTCCCCGCAACGCACTCTGATGCCTGACGCAGTGGCTACCACGTGTGTGTCTTCTTCGAAGCTGTCGCACTCGGCAGCACGCTTTGAAGAGCTCAAGGCAAGTGTTTAAAGGGACACTGACACCCCCCAAAATTTTTTTTTTTTTTCATTTTTTGCCAGGCGTTTCATTATGGTGTCGGGGGACTACCCAATTAATATTTTGCCACAGAGTAGCGTATTTTTTTAATAAAGCCAAAAGACGCAACTGCTCGAAACCGAAACCGAAACCCGACGGAGGTCGGACAAGTGGAGAGAAGAGAGTGAGTGGCGGAAGTCACGTGGCTACACCCGACCGTGCGTTTTTCTTTTTTTTCTCTCCTCTCCGTAGCAGACGACACGACATGCGGCGTGCGATTCTTTTGCAGTTATGTTTGTTCCGCTCGTTGTTCTGTACTCAAGATGAGTTGTTTTGTACATTGAAGAGTTGGAGATGAGTAGTGAGTGCCCGTGGTGAATTTCCATGATCGGCTCCGAAAAGAATACACCCAAGATGTTGCGTGAAGAGCTGGCTCACATGTCCTGCATCCGAAAAAAAGTGGCATTGTGTGACAGAGTTTCCGAAAGATCAACGGGATCGGGACCAATGGCTGGCTGCAATTCTTGTAGAACAGATACGGGCACCTCGGAAAGCGGACGCTACCTGATTTATATGCTCCTTGCATTTTGTGGAAAGTGATTACATTGGGTTCGCAGGTGTCAAAACGGAAATCCCATACCATTTAATTCAGCGAAGTATCGTCCACAACATTTGTTTGTTATTTTTTGCTTGTTTCTTCAGTGATGATTGTAAAAAAAAGAAAAAGCTATGTAAACATCAGAAAATGTTTGAAAAAAAAATAATAAAGTTTCACGGGGGATCGAACCCGGTCCTACCGTGTGTGAACCGGACGTCTTCGCCACTGAGCTACTGGGGCATCTATTTTTTGGTGGATCTCTTTCCCTAGTAATAGTTCAGCCGGTAAACTAGAAGTTGGAAAGTTTGCTGTCGATTTTTCTCTAGCAAAAGCACTCCCGGGTCGAAGTCGGGAAGCACCACGCTTTGGGGACATTCGCACCTAGTAAAGAAATCGCACGCGTGCATATTCAACTCGAAGTAGACACGTCGTGCTTGACGTTTGCGCGAGCGATGTCTTCAGCCCCGAGAGGGGAGCGACGGCTCGGCGACGTCTTCGTGCAAATAGGCTTGGTGGCCGGGCGTGTCGTACGGGATGAATACCGATTCTTTTGATCAGTCCCAAATTTCTCATTTAACGGTAGACAGAATTCGCCGGTAAAACGAACGACAGTTCTGAAATAGAGGTCCCACGCCCGTCGTCCGCTGCCATCGCCGTCCCCGCGAGTCCCACGATACGCGAAACGACGAACGCACAGAATGCTTCCGGTTGTCTGTGGAACTTTTTTTTCAATCAACGTATTTACAGCTTTTTAGAAGCCACAAAAAATGGGTTTCATATTTGTTTCTATTTTTAATATTGAGTGTGTGCCTTCAGTGACCCACGACTTTGATTAAATTTGGTGGTCGCATCGATACCTTAGAAAATGGCCCGTGACCGCGAAAAAGAGAGTGAGCGAGACTCGAACCGGCCAGTTCTTGATCGGCGGTTTTCGGGCGGAAAGAAACCGATTTTCGAGCCGCAAATTCTGTTCTGGGTAGTTGAGCTCTCATATGTCACGTACAACTAAAAACCTCGGCAAGCATAAATACCCTGTCAGTGTCCCTTTAGTGACTGCAACTGTGCACTGATTGACATCGAGCTTCCGTCTTGTACCGTCGCCGAAAGCTGGGTGTGAAAAGTGTGTGGTGGGGACTTGCAGCTGGTTGAAAAAGCAGCACTAAGAGCTGGTGTCGCCTGCACCTGCTTTCTGAACTGTGAAAAGTGCTGTTGGACACACTGATTAGAGAGACGTCAAAACGCACAACTTCGAGCCTCTACTTGGCGTTTTACCAGGATGATTCATGGTGCAGTGGTTGCGGGACGTTGTCCGGCGACGACTTTACTTGGCAGACAGGGCTACACAGCTCGTCACAAAAGAAGCCCAAAAAGCAAGACAGCAAACAAAGAAACTAAATATTGACTATGGAGGTGACAACCTGGCAGGTGGCTACCGAACAGATACATCAGCATGCATTTCTAGAGTGAAAGTTTATAATAAAGCGCCTTTTTTCACTTCAAAGTCAATTATCTCAAAACATCATTTTTTTGCGACATTTGACCCTTTTTCTCTGAAACCATAAAAACTAGAAGTATTATTTTTTTCCACTAACAAGACAACACAAGGGGGAATCTACTGAACTAGAATTATGGAAATTAATCAAGGCAATTTTGTTTAACACGCTGTTTATTGTCTATTTTGGCATTAAAATTAGGAGGGTCCAGTAAAAACAAAAGCAAAAAAGAACTAAAATATATATAACAATAAATCTGGTTCAGTAAAGAGAACACAGAAAGCTAAATACAATGATACCAACATGAATCCTCTACCTCTAACCCTAGCAGATACTGAGAAAAAGGGTCACATACATAGGCTGAAACACATGAGAAGAATAGGGCCTACCCAGTCCTGCAATGAACTGTAGCAAAGATGGCAGCATCAATACATGGCATGAATACCAGCAGTGAATGTGTTGTTATCAGATACCCTGGCCTAGGTGGGGCAAGCCGCCACTCAATTCAAAGGGTTCAGTTGTATTCATCCATCCGTCCACTTATTCATCCGTGCAAATGAGGTCGTGAAAATCGATTAGAAAGTGCCTACTGAGCAAAATCCAGTCATTTTTCAAAACTGGAATGAGACTTAAGTATTCAACTTTCTATTAATATTCATTCCCCATTTTAATCTTGGCAATTAAAGGACATTTAAAGTACAATTAAAAGATGAATAATATAAGTAAATGTGGACCCGCCCTCCGTCCCCGAGCACGAAAGAGAACAACTAACGTCTGCATTGAGAGGTGAGCGAGAAAAAGAGGCGTTGCTATCTCCAAGTTCTGTTTCCTGGGAAGCTTGTCGGTTAGATTGGCGCTTGTCTTCGCGTGCTGCCTTTACTTCCCAAAATTCACTGGAATAGGTAAAAGAAAAAAACTTGCTACGACAAAAATGCACTCCGAGACTGGGGTGGAAAAAAAATAAAAAAGAAAAGCATGAGATACGGACGGAATAGACCTATTGCAAAACGTGCACCGACGTGCGCGGCGCAAAAAGAAATGCCGGCAAGTCTGCGTACACAGAAGCGACCGGAGGCGACGAGGAGGAGGGCACGCGAGCAAATGCGCAGCCTTCTTTCTCTCTCGCTCTCTTCCATTTCACGCGACAGGTTCTGCAAGGCAAGGACTTTGTGCGCGGATGGTCGGAATTTTACAGCGGAGCTGTTAGGGGCTGGTTTCCCCAGTTTCGTGTCCGTGGACAAATAAATCTCGACACAACCCTCTGGACAACTACCGCCATCTATGAACGACGGCGGCAACCAGACAACCGACGTGCCGGTTGTCAGGTTGCTGCCGTCGCTCATAGATGGCGGCACATAGTACAGCTCCGCTGCTCTTCCTTCTTCGCCACCAGAGTGCAAGTTAGCAAAAGGTTTAATGGCGATTAAGGGAAGAGGGAGTACACCGTGTGAACGAAATAAAACTTAACAGTTGAGTTTGAGACGCACGCTGTCTTCTTTTTTCTGTATCTCTTACTTTTTTTCACTCTTTTTCATCTCCGTTCCAAGTTTTCCTAGGAACCGAAAAATGCCACCACCTCAACGCATGGCCAAAACAAGCAGTCGGGTGTTTGGGCACCGGTTCGTGGCGCCGCTACTCAACACAGGATGCGTCTGAGCTGACTGTGCTCGGAATGATACGCTACTCAGGACCATGTGATCACCTCCGAGGCGCTTTCCGTCAGCCCTCGACGCGTGCTAATCGCAGCTCCTGGAAACAGGACGAAATTATCTACACCGTATCTCTCACTCGAACGCAGCATGGGAAACAGCCAGATTCTGGAAGGGGATATCTCAGAAAAGGGCTTCGGGTTATCTCTCAAGTCGTTTTTCCTTTCTCCTGGCACCGTTAGCTCACCCGTAACGACATTATAAGCCAATGGCATAAACTTCACATTGAGCTCAGATAACACAGACGAAACGACAAGCGAAAAGAGCGGTGTGGTGATCACTATCACACATTGTGTCTCCTTTGCTGGGTACTGACAGGTATTTCTACTTACTGGTTTCTTCGAACTACAACTTGTGCGGTGTGAAACTAACACGGTGAACCGAACGCTCGCGGCGCATAAAATACTAGCATGGCCGCTGAGGATGTCACGTGCAATCTATGCATACTCGAGTCACCGTATGTGCGCTCCTCGCCTATCTTTTGAGGTAGAACGACGTGTCCCGCCGATCACGGACGGCCCAATCATTGTCACCCGACGAAGCAGTGAGGTCTGGCAGCCCGAGTCTGACATTACGCCGTAACTTGGCGAACGGCAAAGACGGTACCAGTGAACCAATGAGCGCGTCGGAGGGAAACACGTGACAGGTTAAGAGTGCAGGGAAAACTCCTCCCACTTTAGCAAAGCAAAGGCTTAGCTAAAGCTCGCTCGGTGAAACGAAGCGTAGGGTGCTTCAGTACCAAGCAGGGCAGAAAATTAAAGTCATAATGATTAGAATCACGGTTTAAATCATGTTTTAAATCGTGATTTAAAGGAACACTGACACCCCCAAAATGTATTTTTTTTTTTTTTAGTTAGGCGGTTCATTATGATGTCAGAAGACTACGCAATCAATATTTTGCTACAGCGTCACATATATTTTTAATAAAAGAAAAAGAAAAACACAATTGCTCGACATTGAAACTGGACTGGGGAGGAAGAAGAAATATAGAGGATGTTGCCCATAAATCACGTGCACGTATTTGCAGCTTTTTAGAAGCCAGAAAAAATTAGTATCATAATTTTCTTCCGAAAGAAAAATCAAATAAATTTATCCGACTGAAAAAAAAAACAAAAAAACCTTAAACCATTTTTGCTTTATTTTGGCGGAGATTGCGTCAATCAAAAATTGTTAACGAAACTGTACAGTCCTCCTTCCTTCCGCATTGTGATCAGTGAAGGACAGAGAACTGATCAACCAATCTGCCATGTCAAAAATACATCTAGTGATAAAAATTACTATTTTATAGATACCGTGATCTGTCACATTAATCTGATAAATTCAAATAATCCATACTAAAATTAAATGAACCTATTTTTTTAAACTCTTGTACTAAGTAACTCTGGCAAAGACTTCCACATTGGCCAGTTGTGGGCTTCATATCCCCGATGGCGGATAGTGTCGCCGGGGTAAATAAGTCGAGCAAATATTAAAAGTCGTCCCGATAAACTTTCCTTCTAAGAAATGCAGAGCCTGTTGAGTCCAGAGCATCTTATTATCTCCCTGGAGTCAAGAAAATTGTGGCATTGCCCAATAAGAACGTCAAAGGATGGAACACGAAGCAAGAAGAGTGAACATGTGTCATGCCCAGAGTTCCTTGAACTGCCATATAATCTCCCCCCCCCCAAAAAAAAAAAAAAAAAAAGACAGGGAGAAGACGGGCGGTGACAGGTCATGGCGGCACTGCAGCTGGAAAGGAGGACATCGGCATTTTCTCGGCAGCCAGAGGCGAGGGCAGTAATTCCTGGAGGCTGAAAGTCACTTTTGTGCCCCTTTTGGATCAGCGTGTACCTCAATGTTCGCACAAATTTTGCTACCCTCTCCCAATGATAGGTGACAAGACAGAATTTGTTGGTCTTCGTGCAGCTGTCGCAGGTCGATATATAAGCTCTGCAGGCAAGGCCTGGTAGGCCCCAGCCTAATCCTCGTCAGAAAATCCCTTCCGTAAAAAGAAAGGTTCCTTAGGGTGTTGCTAACTAGGAGAGAGCACGGGTCACTTTAATAATACAGCAGCCCACTGTACGTGTGGGTGTAGCAGAAAGGCTCGAGGTACACCTAAGCACTTCTTATGAGTTGTGAATCCGAAAGCAGCACGTCAATCCTTCCGCTCCCTTATTTCGTCTGCAGCGTATTTTCGTCGACGGCAGAGCGCGCCCTCTCCTCGCCGCTCTGACCTTAAAAGTTTCGTGTTATCGGCGCGCTGACGGACACGCAGCGCCATGGGGTGGCGGTCGTTGAAACTAACGCGCAGCGGCCAATGGGAGCCTCGTCGACGCGCGCCAGCCAATGGGACCGAAGCAGAAATCCATACTCCGCTCCTTTGGGATCGGGGAAACTAGGTGCCGTTTGGCTAGGCTTTTCGCGTGGTTTCATAGCTGCGAGCTGGCCTCACTTGGAGTAAGGATTTAAGGTGCCGTTTGGTGCGGCTTCAAAGCTTGTCTTCTAGAAGTGTTGCCTCGTCCTTTTCTCATACCCCCCCCCCCCCCTTTTTTTTTTCTTGTCCTTTCCAAAATCGTTTGGCAACTGGCGAAGATTTTTCAGAGCGTCGCCTCGCTCACGCCTACAACCCGTTTTTTCTTCACTTTTTTCTCTCAAAAGTTTTTGGAAACTGGCCAAGTGTTTTTGAAGCGGCGCCTTGTTCTCGTCTCCGACCTGTTTTCGCTTTGCTTTTGGTATTGTATTTTTCCGAAAGCTTTTGGCAAGTGGTCAAGTCTTTTCCAAGCGTCGCCTCGTTTTCGTCTCCCACTCGTTTTCTCTTTGCTATGTTACTTTTTTTCTTCCAAAGCTTTTGGCAGCTGGCCAAGTCTTTCCGAAGCATAGCCTCGTTCTCGTCTCCTACCCACTGTTGCTTCTGGAAGCTAGGCGGCGACGCTGTAGGCGGCGCTGCGTGAATCCGCTATGATATGACGCTTGAAAGGAAAGGGCGTTGCAGGTGGTCAGACACGTGCCACACGGGAAACTCCAATGCCATTTACAACGAATGACATTTGAGCAAACGGCCAATCAGCGCGCGACACATTGCGAGCAGATTCGCCGGTCACACAAATGTCGTTCGTTGTCAACGGCATTCGAGTTGCCCGTGTGGCACGGGTACAAGCTTGTGTAAAGCGAGAAATATTCCAGCCCACTATCGTTCCTTCCATGAGACAAGAGAGCTCACCTTGTGCGCTTGCTGCGGGTGCTGCTGTTCCTGCTGCTGGAAGCCAGGCTGGTCCGCTCCGGGCCTGAGGCGCACGTCCGTGTAGGTGAAGAGCAACGTCACCAGAAGCCAGGTGACGGGCACGGCCAGCAGCAGCTTGAGCACCAAGCCCCGGCGCCTCGGCACCAGCCACATGGCGGCCGCTGAGCCGCTAACGTTCACCGCACCGCCACCAGCCAATCGTTGGGCCGCTCACCTCGCCCTCCTGCAAGGGACGGGGGCCGTGAGCGCAGGCACGACGACCACTTCGCGTCTAGAGCGCGACTTTGATGCACTTGGGTTTCTCAAACCGGATTCCTAAGACAGTGGCAAATTGACAGACCCTACAACGCGCAAAGAATAGGTCTGTAGGTTTCGGCGCTGCTTTATTGTATCAACGCTGAAACCGTTCTTCGGCAATCAGTCGAGAGGGCTGCTCAAGACAGAAAACACCACTGGTTCAAGAAAACGGTTACCGCCTAAACACCTTTTCAGCTCCCATCAACCAGACAAAAATGACCGAGTCACTGGGCTGTGGACGGGAGGCAGTCACTTGATCGAATGACGTATTAGCGAACGCCGACGTTTCACCAAGTGACACTTTAGTGAACAGTCGGCCGCCGCAAAGCGGCGTTTAGGGGTTCAAATTTTTGTAATAGGGAATTGTAGTAGACCGTTTTTCTCCTCCGCTACGCTATCCGTGAAGGCGCATGCGCGCCGCCAGCTTTGTCTGCATAGTTCAAGGTCTTGTGGCGGATTACGGAGCGCTATCTGGGCGCTTAGCGGGCTACGGGAACGGTCTACTACTGGGGAATTGTAGTAGACCGTTTCCGCAGCCCGCTAAGCACCCGGATAGCGCTCCGTAATCCGCCACAAGACCTTGAACTATGCAGAGAAGGCTCTGGCGGCGCGCATGCGCAGCTGCAGCGTTTTCTTCGGGGATACCGTAGCGGACGAGAAAAACGATCTACTACAATTAGTACTATTCCCCAATGAGCCGCTGCAGAGTGCCGCCACGAAGCGGCGTAAGCGCAGCGCGGGGGAGGGGGGCGGTTAACACGCGCCTTCGTTATTCGCTAAAACGTCAATTTCCTCAAATGTCGCTGTTCGCTAAAACGTCATTCGCTCATGTGATATGGACCCGTTCTTCCACTACGAGCGGAGATGTAAATTTCCCACAGAGGGTCACAGCCCGCGGGTCTCTCCCCTGATTACAGGCACATAAATCCACGCGGGTACTCCGAGGACAAAAGTCGCCAGGAAGCGCGAGCTGCGACTGAAACGTATTGCTCTGCCATCTGCCGGCGGGTCGCCTGGCTTCGAGATGACACAAAAAGCGCATGCGCGTCCTACTGTGGCTGCAAACATACGTGTTTTCCCGCTATTCTGCGGCGCGACGCCTATAGACCTTTCCAAAAAGAGCGCTCTGGCCGCCGCCATTTTGCGAATCGAGCGACCCCTATCAGCCAGAAATGTCTGGCACCCGCCTGAGCTGTGGAAACCCGGTCAGCGTGACTCCCCACGTGCATTTTGCAATCGGAGTTCGCCGGCTTTTCTTGGAAGTTTTTACATTATTTGCCTGTTTAGGATGCCTACCCTTTGTGTGTTATCTTGCAGTGTGAGAACCAGGGAATACCAGGGCTCGTAGCCCGCTCGGCCTTCGCAGGAAACGAACGAAGAGAGCGAACGTCAAGCAGCCCGCGACGCAGGCAGTTCGACGTGCTTGGAGGATTATTTCCGTCGAGATAATCTCCAAAAAGCCTTCCAGGCTGTGTTCCGGGTCTTCACAAAAACTAGCTGATAGGGTCGGGTCCGGGGTGTGGCGACATAATAAGCACGTTCGTTCATTTGCTATGAAGCTGTGCAAAAAAGGAGCTCTCTTCTACATCTTCCCCAAAACACGCCGGATTCGTCCGATCGTCGTGAAGTGACTATCGTCGACACTGTATATTGGACATTCTGTGTTATTTGAGACCTTTCTCAAATCCTGTTCGGATAACGCGGCACCGAGGGGTACGTACAATATATTTTTTGTTCGATTGATGAGACTCATTGAATTTTATGTTGTGGGCGGGGAATATTCATGCAGTACGGATAACCTGTGTGGTCAAATATTTTGACCTTTATAGATTGACACGGCTGAGTTTACGGTGCCGTAAAACAATGAACATAAAATGAAACAAACATTCCAGTTGCATTTGTACTGTCGCGCACGGACTCACCAAAACAGCTTTCATTTCTTTGTTTTTGTTCCCAAAACTAGAGCACTGCTTTCTTAAAGACCTCTATAAATTATGCTCGCCACAGAATACAAGATAAAAAAAGAAAACGCGGCAATTCAGCCGCCACCAGCGTCCGGAATTGCGCCAACGCAGGCTGCCACAGCCTACTGACGAGAAACTCCACAGCTCAGCGCAGTCGGGCAACACTGACGTACCCTCTCAAAACCAGGGACACGCGCTGTAAATCGCTTCGTTCGAGACTGCCGCTGGAAAGGTCTATACGCGGTCCAAACCAACGCGTTTTTGTGCGCGCGTAGGTCGTGGCACCTATAAAGCAAGAAGTGATGGCAGCTCAACGGAGCGATAAGCTCAGCTGGTTATAAGGCAAGGTGCGCTGACACGGCGAAATGCGGCTCAATGCCGCAGGTGGTATCTCCAGTTTCGGAATGTGTAGCAGACTGTGGTCAGCCGCCAGCGCTATCTCCGAGGCGGTACCACGCGCCCGGTTCCGAGTTACGACAAGCAACGGCCACATTCATCTACAGGGTGTCACAAAAGAAAATTTACACGGTCTTTTTTATCGCAAGAATAAACTAGGCATCGCCGAACGCTCATTCTCCGCCCAAAGGTAGAGCTAGAGGTCACAACCAGATGGCAAAGTTTCGGCCCGATCCGATAACTTAATCAAAAGTTATAAGTAATTTTCTGAAAATTTCAATGGGAAAATGGCGGCCGGCGGACTTTTCAAACACATGGGGCTCTATGGCAGTAGAAACCGAAAACGGGCAAAAATGGGCTCCATTTTCCCATTGAAATTTTCAGAAAATCACTTATAACTTTTGATTAAGTTATCGGATCGGGCTGAAACTTTGGCGTCTGGTTGTGACCTCTAGCTCTACCTTTGGGCGGAGAATGAGCGTTCGGCGATGCCTAGTTTATTTTTGCGGTAAAAAAGACAGTGTAAATTTTCTTTTGTGACACCCTGTACATAAGTCTGTTTAAAACATTCGAGGAGAGGGACCAATAAACTCTCAAAGTTCATTGAGATCCACAGGCTAAAAACCGCAGTTGACGAATTACACCACTACTAAGCGAACTTAAATGGAAACACCCCAACGCGGCACTTACGCTTCAATTTTCGTCAAAAGTTAACTTCATAGAGCCGATTAGCTTCTGCCCGTCCATGCGAAACACCCGACAAACAAAAATACAAAAATAAAAAGAGGAAAGAACGACACGTAGTCAGATTAGATAAACTCTTCGGTCTAAACTGCAAGCCCTGAAAAGCGCCGTACCTGGAACAAAAGCGCGGAGCCGGTACAAAGGCGGCGTCGGCGGCACAAGACGAACGCGTGCGAGACAAAAGAAGCCGCCAACACCTGAGCTAAGAGTTTACGCGAAAGAGGCACAAAGGGGGCGGCCGTCAACAAAAGGCTCACTGGTTTTGTCTCAATTCTTCTTCCCCTCGTCGGCGTGGCGGGGCAGTGGCGGGGGTCAAGCCGATATCACCAAACCAATCTTCGTCGTTCTCGTCTTCTTCGTTGCCCCGACCCTGACTGGAAGACCCACTCAAGTTCTGTTTGTTTTTCTTCGCCTGGGCTACTCGAGCGGCTTAGCAGCGCGGTTAATTTACGTAAAATGCGGCCAACGTACGCAAGACGGCTTGGCGCTGCTCGCTCATCCCACTCGCTTTCCTTGGCCGAAACCTTGCACGTGGCTCGAATTCTCCAAGCTTGAATGAGCGCGTGCTCAACTGGGGCACGGGTCAGAGATCTCCCGTCTGTTCAAACTACCCATTAGTTAAAGAAAAGAAAGGAGAGTGGTTCGATATTTTTTTTAATATAATCGCACGTGACACTTCATTTGATCCTTTGCCAAATTACCCGGGCATAAAGAGAAATGCTGAAAACGGGGGTAAACACGTTGCACGCGTCCGGGTTATGCAAGATTCCAAGAAATAAACAAAATGAGATGTTTCCTATATGTTTGCTTTAGGATAGGTGCGGCTGCAGACGCGAACACGAGCAGCGCGTGTAACTATAACTCGAAACGCGCTCCATGGGGCTTGGGTAATTTAGCTCGCCTCCCGCCTGAAACACTGTACGCCTGGGGTTCGATGGACGCCAAATTCGAACGCGCAGTTAACAGCACGGGCTAAGAAGGAGCTCATATTTCTAGGCTTCTAATGCGGGCAGTCTTGACGGTGTGAAATGCACGTTGCAAAAGCACCATGAAAGCTCGCCGTTAGCACGCGCTCAGCAGCCGCGGGGACTCATCTCTGGCCGCCTGTGAACACTCCATATCCGCTGACAAGGATGCCTCACTGCATGGCCGCCCAGCAGAATACACTACGCGCGGTTCCCCGAGGAAACCGGCATGGTCCCCGCTCCAACTAGCGATTTGGTCGTACGATTACCTAAGACCAGGCTAACCAGTCCGCACAGACACGGCCCGGCGGTGGATGAAACAAGCAGGCCGAGGACATGAGGGTTCAACGCCTCCCTCTGAGCTGCGCGCTGGCTGCCTTTCCCTGGACGGAAAAGGACTTTGTTTTGAAAGCCTGATATGGGAACACCCCATGGACCTTGCTTGCACCCATGGGGGTCGCACCGGGCCATGGAAGAGACTGACAGCAACAGACTGCAGCCGTTGGTTTGGCGTCACAGAGACCAATGGAGTAGCGCCGCAAAAGACGCTACTCAGTGATCACATTCCTCGTAATCGACTATTTTTTTGGAGCATCTTGTAATGATTTGATTACACTGATTCCCAAGTAATCCCAAGAATAACTTGTTGCCGTTTGGAAGTCTTGTAACCGGTACTATTTTTTTTTTTTTCCATTTTCTAATGGCGTTCTTTGATCGTAAAAGGTGTCTAGCAAGGAATCCTCAAACCAAGCATCCGACGGGAGGATGGTTTAACAAAATGGCTGGATCAAGAAGATAATTGTGGATATCATTGGCTGGTTCTAAAAAGACCATTTTCCAAACCGGTAGAGAACTCT